ATCCCAGCTTCAGCAGCGCCCGAGAAGAGGGAGAAGGCTGCAGACTACATCTACCCCATTCCCCCCTCGGTTGCTCCTGAGAAGCGAGAGAAGGCCGCGGATTACATCTACCCTATTCCAGCCTCAGCAGCACCTGAGAAGCGTGAGAAGGCCGCGGATTACATTTACCCAATTCCTCCATCAGTCGCTCCCGAGAAGCGCGAGAAGGCCGCTGATTACATCTACCCTATTCCTCCTTCCGTAGCGCCTGAAAAGAGGGAGAAGGCTGCCGATTATATCTACCCCATTCCCCCCTCTGTCGCCCCGGAGAAGAAGTGAAAGCTGGAAAGTTCACTGTCGCTACATACCTGAAGTATGAGAGCCGGCTGGCCTGTTTATCCTGAAAATTGAATATAGGAAACTCTCAGCACTTAAATGTAGTAATACATCTAACTTCGCTTGCTTGATTGTTTTAATTCCCTGCGAGCACTTTACTTCTGCAATGATATGTTAGCGACATTTCAAGTCTGTTTAATGACTACAGTATACTCATATTTTAATTATAGAGGATACGTAAAGCTAGCAGGTGGCCAGCCCGACGTGCCAACCGTCTGTATGTAGCATTCCTCGATCGACTTCATTCGGTTATCGCCGTAATCACCTAAGGCTAGCTTCATTCTCCACTAGCGCCGATCACCACGTTCTGGCATCGCTCGCCTCAGGCACAAACCCCTCCGTCCCCACGCATTCTCTCTTTTCTTCCTCTTCTTCCCCCGAGTTAGAATCTCTTTCCAACTTCTTTCTTTCGCTTTCCCCCGCCCACCTATAGAGTCGCGGAGCACTCGTACGACCATGACGCAGTTTTTCAAAAGTTTTACCTCCAGTACGAGCCTCAGAGACATACGAAATTGACAGAGCTTCGCCATTTCCGATTGTTCCTTGTCATTCACTTCTACCACCGGCCAACGCAACATAGATAAGGACGTTTATATCCTTCCTTGCCGCTTATTTCGTTTTGAAGGAATATAGTCAGACAATCATGGATCTACCCATGGGAGTCCCAACATCAGACATCTTCGAGGTCCGCGAAACCCCCAGTGCAGGTCGTGCCGTGTTTTCCAAATGCGATATACCAGCCGACACAGTTGTCTGGCGACCCACGGATCTGTCCCTTTCGGTTGTTCTCCGTGAATATCGTCGTGAGGTGTGCGGACAATGTTTTGTGTATGACTACGGCAACGACCTGCCTGTACGAAATAAGGAGGTGGGCTTTGCCTTTTGCTCGGAGAGATGCCAGGCCATATTCAGCGACGAGCAGGGTCCGATAGGTATAGAAGCATGGACGGCCGCTGAGAAGTTGATAAAGGGACGAAGCAAGGAAGACGCTGACATGGTGGAATTGGACCAACCGCGACCAAAGACGGAAGATATCACCTCTGCATGGGAGGGTGCCGCCGCACAAGCAGCCTTGATAAGAATCGCTCGACTGGGTCAGCGAGATGATGATGGCAATGTCGTGCAACCTACGAAGCAGCACAAGAAGGCGCTGCAGAAAGCATTGCTGCAAAAGATATCGCCTGATGTCATGTCCTTCTGTCTCGCAGGAATATTGTGGAAACACAACCACCCAGACGAATGGCAACGAATCCTCGATTTGGCCGTCGACGAAACGCCATACCACAGCGAAGACGACCTGAAGGCGTTCATTCGTACATACCTACATTTACTCGCGATTGCACCATTGCCACTGCTCGACCGAATAACAGTGGAGACTTTGTATCTCTGGTCAACCCGCGATTCTCATAATTCCTTCGGGATCCGTTCGCTTGAAGATGATGGCAGCGAGTTCTTTGGTTATGGATGCTGGCCATCGGCTAGTTACTTCAACCACAGCTGCTCTCCGAACATCGAAAAGAAAAGGGTGGAAAGAGCATGGGAGTTTCGAGCCGGTAGGGACATCAAAGCAGGCGATGAGCTGTGCATCACATATCTGAGCGGGGAGGAAAGGAGACTGAGTCGCGAGAATAGGATGTTGACGCTAAAAAGAAATTGGGGCTTCGACTGCCGGTGTGAGCGATGCAAGGAACAGCAATGACGGATAGAAGGATAGCGAGTTCGGAATTGATAGCTGTCTTCTAACTGCTTCTGGCTTTTGTTTTGAGTCAATTGAAATGCCTGTCATTGATGCGCCTAAGGCCCCCCATCCCCGGAAAATCTGCAGCGACCTTCGACCACCCCGGGCAACATTCAACGAGGGGATCGTCACACAAGCTCACCTTTTCAAATCGTCCTTTTCCATTCAATTCGATAGATTCCGCCTTTGGCTTACTCGTATTCGACATGTTCCGCCTTGATATTAGAACTTTTCGTATCTTTCTCCTCCCCTAGTAGTGTCAGCTGTCGGAGTATAGTTTCCTGATTCTCTGCTTATTGATGGCCGCCACAGGCTTGTCACTGGTGATCATTAAACCCCCCCACCCGGTAATGGTCTTCCCTTGCCAACATTCGGGTGACGCTGATGCCAATGAGTGTACTTGTACGTACAAGTAGCGATGTCTCGCTTAACCATCGTTAGCCGTGGCGTCGCGCGTAGGCTCTGATGAAAGTTTACCGTTACGCTGTACCCGGGACAGAATCTCTTGAGTTCTCTTGTTCCTGTTGTAATGAAGATAGTGAAGGTCACGACTGATGTGTTATTTCCTTGCCACTTGAAAGGATAGTCGAAGTCCATTAGGGGTCCAGCATCCAGCATCTGTCAAAAACGGCCCCTCGTTTCCACTCCGCATCAATACTTGCACGTCCCTACCTCGTATAAGTACAGTATCAATGACCACAAAAATTTCCGAATTGCCCAACCACATTCATCGTATTCGCCAGCCATGGTGGAGCAAGGAACTCGCCCTGCTCCTGTCGTCTCCAATCCCGCCAACTCTGCCTATTGGAAGGAACTTACGTTCCGCGCCGGGATTTTCCACTAATTCACTTCGAATCGGACCGAAGAGGAGGATCATCACCACATTGCCACGTGCGAAAGGGACTAGAGGAAATGATGATCGTCAACAAGGAAGTTCTGATAAACATGTGCCAGAACATGCGAAAGAGGCGATTACTTACATTTTTGAGGAGATGCGTTCTTAGTATGGGGTAGCCCTGCTCTGTTCTGCACCACTGGCGGAGCTTCTTTCTGTCGATGAGAAAGGGGAAGAGAATTAATGAGTGAATTCTGAGTGAGATATTTGTCTACTCGTAGCCTACTGGCATCGTGGAAACTTCCAAACACTGGACGCTTCGCCTACAATTAGGTTCATTCACTCTTGGGGTTCAAACTTCAGTACATAGTAGTTTGGGTATCCTTCTTGATAAGGTCTCGGTTCTCGGATGCCGCCAGCGGCTCAAACTATCCCATTGAGTTTGGTGATTGTCAACAAGGTTAACCTCATACACAACCGTCGTGTAGAACATCCTAGCTGTTGAAACTTTGCCTCAGTCTAAGACTCTAAATCAGCACGCTTGCTTATCACGGGCTTATTATTGATGGCTACCGCTAGAATCCCCCCGTTCCTACGCCCCGCACCAACTACCTGTGCTCTAACCCAGGAGCATCCTGGCGCTTTCCAGCCGTGTGCATCGTTTCCTGCACGTCAAGTACCTGACTACCGGATCCTTGCCGTAAATCCACATCTCCTGTGAGGAGAAAGGAATTTTAATTGTACAGAGGGTTGGAACGTCAAGCTGGCCCCTTCCTTGTATTTTATGCCCATGACTGTGCATCTGCAAGGTTTTAGGGCAGTTAATTGGCTACAGCACACTCTCCATTAGTTACTTCAAGTCCATGCAGCTACCCAGTGGCCAGATGGACGTGCTAACCCTCTGTAAACCAAAGACATTGCCTCTTCAGGGATCTTTACGAATAGATACCGGACTAGACTTTGACTTTAGCATTCTGCTGTCAAATCCAGTGCGTAGATCCTAAAATGAACAAAAGCTGAACGGCAAAGGGGAATAGGAGGGAAGGGTCGGAACAGAATCTCTAGTCCCAAGTCTTGAAGTCTGTCATATGTAAATCTGGGCTGTCTTCCACCTTCTTCCTAAAATTCGGAAACTTGGTTTGTGGCTGTAAGTGGGCACACCCGAATTGTCTCTCTCTTTTCTTTTCCAACGATCAATTGATTCCCGGCAGGCACCACTGGTCGTCACTCATTCATTGCTCCAATTGCTTGTGCTGCCAGTTTCTTCATCTTGTACTTTGTTACTTCTGGCCTTGCCAGCTACACAGAGTAGGCCGCATTCAATCATGGTCGAATCACAAGATTTGTCGTCGCCCTTAGACATCCCAACAATATGCTTCGGCTTCACATTAGGGTTCCTTGTCCACACGGGCTCTAAAGTCGGAAAGCAATCGATTTCAATCTACAAGCGCACACACGCTATTAAAAATACGTATCTTATACTCATCTGGGCGGAACTTTTGTCGAGCCTTGCGTGGGCGATTGTCGCATGGCTGTTTCTCAGGGGGGACATCAAGGGAAGGTAGGCCGCACTCCTTCCTAACAGCTAATTCCATACCGCACATTTAGATATGTTCCTAGATGCTAACATCATCATGTTATTAATTATAGTTTTGGACTCTTCTTCGTTATCGTAACACTGTGGTCATTGCAGACGCAGTGCATTCTTCAGATCATCGCAAACAGAGTTGCACTTGTCATGACCAACAAACGGCATGCGAGAATACTCAAGCTATCTCTTCTCGTGGCCGTGGGCATAATAAACATCTCAGTCTATGTCATTTGGATCCCTGCGCGTATGGAAAGTATGTCTTCGTCCCTGTCGCTGCCACAATCCATTGACTGACACTGTCTTGCAACAGTAAGCCCGACCTGGATCCATATTAATGAGATTTGGGATCGCATTGAGAAGGTTATTTATCTCCTCATGGATCTTTGCCTGAACGTCTATTTCCTCTGGCTTGTGCGGTCAAAGCTTATCTCTCGTGGTCTGACGAAGTATCAACCGTTGTTCAAATTCAACGCGGGCATCGCCATCATCTCAATTAGCATGGATGCGCTAATCATTGGAATGATGAGTCTGCCTGACGGACTTGTGTAAGTGTTTCGTGTTTCGTGTTTCATACATCCACACTGAGCGCTCATATGCACGTTACGGGCGCGCTCGATACATAAGTGATCTATCACTAACACAACATTTGACGAGTAGATACACGCAGTTCCACAGTCTAGCATACATCGTCAAGTTGCACATCGAACTCACTATGTCAGACTTGATTAGCAAAGTCGTCCGCGGTAAAGACCGCACGGACAAGCCGCTCTCGTCCTCTGGTCGCGAAGGTAATTCGTACCCTTCCAAGAGCGGAGGCACGGGGGGCACCGAGCTCACCACCACTCTGCGAAACCGCACGCTTGTCAGTAATGGAAACATGCAAAGGCACTCACATGTCCACGACGGGACGGTCTTTGGATATACTGCCGACGCGAAGGGCGTGGGACATACGGGGCCTTGGAGTCCTTCGTCGGCGAAGCCGAAGGGTGGAGAGAACAGCGATGCATCGAGTGATAGTAGTAGTGACTCAGGCATCAATTTTAGGGTCGACCAGTCAGGTATGAATGGGATTATGAAGACGGTCGCAGTGGAAACAAGGGTTGTCGATGAATGGGGTGTTAATGATGGTCATGCGAGGGCAGAGTCGAGACAGGAGGCCGGAGACACGATCAACAGAATCGGAAGCACGAGGAATGAAAGGCGAGAAAGTACGTCGAGCAGTACGGCGCAACTGAATGAGTATATCCCCCAGGCGGCTGGTGATCGAGTATAGAACTGTTCAAGTTGAAATTAGTCGTCTTCAACTGCACCTCTGCGCATACTCTATAATGCTTGGTATTTGAAGCAATACACCCACAGATATAATCTTAATATTTAATATTGTAGCCATCCGCAAAAGGGATTATGACACTGCTGGGTAGTGGTGAATGGGATAGTGAACAAGGATTTTGTATGTAACTCCGGCAGCTTACACGAGGAGAATCAAACAAATAACGTGATGCACCCAGGGGAGCCTCGATAACTTATAATCAGGGCACCTCTACCTCTACAGGATACATCATATGCATGCCAACGCGACTAAAATGGCAGAAACAGGTATAACAACTGATCGTTATTCTGTATCTTACATCTAGACGTTTCTTACGTCCCTAGAGCCATAGTTGATTGGCCCGGTTATCGGTACGCGTTTCGCGGCTTACATATACATTTAGCTCCGAGCTGAGCTCAGACTTGTGGTTCCAATCCACGACGATGCTCCATCTTACAACGTACAATAACAAAGGGCGAATGGAACGTCGACTGCTTCTTTGCTTTTCAATTACGGAAAAGAAAGCTGTTCTTACCCAGGGCTGGTAGCGTAGCTTTGAGATATAAAGCCTCCGTACAGAGGAATGGAGTCGAGTGAACAACCGCAACCTTACTATCCGTCATATACATCGTGAGCATCCACGGGTTCCATGCATGACTCACGTTAACAAATATCCATAGGTGTGAGAGGTGCCAGAGAAGAAAGGTGCTTCTAGTCCCAGCCTTGAAAGATCGGAAGTACTGACGCCGATCTAGATCAAGTGTGATAAAAGACAACCATGCTCAAAATGCTACAAAGCTAACGTAGAATGCAAACGAAAAGGATCCGGAGAGAAACAGAGGCACGTACCCGGGGAAAATTTGCAAAATTAACACTCAAATACTGACAAAGTAATCAAAGGCCGGCGACAAAAGCCTACGTACAAGCACTCGAAGCACAAGTTGCCTCGCTGGAACTTTTTCTCCAGAAGCTAGCCGTTGCTGACGATACGCAGCGAGGAGAACTGCTCTCCGAGTACCACGGCAATTCAGAATTCATCAAGGAAAGCACAGTCCCCAAACAAAATGATTCAACGCTGTCAAACAATGGCCAACTTGCCTTTGCCAGAACTCGTGCGGGCCACCTTCGCAAGCTTAGGGCGAAAAATGCATCGCAATTTTACGGCGGTACCAGCCTATTCCAAATCCAAGAGAGCAAGGAATCTATTACCACTACAGGTGCCTTGAATATTGTCGAGTCCACTACGACAGGGTTCTTCTCTGAGCCTGATGTTTGCGCGAAAGAAAGCCCTGAGAATCCGCGGCATCTAAACTTTGAGTATGGCCCCCAACATGAAATTCCTAGGCAGCTCTTGACCATTTTCTTCAAACAACAATATCCGTACAACATGTGTGTCTATCGTGAATATTTTTTGCGGGATTATGATGCTCTGAAGGGACCGTATTACTCCGAGGTACTTTTGTATGCCATATGTTCAATGGCAGCGCTCGCTTCAGAAAACCAGGAGCTTCAATCAAAGTCAACACTCTTCTCGGCCCATGCACAGTCCCTACTATATCAATCTTTAGACTCCCCCGACCTTACCGTTCTTCAAGCGCTTCTCCTTCTCGGCCAAAGAGAGATCGGGCAAGGCAATGGATCCAAAGGCTGGCTGTTCTGCGGCATGGCGTTTCGCCTGACGCATGAGATGGGGTTACATTTGGATCCAAATAACTGGGATGATTCCACTCAACCATCTGTGGACATTGAAGTGCTCCGAAGAGTGTACTGGGCAGCTTTCATCGTTGACAAGCAGCTCAGTCTCTACTTCGGTCGACCACCGGCCCTCTATCCCCATGAATCAGATGTTCGCAATACTATTAGGATTCCGTATCCGCCTGAGTGGCAGAAGCTTCTGGATACCTACATTGCGAAGGGCATCTCCGCCGATGCATTTGAAGATGGTATCGCACTAGTTGGATCTCTGACATACCAAGTAGAGCTGTGTAAGATCTTCCATAACATGATATCGAAACTCTACCAAAATCGATCTGCCACTTCTGACCCTACCATTATGGCGACCAAAACACAGCAGGTACATGTTTCTCTTGTTGGGTGGCTGTCCAGCTTACCTGGCAAGCTTCATTGGAACCAATGGACAGTGGGGCAAGTACCTCCTTATATTTTACATCTGCAGTGAGTATCATATTCGGCCAAGCCTCTCGAGTGCTACTAACGGTTGGTTTAGCATGTTGTTTCACACAGCAATGATCATTCTACATCGCCCCCCTCGTCACTATCTGGAAGAACCCGGTATCGCGACAAGCGAAGACGTGGAAATTTGTTACGAGTCCTTGCGCGCACTTATAAGGCTTATGAAGACGTACTCCAGATACTATCATTATCGCAGCCTCCCATTTGACTTCATCCATACGCTATCGACGGCAGCCGGCGTGATTCTTATGAAGCGTTATCTTGAAAAGGCACCCATGGACGATACAGAAATATCCAAGTCTCTCCATGTCGTTCTAGAAGCAATGGACGGTGTCATGAACACCTGGCCATTCGTCAGCAAAATCAAAATGTGCGTCATGCAGGCGATGGAAAGTCAAACCGTTTCCACACCTCAGACTGATCCAATTTTCCATCTGGGTCTTGATCTTGACCTTTCGACCATGCCAGATCCTTTTTTGTTTCTTGGAGACACTGGTGTAGGATTTGGCGACACAGATCTTGGATTTTTGGTTACGGATGACGCGCTGGCCACAACGTTTACGTGGGACGAGATGCAGCCTGGCTTCGCTGGGTCGTCGATTCAAGACCTGCAAGAGAGAAATTAATGAAAGGATTATCCGCGGCAATGGTTTCATTGAAATAGCTATATTAAATGTCGTAAAGGTCGGGTACCCTTCTCCAAACTGGATAGAAAACTGAGGGAAGAAATGGGAGGAAAGAAGTAAGGCAGCATAACCCATCTCTGACTGAACCGATCCCTTGGTTATATAGTAGAAACACTAATACAATGAGTATGGTTATGGTTGAACGCCCTATCATTAAAGTAGTGAAGAGGAAAGTTGATTGTTGGTTGGTTGGAGCCAGGGATCTACAGAGGGTTGGCGCATCAGGCTGGCTCCCTACTACGAGTTAGTATTTTATGCCCACAACAGTGCATTTGAGAGGTTTTAGGACTGTTTACTGCCTACAGAACACTCTTAAATAGATACCTTGGGAATATAAGATACATAAAGCTAGCAGGTGGCCAGCCGGATGTGCCAACCCTCTGTTTCTATCTTGCTTATAGTTCTTTACCTAATCCTCTCTCCCGCTTATTACCTGAGGTAATGCAACTACCTCATAGCCTTGACGTGAAAGCATTCGCACATCCAAGATCTTGAGTAATGTCCTCGTCCCGGGCATCAAGCACAATCATATGTCCAGGACTGTGCGACATAACCACACCAGATAGGCCCGCACTCCTGACCGCCTCGATAGGGGTAACACCGCAGCCCCAAAATACAGGTATCTCGTCACCCGAAGCTTGTAGCTCTCCCAAAGGCCGTCCGTCCTCGGTGAGTGGGGCATCACCCCAGGTAGGGCTATCGATATTCTCAATTCCCAAAGTATCCAAAGCGCCCCAGCCCCATGCTATTGGCTCGCCGTGAGTAGCAGCATACGGGCGGGTGATAGCTCGCACTGCGTCAATATCTTCGGCGCGGAAAGGTCGCATGGAAACAACATACGATGCTCCTGTGAAGATGCCAGCGGGACAAAGAGGTAATTTCGTTTTATACATAGGTACATTTCGTCCCATGACGACATGCCTGACATTCAGACCGGCCAACAAAAGCGCAGATTCGAAACTGAATGAGCAGCCGATCAAGAATGCGACATGGTCGTCTTGCCAGCGGTCCATGATATCTAGAGACCCGGATTCATCGACGACTTGTCCATCGTCAAGGACAAGGTAGCGGGGAGCGTCGCGCCTTATATCGATGTCGCTTAGCATACGGTGCGATTCGAGGCCAGGGACACGAGAAACTACCGCATCCCACCTCCCAGGTGCAGCGGATTCGGCCAGTAGAGGGCAAGGCACTGGATTGCGTGCGCATAGTTGTCTGAAGTCATCCGCAAAGCGTTCCGGTAGTACGATGAGGTTGGCTTGAAGGTAGCCGGCGGCGAGGCCTGATGTAGGACCGTGAAGGATTTGATCACGTGCCGCCCTCCTCACCTCAATACCTGTAGTTGCAACGGTGGTATCCATCGTCTCAAAATATTGCAAAATGATAAATTCAAAACAGTATCTTCCCCCATGGGGAAGAATTGTTCGATTTTCATATCATTTTAGAGTCTCCTTAGACGGAAACCATAATCGCGCCGAAAAAACTTTACTAGAGCTTCTTGACGGGGTTGGGCCTCCGTCTCTTTTCCCCACACCAGGACGGAGTTCCACCGCCGCTTTCGTCGCCTAGCAAATGCAGGCGCATGGTGCCATATGCCAGTATGATAATATCCTCTTGATTCTCCGACCTTGGGCATCATATCGTACCCTTTCAAAAAACCTTCTTCATCCCCCACTATGTCACGTGTGAGCATTTCTATTGATCGTGGCGGTACATTCACCGATGTCTACGCGTCGGTACCTGGCCAAGATGATATCGTCCTCAAGATCTTGTCTGTCGACCCTGCGCATTATCCCGATGCGCCCACTGAAGGCATCCGGCGGGTACTAGAGCTTGTCACGGGTAAGGCCCATCCGCGTGGCCAATCCCTAGACCTCAGCCGCGTGGAAAGAATACGCATGGGAACGACCGTGGGAACGAACGCGCTGCTCGAGCGTAAGGGTGCGCGCTCAGCTCTGTTGGTTACAAAAGGCTTCAAAGATCTTCTGAAGATTGGTAATCAATCACGTCCCAACATCTTCGATTTGAAAATTTCCAGGCCGGATCTGCTGTATTCATCAGTGGTCGAGGTGGATGAGCGCATAACTCTCGAAGATGCAACAGAACTTCCCAGGTCTGATATTGACCTTGCTTCAGATCCGAGCCTCTGCGTTGCGACTACGGGCGAGATAGTAAGGGTTTTACGAGTTCCAAATACTGATTCCATACGCCACCATCTGCAGAAGCTATGGGATGAGGGGTATCGGTCTATCTCTGTTGTTTTCCTTCATTCATATCTATATCCACAGCATGAGCGTATAGTCGGCGGACTCGCTCGCTCGATGGGATTCTCAGTGGTTGAGTCCTCGTCGCTGCAGCCGATGATTCGGGCCGTACCTCGAGGAATGTCTGCTACGGCCGATGCCTACTTAACACCTGTTATCAAATCCTACATAGACTCGATCTCGCAAAATTTCGATGGTGGCTTGGGATCCGTCGGTTGCCAGACTGAGTTTATGCAGTCCGATGGTGGACTGGTGGATTTTCGGCGCTTCAGTGGTTTAAAAAGCATCCTGTCTGGACCTGCGGGGGGAGTTGTCGGATATGCCCAGACGACTTGGGACGAGGAGGAGCGAAAACCCGTCATAGGATTTGACATGGGAGGCACGTCTACGGATTGCTCTCGATTTGGTGGGACATTCGACCACGTATTCGAGACTACAACTGCTGGCATCTCGATTCAGAGCCCTCAGTTGGATATCAAAACGTAAGTTTCTCAACGACTACGTCGCGGGAAGTTGCTCACAATAGTTTAGTGTTGCTGCTGGTGGCGGATCCATGTTGTTCTGGCGGGATGGACTGTTCGTAGTTGGTCCAGACTCTGCTGGAGCCCATCCTGGACCGGCATGTTATAGAAAGGGAGGACCATTGGCAGTCACAGATGCCAATCTGTTCCTTGGTCGTATCCAACCGGAGTACTTTCCTCATATATTCGGTCCGGATGAAGACGAGCCTCTCGGGACCGAGATTGTGGACCTGAAGTTCCGCGAACTGACAGAAAAAATCAACCTGGACAATCGTGCACAGGGAAGACCAGAGTTTACGCCTGAAGAAGTGGCCTTGGGATTCCTCAGAGTTGCTGACGAGGTTATGGCTCGACCAATTCGAGCGCTCACCGAGGCACAGGGATATGACGCATCAGAACATGTCCTTGCTAGCTTTGGCGGTGCCGGTGGTCAGCATGCTTGTTCATTAGCCTCTGCGCTTTCGATCCAGAGAGTTGTTATTAACAAGTATTCATCGATTTTGTCGGCATATGGATTGTCACTTGGTGACGTTGTGCACGAGGTACAGCAACCCGCGGCTATCGAGTACAATAACGAAAACAAAGCCGAAATCCGAGAATCATTGGGATCACTCGCGAAAGAGGCATCTGGATACCTTCTGAGCCAAGGTCTACAGGAAGGGCAAATCAAGCACCACCGGTATCTGAACATGCGATATGAGGGTTCTACCGCATCGTTCATGATTCTAGAAGGAGACCACAACGACGACTTCCAGTCCCTCTTCGAAGATCGACATTTGCGTGAGTTTGGCTTCAAGTTTTCTGACAAGAAGATTCTCATCGACGATTTCCGAGTTCGCGGTATTGGATCGACAGCTTCTGATCCGGGTAAAAGCCCGTTTGAACAGCTCAAGAGCGTCGTAGGCATAGACGTTGATCTTCCCGAAGCTAAGAAAGTTGCTTCTGTGTGCTTTAGTGCCATCGTTGGACGCGAACCTACGCCAGTGTACCTTCTCAACGACTTGCAGCCTGGCGTCAAGATTCCAGGTCCTGCGATAATTCTTGACAAGACTCAAACTATCTTAGTTGTCCCTCAAAGCGTTGCGACTATTTTGGAAAGCTGTGTCGTAATCGACCTGAAACCGTCCAGCGAGGATCAAAATACTTCCGTTGACCAAAAACTGCAAGTCAACCCCATCCAGCTATCGATATTTGGTCACCGGTTCATGTCTATTGCCGAGCAGATGGGTCGAGCGCTACAAAAAACCGCTGTTTCTACAAACATAAAGGAGCGGTTAGACTTCTCTTGCGCTCTATTCTCGCCTGATGGAGGCCTCGTTGCAAATGCTCCTCATGTTCCTGTTCATCTTGGCTCTATGCAATTTGCTGTGAGATATCAGCACAACTTTTGGAAGGGCCAAATCCAAGACGGAGATGTTTTAGTGTCAAATCATCCTTCCGCCGGTGGCACGCATCTCCCTGATATTACTGTCATCACACCGGTGTTTGCCAAAGGCTCGCCAAAGGAAGTCGTGTTCTACGTTGCATCGCGAGGTCATCATGCGGACATCGGTGGAATCCTTCCAGGCTCTATGCCTCCGCATTCCAATCGCTTGTACCAAGAAGGTGCAGCTATCATGGCCGAGAAGCTTGTGTCTAACGGAGTGTTCAATGAGCACAGAATCACTGAGTTGCTCCGCGATATTCCTGCACAATACCCTGATTGCTCTGGCACTAGGTGCCTAAACGACAATATCTCTGATTTACAAGCGCAGGTTGCAGCCAACAATAAAGGTATCCAATTGATTCAGGCCATGATCACAGAAAATGGGCTTGATCAGGTACACATGTACATGACTGCTATTCAAGATACAGCCGCCACTGCCGTTAGAAATCTCCTACGAGAGGTATACGCGAAAACTGATGGAAGGCCACTTCAAGCTATTGACTTCATGGACGACGGAACCCCAATTTCCCTCCAAGTCAGGATTGATGCTGATGCTGGGTCTGCTGTCTTCGACTTTAGCGGCACTGGGCCGCAGGTGTACGGCAATACCAACGCTCCAGTCGCCATTACCCACTCAGCGATTATCTACTGTCTTCGCAGCCTTGTAGCTTCTGATATTCCCCTCAATCAAGGGTGCCTCGCGCCTATAACCATTATCATTCCGCCATCCTCGTTGCTAAGTCCCGCCAAAGATGCCAGCGTCGTGGGTGGCAACGTCCTTACCAGCCAACGCATAACTGACGTCGTACTACAAGCGTTCAACGCAAGTGCAGATTCCCAGGGCTGCATGAACAATCTCACATTTGGCATCGGCAACACCAACACTGATTCTTCCGCACCACCAACTAAGGGTTTCGGATACTACGAAACCATTGCTGGCGGTGCAGGCGCGGGGCCAACATGGACCGGCGCAAGTGGTGTGCATACACACATGACGAACACGCGAATTACAGATCCCGAAGTCCTAGAGAAACGCTACCCAGTCATTCTGCGCGAGTTCGGCATTCGTGAAGGCAGTGGCGGTATTGGGGAATATGATGGTGGTGATGGTGTGGTGAGGGATTTAGAGTTCAGGGTCGCCATGTGGGTTAGTGTCTTGACGGAGCGCAGGTCCAGAGCACCCAATGGTAGGGGTGGAGGCGGAGACGGCAAACCTGGGAGGAATTTGTGGATCAAGGGGAGTACTAAAGATCATATCAACGGAGGTAATGAAATTCAACACAAAGACGGTGAAACTGTGAGCTTGGGAGGAAAGGCCAGTGTTTTTGTTGATGTGGGGGACCGCATTGTGCTGCAAACGCCTGGAGGTGGAGGATGGGGCAAGCAAGTACGTATCAACTCGTAATACCGTCATTTATTTTTGAGATATCGCGACGCTAGCATATGGATTGTAGTGACTTCCATCCACCTCAAATTGATCTTTTGTTCACAGTTCCATGAACGAGTCCCTGCGTACTGTATCAGAGCCCAGGATTTGGGCTGCAGCCTCAATCGCAAGGGATGTCTTCTTCACGTAGTCTGCCGCTAAGGTCAGGTTGCCCAAAGCAACAGCTTCGGTAATTCCAGGAAATGTCACTGCCATGTAACCTGTATCTACACCAGGTGCGAATATAAGATTCTGGTAGAATTCTCTTCCAGGAAGGCCACCTTGGCTGATGAAGCCCCTGGAAAACTCTCGCGCTCTACGATTAATGGAAGCAATCGTACGTGTATCATTGAATCCAACAGATTGTCTCAACCTCTTGAAATTATCGGATTTCTGTTGGAAAATTGCGATTGCTCTCTCGAGGGCTCCAAGGTCTAATTGAGCGTGCCAATTGTCGACGACTCTTTTAAGAGCTTCCAAGTATGCGTACATCTCCACGGTATAGTTTTCAGGCTCTAGTGGGATAAGTTCATCGTTTACCAAGTGATACAGGAGCAACGTTAGATATTGACCCATAGCCTTGTGTGTAAGGAATCCAGGGTCGCAGAAATTCGACATCCAGTAGTAGGAATCGTAATTCGAGTGAGTGTGGTATATCGGATCGGTGGGTGCCCTCGTAGTTCCCATGTCAATCGATGCTATGCCACCTCTATGCACAAAAGCAGTATAATCGCTTTGTGCACCTAGGGCCTCTATCTCGCCAGCTGATTGCTCCCATATATCATATATAGTGCTTTCAGTCTTATGGGGCCATGTCACCTTTTGGGCAATTTCTCTAGTGATTTTATGCAGTTCCGGAGAGGCAGAGAAATCTGGAACTGTACCAGCGACTCCGACGTCGATGTTCAGGTATGATACAACTGTGCCTTTGAGCCACGGTAGGAACTCCTCTACCCATTCCGTGCTGCCGTAGAGTCAGTTCTATACATGCATATAAGGGACAATGACTTGCCTGCCGATGAGACCATATTCCTCGCCATCCCAACTGGCGAGCACTATTGTGCGCTTTGGTTTCCAACCTGTTTTTGACAGGGCATTGAACGCCTTCGCCAGTTCAATCAAAATGGATGACCCGGAGTGTGGATCCGCTGCTACATCATCAATATTAATGATTCACTGGAGACAAGAGACGAAATAATACCTGCACCGCCTATCATCCATGCATCACGATGATTGCCCACCACGACAACTTCATCTTGATTTGTTCCATTGTAAATGCCAATTGTATTCCAAAGCCAAGTTGTCTCCTCCCTGGCAAGGTTTCTCAAGGATATTCTGGAACCCTGTGCCGGCCCCGTACTATAAGTAACGTTCGGGATCGCACCTACCCACCGCGTTCCGTTCACCTTTTCAGCACTCAGCCCATGCCCATTGAGCGCCTGCAGGATTGGACGTGCTTCGACCCAAGAGATGGGAAGAGATGGAATCTTTGGAACGGTCTTTTTCTCCTGCCTCGGCGAATCTTCCTTCGAAGGGTATCCCGGCGTTGTAGGATCACCAGGGTAAGTGCTGAGGAACTGGACGCTGCCACGCTGTATGCTGGTTGGGTTTCTCGCTGGACCCTTTGGATACGCTGCTTTTCCACTGGCTTCAGTCATGTTGCCGTCGTCACCCGGGTCGGTGAAAGTGATCACGCCAATCATTCCGTTGTCCTGTGCATTGCGAACCTTCAGTCCCCTGAACGGACCGCCATATTTTGCAAGGGCAATCTTTCCCTCCAACTCGATTCCTAGTGATTTGAGTCGGTCGAAATCACTTTGCGATCCGCGTCCTAGATATTTATGAGCTTCCGTCTGGAGTAATGCACGTTGCTCTCACCAACGTAGACATATTCAGCAGATACCTCCCCAGAATGGGAGTACCCATGAAATGCTGGAACACGATTGGGATACCTGTGGTAGGACAGCGTGAGCGTTCATAAACCATCATGGAAGATTGTGTCGTACCCTGTTGTTTCGTCCTCCTCTAAGACAGCTTCCTGTAGAGTTGGCTTGTAAATGGTCCCATTAGCTAGGGTAAGCTCAATGGATTGCTGTGTAGGGTAATTCATATAGACAACTTCAACTTGGTCAGTACGCAAATGTTGCAATACGTCACCAACTCACAATATGAATCGAGTCGCGATTCAAACCCATGCTCTTTCCATCTATCCGCTGTCCATTGTGCCATTGTCTTATTTTGCCCAGCGAGCGCCCGTCCATGAGCTGAATGTCCGATCAGCATCTATCTCATATCTTCCGAAGAGAACCCACTATAGTAGTATGACCATTGCGATATGGACGTATTGTCAAACGATCCTAGTAGAATATTTTCATTCTGATCTAGTGTTGGACGAAAATTGCTCTCACCCTCTCGCTTGAGGTGGCGTTGATGGCTACGGTATTTAAGCTCCTTATCACACGCCTGGGCTCCAATAGCCCAGGCAAACATAAGTAGAGAGGATATTATCATGGCTTTTTCGAAGCAATTGCCTTGCAGACGTCAACGAGTATCTTCGTGGGCTAGGATCAAGAATAAGGCGAGATTGGCTCGATGGCTGAGCTCCTATAACGGCATCCGAAATATTTGTGCCGCGTCATTATGCAGTGCTTCCTATGTGGATTATTCCCGCGGCTGCTCTCCTCCATGCGTAACGAGCTGCAGTTGATGTGTATATCTCACTTGGCAGCCCGTTGCATTGGGTCCGGGTATTCAACATCCCATGTCTCTCCCCACAGTTTCGCAACAACCGTGACACAGGCAAGTACTTTGAACAAATCAACTTCTTCGCCACTAACCAAAGCAGGTCATATTGAGCACCGCTTCCTAGCATGCAAAAACACCCTCAGGTACATTCTAAGCAAAGTACTACGTGCATGTGACATAATTCTAGTGGGCATTCCAACATGTTTATTTGTTCGGCGGCTATAAGCGATAGTATTTACAAATCATCTACTTAGTACGCCTCCACCTCGGCCTTGTTTGTCTCAGTCACAGCGACAGTAGGTTTGGCTGCAGCAGAGCCTCCGTAGCGGTCCGTCTCATCGGCCTCTGTCATGCCACCAAGCAACAAAGTGCTTGGGGCTTTGGCTTGCATCTGAGGAGACGCAATGAAAGCTTGGAACTTTTCATCGTGCCACTGGCCAGCAGTGATGTGTCTTCCCTCGGAGTCGATGAAGGGAGTATCGTCCTCTGCACGGAGAAAGTATGCAATTGAGTAACGGTGCTGCTCTGGGTGGAGTGGGACGACCCTGTGAATGCAAGACTGCATGGTGTGACCACTGGCAAATCGAAGCGAATCACCGACATTGATGACGGCAGTACCTGGCCTCGGTGCAACGAAGCCGAACTCCTTGGACCCTGGAGGTCGGATCTGGAGACCCCACTCCTCGGCAAAAAGCAGTGTCAAGGAGCTAATATCGGTGTGCTTCTGATGTCCCACGTTATTATCTTTGGCGGGGTCAGATGGGATATAGTGCATCATAGCCAGGGTGCTAGTGGATGGGCGGTGGTTGCGGTGGATGTGTTCAAATCGCTTGGTGCCGCTGAGTCCCAGACCAGTGGACAGGCCTGAAAGAATTGCCTTGGTGACGATGTTGGACCCGGCAATAGCATTCTCGAGGACCTTGATATCACCACTGTTCTTAATATTGCTTGGGATGTGTGGGGATTCGCGTTGAATTTCATCCCTGGAGACCTGACAAATTTCTTCAACAATGGTTACCTTAATTGAAGCAGTGTTACCGACCTTGATCATCTCGTATCCGTCTCTCTTCTCCTCCAAAACACCGTTGCGCGATCCAACAGGCTCGTATCTTTATAACAATTAATTCCTTCGACTCTCCTCCAATGGAATTGATAGCTAATGCTTACCCAAGGTGAGGTGCAATGAGGCCATACTCGTTCTTGACTTCAAGTGGCGACTCAAAGAACCGATGCATAAGCTTCAAAGTCTCCTGCTGATCATCAAGAAACCTGCGACCGTCGACATTTTGGAGGTCGAGATAGAAGTAACCCTCGTCCACGCAGCACTTGACAAGTCTCTCAAGCTCAGCAGGCTCAGAGGACAGGAGCTTAGAGAAATCGATGGTCTGCATGTCATAGACGGGCACCTTCTTGCCCATCCAGTCAACAGTCTGCGGAATCTCGATTGAGGGAGACATTTTGCGTTCAGTTGAAGCTGGTGTCTGGTGTATTTGGTAGAACTTTTCAGAGAGCGCTTTAGCTTCTCAGATTGCTCGGCCGTGGCTGGGGCTTTATAGTTGAGCTGCTCATACCCTTGATATTAAGCATTTGCATATCATGTCTCTTTGGGCCTCTTCATAGATTGATTTGCATCTTAATGCGACACCTCCCCTCATTTTAATTCATGAGGCGGACGAATAGGAAATCTCGGGATTTCGTTTCGCAGCGAATGGACATGGAAACTCCGCAGCACCTTTCCTATCTCTCTGATAGAGCTGCATATGTCGAAATTGATATATGATGCAAGTATGTTGCGATTTTCAGATAACTTGCTCTGTACCCCGCTGGCCACAGGGGCTTATCTGCGCATGATCCGCCCCGGCAGTTGTTGGTAGATGGTAGTCAACTCCGAGATCATCTGGCCACCACTTCCAATTATCCCAAATCATCTTGCCACGCTTCAATTTACTTTGAATGGTTGTGTATCATGTATTTGGTCTCATCAATTGGTCACCATCATGTAAGGTGTTGTCGTTCCGCCAGATTTTCGTTTGTTCGCATATCGAAGACGGTGACGAGGCACTCTAGACTATGTGCCTATGACGGCAAAAACATATATTTCACGTGGTTCAGGGTCTGTGGCAATCTTGAGTGCAATGTGAACAGACTCTTATTGGAGAATTGATGCCGCTAGGTCATGCATAGGGCGAGCTGTGAAATGGACACCATCTTGCTGGAACTCAGAATTTCCTAAGTTGTGGTCTGTTTGAGAATGACACAGGTTATGACAGGGAAATTCATTTTAACTGCGCCTCGGTTGGTTTTAAAAGCCCTAACCAACCATTGCTCCTACTTGCACATTCTGTTGTCCTTTAGACGCACAAATTTACGCATGTGGCCGTCTGTTTTAGATCAACAAAACGAGCTCACATTAGATAAAAGCACAAGACAGTTTATTGAGTATTCCACGTTCTACTGTGCATACCTGTCACCTTGAGCCAGCTTCCATTAGATTTACTACGAAATAACCGAAACAATGGCTGCGTGGGCTGCAAATCCATGGAGTAGGGTAGGGTAAATACTCTCTTCAGACTGTTCACACAATCCTTCCGTCAGGACAGCTTCCTGAAAACGTTTTTTTATACTCTAAAGAGAGGCGAGGACTCCAACACAAGTTTCACAATCAAAACTAAACTTGACGAGAATCGCTTGCTCCGGCATCCTTCAAATGACGCGTTTTCAACAGCTTGCTTTCGAATTATGGTTCCGCGTGCATCCGGATGTGTAAAATGAGAGAACGACAGAGCCTATGCATCCGATTTTTATCACTATTGACGCAATACATTTCTCGTACAACAATTATATATCAGGTCCTCACGATTTCAGTAATTTTGCTTCTCGCCATTCGAGCTGGTGGTCCCAACTAGCATCATGACATCATATCCAACATTCCTCACGAACACCAAACTTGACCCTTCGTTCGACGACGATATCCGAGATACGCATCTGGTGTATGACTACGATGCAGAAAACCCTGAGACAGGAGCACCGGAGAAGTGGCGTTACGAATTATGGTGTTTCTCTGAGGATCGCTGCGTGTACGCCATACACGGAGGTCCAATGGCAGGGCGTATCAACTATCAGACTTGTACTTGGCAATGTATTCGTCCCAAGGAGCTATGGCAATGCAACTGGTTAGAAGAAACTGGGACGGTGGTATCTCTTGTGTACGACATCAAGCAACAGACCATCACAACGCTGATCAGCTTCTCGAAGGGCCACTGGGAATATCCGAAGGAGGCGCATGGTGACAAGAGAAATTCCGAAGACTTTGCGCGTTGGAGGAAACTTGCTGAGGTCGGCAAGCAATCAGATCGATTCATGCTATCTGAGCAAGCGAGCATTGCTGAGAATTTCAAGGGGAAGGGCGCATTGATTCCCATTAAGGCAGATGCTAAAACTTTCTGACGGCACAGTGCCATCATTAATGGAGCGGAATCTTGCAGGCCAGTTGGTGCAAACTAGAAATAATCGAATACAAGCATGACGACCACCCCATACTTGGTTCAAAGTGCGTCGAAACGTACTCTAGTAATAACAATGTATACTCGTCATTCGACGATTGTAATGCGCCAGCTCAAGAAGTCCAAATGAGTAAAGGCAACCGTAAATTCTGATCATTAATTCGCTCCTCCGAATCTTTGCCTATCCAGACCAAGAACGCATAAAAATACCCCACCCTCGTGTCCCCACCGGCTCAAATACGTCTTGGGGGCCCCACAAACCCCAAAAGAACCACGAAGTGCTTCTGCTCTAATTCCATGTGCGGTTAAATGAAGGAACAACTAAAACTAAACCCAGAAACGTGTTGTATTTTGACACTACAGTTATCAAATTACGCGACCACGATCATGTTTCAAGTATTGATTCAAATTGCTGTAGTACTAATCAAGATCTGCAGTGATAGTTCTCAGTGACGCCGACGAAAACGGTATGTAGGTCTGCCGTAGCAGGGCGCGAAGGATTTCGCCCACACGGAGAGCCAACTCACGCAGTATTTCTGCCAATTCCTGCCTTGTACCTTGACAAACATCTCTCCCTTGCGAAGCGATGTTCTACAATTGGTTTGGGATATCCATTTTTCTTTGCCACGTCTGCCGCCTCGCCACCAGTTTCATACGGATTATGTATTCCCTTTCCACTTATACTTGCCAATTCTGGAATCCATTGTCTTATGAACTCACCATCTTCGTCAAACTTGCTAGACTGGAGCCAAGGGTTGAATACGCGAAAATAAGGCTGGGGGTCTACGCCAGTCGAAGAGGAAAAACCCCAACCACCAGAGTTCGAACTGAAATCTCCATCGATGAGATGGCTGATAAAGTATTGTTCTCCCAGACGCCAGTCGAGAAGAAGATGTTTGGCGAGGAATGAGGCCGTAACCATTCGGAGGCGATTATGCATGTACGCGGTACTATTGAGGGATCGCATGGCAGCATCCACGATTGGGTAGCCTGTTTGACCCCGAGCCCATGCATCGAAGTGCTCGTCGCTGTATTCCCATTCGATGTTCGTGTACTCGAACTTGAAAGGCTTGTTCATGCTAAGTCAAAGGTAAGCATAATTCGGGGTAACAGAGCGATGGACAAGGAGCAAATTGCACACCAGATATAGGGCCAATGCACTAGCACATGCCGATAAAAGTCTCTCCATGCTACCTCACTGATCCAGCCCTTTATCCCTTCGATGCCACCATCAAGCTTCTTCGTGGAATTCACATCTCGAGCTAATCTTACACTGGTCCTGCCAGCAAGTGTCCCTGCGGCATGATGCACACTTATCCGGGCTGTACTATTCTTACTGGGGAAATTTCGCGTCGCGTGGTATTTTCCGATTTTCTCTGTAAGAAAGTGTTGAAGGCGATCGACTGCAGCATGTTCGCCTGCGGGCCACAATTTCTCGAGACGTTTCTTCATCTCAGAAGTCAATGTCTTACTCGACGGAGCAGATGGGATCGCGCTTTCGAACAACGACGAGAACTTCTGCTTGAAGTCTGGGGGATTTCTCTCGGGCGGATGTCGTTCTGTGAGGACGTCTGGGTGGGCGTGTAGATACGCCACCCACGCTCGGAACCAAGGGCTGTAGACCGCATATTGCCGCCCTGCACCAGTCTGGAGCTGACCAGGTGTTACGACGCAGTCATCATGCTGTGGTTCGAATCGAATCCCTTTTCCGAGCATCATCTTGACAAGCTTCTGTTCTCGCCGTAGCTCGTCGACTTCGTACTCGATGTTGCAGAAGAAGTCCTTCACGCCCCAATTTTCAGCGAGCTCGACGAGTCGCGCCGGCAACTGCTGGCGCTCCTCAACAACTTCAATATAAAGAGGAATATCCAGATCCTCGAGATCTTTCTTCAAGACAGCCAGAGAGCGCAACTCGAAATCACATTTGGCGGGACTGACGAGGTGAGCCTCCCAATCCTGAGGACTTAGGATCCAGACCCCAATAACGCCGACGCCGATTTCCTTTGCTCTTTTCGATGCAAGACTTAAACCTGTGTTATCTCTCGTCCGTAAATCCCTCTTGAACCAATGTATAACTGCTTCGCCCACGTCTTTACCCGTCTTTATCTTCGCAATCTTCCCTCGCGCATCCTGCGTTTCTTCGAGTATTTGATTCAGTACGTTCATCGGTCGCGGTATCTCGTTATCATTGTACATGGCGCAACGCTCGTTACTCATTTCGGCAGGATAGAATCTCCTATCAACGATTCCTAGCATTTCCTCCTGGCGCGAATGATCGAACCGAGAAACATCTGTGTTTGAACTTGCATTATCGTTTATGGAATTCGCAGAACCCTCCTTGCCGTTCTCGAGAGCCTTGGGGTGCGGCTTCGAGGTTCTGGACCGCTTGTTCGGAGCATTGCCGTACGAATCGCTATAGTTGATTGCGGATGCGGCATTGGGGGCGATCTGGGATTTTGCCTTGCGTTTTGGGGGCATTATTGCGGTCTCGAAGGCGCGGTAATTACGAAAGAGAGACGAATGCTGGGGGGAAATAGAGGAAAGGGGGAGCAACAATGGGACGTAAAATCAAAGATGCGCGTCCTACAACGGTATCACAGCTCAAGGCTAGCTCGACGGTATCCCTGCACACATAACCCGATCTATGACGTTCGGGCTCACGCGTAGATCGCCAAGTCGATTACCGAGTGAAATCTACAATAAGTACCTAATAATTGAATGCCACATTTGCGAGGCACCAAGGTTATTTTCTGGCTACAACACAATAACACTCTTCAATGGTCATGTGCTTCAGAAATAGAAGATGAATGACGCTAGACAAGTGGCCAACCCAACATGCCTTCTAACTGTAATGGCGCTGTGCTCGCAGCCCAGCCACATAGCAGTTGTGGCGTCTTACACATGCAAGCGTCTGAGCCCCAACCGTTCCGACGATGGATACTGGTAGGGTTCTCGGTCTTCGGTGATCGACATACCATATTGCTCAAAATGGAAAATAGATTGCAGACCTGGTGAATTTTCCACCCTCTCCAACTGGACTGAACAGCTTTGTAGGTCTTCGATTCAACGTTCAGCTAAAAAAGAAAACAAAGGGTCCGAGTTCACTTCTCAGCCTGCACTATGTATGCAAAGGGAAAGAAATCAGAAGGGGTTTCTCCGTCTTAGTGGCGAATTGACCAATGTTCGCCATGGTGTGTACGTAAGTCTTATTGGTTTGCAGATAGTCTCATCCAAGGCAGTGCCTTGGTTCACCGTAGGCGCAAACTGCAACTGATCGTTGGTCGAATATCTCCTGGTCTGGTATAATTTCATAGTGGTAACGAACGGCGGAGCATAGTAACATTTGGCGACCCTCATGTGGGGTTTAAAAAGATGAGAAACATATGATCTAAGGATAATGTCGCACCCGAAATTCTTCCATACATGTTGTTTGTCTTGAGTGCAAGGCGTAGGCAACAGGAAGACGTAGTGAGCAAAGCATTTAATGCTATGCTGTGCATCAGCTCGGACGATGCGTGAAAATGATCACCATGTTTGGGCAACGCTAGGACTTTGCCTTGTGGCAATATCGCTTGAATACACTGCGTAGGTCGCATGTTGGCATCCTCGGATTTCACTCACTATTCCAAAGGTCTGCCTCGTAGGTATGACCCGCGGCTGGCGCGTCTACCCCGAACCTGGATCACTGCAGGTAACGCCGATCCAATCAGAGTGTAGAACGGCCAATAGGCAAACCGTTCGAACATGCGGACGCCCCGGTCTACTCGTAATATATACACGCTGACTGTATTGCCGAAAGATCTGCATGTACATTGGTTGGCGTACCGACCTGCTGTTGTTCGACTAAGGTTCTGATGGGCCCCTTGCCAGTAACCGATCTAATGTATCGGGAGCGTGTGGCCTGCAGTAGTGTTCTATCAGCGCCCAGGATGTTTGTGTGCCGCCTAAGGCTGATTTCTGGGTGTTCATACCTAAAACGAGCAAATCCCAGCGAAGTAGTACCCGTAAGCCACAATCTCCAGATTGAAAGGCCAGACGTGTGGCGAGTGGCATAGGGCTTGGGTTGGTGGTCTATGAAGAGTAACCATACATGCGATGCAAAGTAGATCGAGTTCCCAGACCATAGTCGGATACAAAATGAACCTCCTTCGCGGAACTGGCCTTTTATGATAGTTATTCTTGGAACTGGGGGTGAGGGTTACGGAAGGGCAGCAGGCGGACAACTAGCATCCATAAGGCAAGCTGGCTGTGGACTAGGTTCATTCGGAGCTACCCGTTGTGGTGGGCAATCTCTAGAAGTCAATGGTCGAAAAGGCAAATGCACTTAATTGACGATAGAGATCCAACATGTACCGTGGAGTCAGTCATGGCTGAGTACTCGTTACGGGGGTTGAGGTCTCAACTTCGCACACCGGTACTCAACAGGGTTAACAGCTTGTACATGATGGGGCGCAATACGACATGTACAGAGAGTTGGCACGTCGGGCTGGCCGCCTGCTAACCTCAGTTATCGTCTATAATACCTAAAGTGTCTATTCAAGAGTGTACTGTAGCCAATGGCTAGTCTTAACTGCTCGCGATTAAACCTCGCGAAGGCACTCTTGTGGGCGTAAAATTCTAGCAGGGGGCCAGCCCGTGCCAACCCTCTATAGATATGTATGCAGGTATATATGTATATGTACAGTAAAAATACACAACGATGCAGACAGTAGATACAGCACAGTAGACTACCGCTGGTTGGGGGTGAATCGCTCAATGAGGAGGAGGAGAAAGAATGAAGTCAACTAATTGAGGATCTATGCTGCGAGGCCATTGTCTCAAATAGGCTTAGGACCTCCCCCACCACGAGTCCACGACTGATGGTCCTCGACCATCTGTTCATCCATCGTGCCCAGGAGTCAGGACCCATCCCAGGACCCATCCCATTCATCCCATCAATATAATCCCCCAAGATCTCACGCACTCACTCTGGTCTAGCTGCTCTTTCATACAGTCCAATGGTACCACTGGCACGCCAATTCGCTCTTCTGGCCCCTATGCTGATTGGCCGGCCTGTCTACATAATTGGTCCTTCATTTCATGGCTTAACCTACTCGCAGGTCGACTCCATACTAATTACGCTGCGGCACAGCCTCGTAAAAGCTTCGAATTCCTTCCAAGACACGTGATGATTATTGCGCGTGTCCATGCTACGAGTATGTACGAGGTACCCGGGCCGGGGACGCCAGGGAGTAACGCCATGCTTGAACTGCTTATTAGCGCCCTCTCGCACTTTATTATCCATTTAGGGTAAAACTCGTTGACGATAACTTGCGCCGATTCGCTCAAGCCTCCTCATGAGCCTCCCGGGTCCAGCGCCAAGTGGAATGGTTCCCACATGCGATCCATCAATCAGAACGGTAGGAACTGTCCTAAAAGCTTCCGATCAGTCTGAATGCGGAAATCTCCACGCAGGATGAAGGGGGTAGGGCTGAATCATGATCTTAGATGCCATGGCTCAATCGTAGCACATTGTCATGATGTGCTGGGGCCGACGGGGCCAAGTTGGATACGCACGATACTGTGAATGGTTCTACGTCTGCATTTGATGGTAGTGCAGGGGATCGCACCGCACTTTTTTTTTTCAACTCGAGCCGATGGAAAAGTAGCGACGATTTGTATATAAGTTTGAGTTCGCCTGGCAAAAAATGGATATCAACGCCTTCAACAATCAACCACCCATCCTTGATTTAGAATACTTCAACTGCTTGTCTTGTCTATTCCTGCAGACCGCAGTCCAATTCAGGTTTCAATCCAGCTGTTAGGATCCACCGCCGCCGTCACCAGAATGCCTCGACCACTCACTTCTGAGAACCAGAAAATGGAACAAGCAAGCAGTCCAGGTATCGTTCAGTACAATGATCCTGACCCCGATCCTGAACCTGAGCCGCCTGCTGCCCCACCGTAATCATCCTCCCCAGTGTCCATTTCAGTCGTACAGAAATTTTACAACTTGACAGTCTTAACTAACGGGAATTGATATCTGTTGCAGTGTTATTATCTTAGCCAAGTTCCATTCTAAAAGCGGAAAGGCCAAAAAAGCGGTAGACCAGGAACAGGATGATGGTCCATGCGCAGCTACGTCACCGCCATCGTACGGACCAATTTCTCTCATATAATATGCGTACACTCCCGCCCGTCAACTAAGCAGAAATGTAGGTCTGAAGACACAAAACGCAAACCAAAGCCAAACGGCAAGAAATATAACTTGAGGAAAAAGAGTAACCAGGAGTTAGATCCAGACTCCGAGCCCGATCCGAACCCTTTCCCTGAAGCACCACCGTAAGTTTTCAACGTATCGTCCTCAGTCAGCCACCATGTTTGCTAAACCTCAAGGCAGTATCATAATACTCTCGAAAAAACGTCGTGCATCTAAATCCCCCTCTATCGACACTGCGGACCCCGCTACCGCATCCCCACGTCCTGAAACCCCGCCGTCCTCTCCACATCCGTCCAAGAAGATGGGTTCCAAAGTCTCTAAGCTTCCCAAACAAGGCCATGGCAAGCTCCAACCATCACAGAACAAATCCGATAAAGCAGAAATGAAAGAACCTTCGAACTACTACACCCACCGTAGCAAGTCCATGCGCCGCAAGGCTGGTGTCGCCCCTGGAGCTCAGGGCAGCGGTGGTGGACTCGGTGGCAGTGATGGCAGTGGTGGTAGCGGTGGCGGACTTTCCTAGTGGAATCGACTCGACTGCTATTTCGAGTCAAGACTGAAGAGTTTATAATCGACAATGCATCGTAGGAGTTACTTATCTGCTTTGGGAATCTTGAGGAGTTTGGCATGGTTTATTCTGGTTGTGTTGTTTGGCAAGCATATCGCAGGGCGCCCTGGTGGTGGTCTTATTTCATATTGTTCTCTCTTGGCTTAGACAGCATTTTTAGTCCCACGCAATATACTTTGGACTTTATCAACACCTTGCCCTCTTCTTTGATGTATCCTCGCTGTTTTTCAGCGCTGTTTTCTTCCAACATCCCTGCGACTTCTCATCACTTTTCCATACTACAAGATGGTCAGTTCATCGCAAAGACACGAATGTTATAACATTCGAGTTCCGGCTTACGTATTCAAATTAACGTTCTTAGAAGAGTAAATCTCAAAGGTTTAGCTCTCACAAGGTCCAACGTAAACGTGGTCACTGTAGCAGCCATTGGCTTCAATGAAGTAACATTCCTTATGGTCCAATATCGAGGATGCTATCTACAATTTATCGAATGCCTTGACGGCGTCCTTGGCTGTTATTTCCGCGCTAGCTGGGTTTGCTCCGGTCACGATCCTACCGTCGGTATAAGCAAATGCATCCCAAGGCCCTGGAGGCGCGATATCTGCGGAGTCGTCAACGCTTGCATTGCATAAAGGAACAGTCACTTACAAGTGGCGCCGGAATCCTTCGCTGCGGCCTCAATGGTTGGGCGGTTCCAGCTTTTGATCGTGTCCAAGACACCCTCTTCCTCTTCGCCTTTAGTGGTAAAACCAGTGACCTTCTTCCCACTAATAATGCTCTTCCCCTGCGCATTAAGTATGCCAGGAAAAATTGCACCACCATGGCAAACAGCACTCACGATCCCTCCCCCGTCTTCGTACAACTTAGCGGCGATCTTCTGTAACCCCTTCGCATCCGGATAATCAATCAAACTCGCGTGCCCTGCCGAGGCAAAGAACAATCCGTACCGATCCCATTGGACGTCAGAAGGCTTCATCAGGTTGTCCATCTTTGCGCGAAATTCGCTGGAGTGATCTTCCCAGACCTTCCGGTCCTCTTCGGGCAGCCATTCGGCCTGTTGGGAGAGCCAGTCTGCTTGGTACGTACCCGTCTCGGAGACGAGGTCGACTTCGAAATTCGCAGCCCGGAAGACGTTGAAGGGATGTAGCGCTTCGGTGATGAAAACGCCTGTTTCTTGACCCTTTGGGTAAAGCGGAGCGTGGGCAGATGTCACTGCGATGAGGGCTCGACGAGGTGGTGCCATGCTGATGATTGCTTTCTGCTGTCAACCTTTTGAGTGAAGTAGTTGATGTGGAAATAAGGGGCGTGCTGTCCTTCCAATGTCATTTGTACTTTCACATGTGATGACGTCGTTTGGATCAGTCTGTTAAGTGATTCGCGAGCGGGTAGGTGCGGGTACACACCGTCCACTGGAGAGTGCTCCGTAGGGTTTATGCAAACTGCCTGTTCGAGCACAACCATCACCTCTCAATGCCCATTGACGCGTACTCGCATGTTCGTGTAACTAGTTGGATCATGTATAATCACTTCCCCGCAGGTACCCCGTACTCGTAGATGGATAAGCGAAATGTCATGTAATGGATATGAAGTTGTTCTGCATGAAGTCAGTCGGCGATGTTGCTCCAGAGGCGCCGCCGGATGATTAGATCAACTTGAGGCCGCACTGGACGTCTTGTGATCGGGAAGCTAAACGTTAAGAGAGAGATTGATAAGGTGACTTGTACTCATGCCTCATACGGCAGTACCTCGTATCTCGATTCTTGTAGCAGAGCAGGCCCTGAACTTCTGGATGTGGAGAGCACCTCCGTGATTGTTCGGAGACTCTGCGCTTTAATTGGTCAATCTCAACCGCCAGCCAGATCCGCTCCACTAGCGCCATCTCCAACATAGATTGTCTTGGCTGACGCGTGCGGTCTCCGCCATGCCCAGCTCAGCTCCCCCGTCTCATCTTCGTAGCTGAATGATGTTAGACACATCCTTCAGTTCATCCCCTAAATCACCGTTGATACCACTACACACTACCTTTATCCTGACTATAGCCTTATTGTTACTTTCTGTGTCCTGCATCCTCTTCCTCGATATTGCACAACATCTCTTGCCATGAGACCACTCTCCGCGCTCTCTGCCGCGCTCCTCACAGTCGCGTCAGTCACAGCTCTCCCAAGCGATCCACAGGGCCAGATCCCAATCCTCAGCAATGAATTACACAAGCCAAAGGGCGGCAAAGGCGTAGGCCATTTTAGTGAATGGAGCCGGGAGACGAAAAAACGCTTCCTTATTGACTGGCAAGAGGGACGGGAATCGGAATGGACCATCGTCCAAGGCAACGAGGGCGGTGATCTAGACAGCATGACTGCTGCGTTGACATGGGCATATCACCTCGAACACTCAACAGCTAACACTTCGGATCCACTTAAAGCCGTTGCTCTTCTTCAAACTGCCACGCATGCACTTGATCTGCGTCCAGAGAACAAGGTCGCGTTGGAGAATTCGCAGATGACGGAGGGTCATGAGGATCTTCTCACCATCGACGAACTACCCGAGGATCCCGAGACGCTTGCGCCGAAATTGAAAGGGATAATCTTGGTGGATCATGCTTCACCTCTTCGCAAGTGGAGCAATGCAAAGATTCTCAGCATCTTTGACCACCACGTTGACCGCGGAGCTGGTCCAGATGCTAAGCCGCGCATCTTTGAGCGAACCGCCAGTTGCACAACTATCGTCGCACGAACTATGCTAAATGAGCTTGAACGACTGCCAGAAGAGTACCACATGCCACACGAACTGCTCGAGCTAGTTCTCAGCGCAATTGCCATTGATTCCGGCGGCTTGACGAGCGCCATCACGACGAAGACTGATGTCGAGACCTCCAAGCGCGTCCTCAACCGCAGCGCCTGGGCTGACCGAAAAGTTGAGGATGTCATGGAAGAACTCGATGACATTCTCTCCAAAGCGAAGAAGGACCTTGACCATCTTGGCCTTCGTGACCTGCTCCGCCGCGACTGGAAGGGTGACCTCGTCGATACCCCCTCTCCCCGCACACCCACTGTCAGCCTAGGCTTTGCGTCTGTTCCGTATTCCATGGATGAGCAGATCGAAAAGACCGATTTCGCAGAGTTGTTTGACTGGTTTGCTGTCCATGCCGCTTGGACCGCTGAAGTCGGTGTCGACATAAGCATCGTGCTCAACAAGTACAAGATCAAAGACAAGCACGGCAAGAAGAAGAAGATCAGAGAGATTGTCTTGACAGTAAGAGATGATGTACGAATCGATCAGGACCAGGCGGACTCACTATTCAAGACTGTCAAAGAAGCGCTAGAGGCTGATGAATTCCTGAAGCTGAAACCATGGTACAGGGCTAATGAGCTTTCCACCAGACAGATGGTCTGGAGCCATGAGAGCGGCGCTGGGAGGAAGATCATCAGACCAGTTGTTGAAGCCGCTGTTCTTGGCTGGGATTGAGCAGTGATAGTCTTTTGTTAGATACCCATCAATCTTTGCAATTGCCAGCCCGTTTAGAGGGGCGTTTTTAGCACCAATGCCGATTGTGAAGTGTTCATTTCAGCTACTTACCGAAAGTAATCCATTAGTATTAATAGATATCTTGAATGTTTGGCACGCGTAAATCAAAGAGCAACTCTCGTGACTGGTGTCTGAATTATACTGTAGCACGGCATATCTGCTGTGATGGTTCTTTGTCCAGAGATCCTCTCTGACTTACGATCTCGCCAGAGACGATGAACATGAACCATGCAGTGGCGTTATGGCAATGAAACATTATAATAATAAAACATCATGACAACAAATAAATATAAGAATAGAACAACACTTATTCTCTTTGATGTCGATTCATGAAAGTGCCTTTGATTTACTCGCATGTCCGTCCGTTCGAGCCGTTCTTTATGCTCAGGTCGGTCGCGACGTGTATATTAGTTCGACACTTCCCCAGTGATCGAAAACCACAGCACGAAGATCATCACAATAATTAAAAACCAAAAATACTACTGGAAACCTCAATCACTACTCTTCACAATGCATTGCTTTATCCCCACGAAGGTGTACAGGACTATGGGAGGTGGCACGGCGAATGATCCTCAGGTAAGTTGAGCAGCCACATCACAGGCAGAATGGTACTGAAGAGATTAAGATCGCATGGTATTCCGATGTTCCAGCAGCAGATATTGTACCGCCATATCGACCATATGAACCATTCGAGGGGGAGGAGGAGTACGAGAAGGACATGTGAACACCTCTTCCCGGGCAAATCGAGGAGGAAGAGGAAGATGTAACAACACATCTTCCCGGGCAAATCGAGGAGGACATCATAACAGCAGATATTCTGGGGAAGCCTGAGCCATTTGAGGACATCATAAGGGCGCATGCTCGAGATCGTGGTTTCACCCACGCCTGCATTGAGTAAGTGCTCAGAAGGGCCACTTTGCTATTCAACTAACGACCCAAAAGTAAAATGGACGAGGCAATGAAGATCCAAAGGAGCAATAGAGACAATACCGAGACCACATTCCAGGTGCACAAGTGCGCCGACGTATCGTTCGGTCATAAGCCTTATGTACCTATAGAGAAAGGACATATCTTTATCGAGTGGATTGGCTCTGCAGAGGAGAAAGTGAGACTCAGGTACGTTGGGCCTGAAGATATTGGGCCTTTCTACTTTAGTCGCAAATTTCATTTAGGAAAGGGTTCGTAGATTGTTGTGCACTATTCCTTGGCAAGCCAGTTCTGATAAGAGTCGGATATGCACAAGTTCGATACATCAATGTAGATGTGATTGTTTCGTGTAGGCGCAAAAATGGAACAGTGGAAACAGGCGTTGGGTTGAAACAGGTTTTTCGTTTAGATAGTATTTCTTTAAGTGTATTGATTTTCTAAAGTGTTCTTTTTTGTTGTTGTTGTAGTATCTATCTTGATTCTCCGGCAATAGTATTGGTTCCTAGGCAGTACAGGTGTGCCCATTAACTTTTGAAAATGCCACCCCTTTTATAGGGGCTTCACTAACACCGATGTCAGTTGCGAAGTGTTCGTATCAACTGGTTACCAGAGGTAGTCTGTTAGTATTATTCAATACCTTAAATGTTTGGCATTACCGAAGTGCAACTCTCGTGGTTGGTGTCTGAATTATGCAGCAATATTGCATATCTGTCGCGATAGCCTTGTGTCCAAGATATATCCTCTGGCCTACGATATCGCCAGAGTTTATGGTCATGGGCCAAGTAGTGGCGTTTGTTTGCTGGTAGGCTCCACCACAATCAGGTAGTAAGTAAGACAGTCTAATTTTACGTGACGAATAGGTCACAGCCTGGGTCGACCACGTGGATTGGGTTGCAAAAGCAAGTATAGAAGCTGTAAGTAGACAGTGAGCCTATCTTTTATTCAATAGCGACAGAGCTTGCCAGTCCCTACTTGCGGGCAGAAAGGTATTGTCGTTGTTAGATTACTATCCACGTCTCCGCGTTCTTTCCCAGCCAGTTTTCACGGATAACCACCAGAGCGCATCACGGCAAAGATTACTCCCCCAGCAAGGGTCTATGATCGGGATAACCACCACGGGAAATCGGTAGTGGTCTATGCATAAGCGGACGGATGTCCATCGAATGGCCGTTGCTCTGGGTTCCCAAGGGCTGAAGTTGATTGAAACAACCAGGCCGCATCAGCGAACATGGCTTTGGCTAGGCTTTAGCCCAGGAATCGGCTTTGATGTTGTTTCGCGGGTGAGGATACTGGGCCGGACTGCTCCTATGTGATGTCTATTCGTCAGTGTGCCTTTGATGGTCGACTTGGGCCATCTGTAGTCCCGTGAAAATCGAGACTGTTCGTGCACGATATCTTGCCTTGGCATTGGATGTTCTGCTTTTGGGATCACATTGCCACGGAATGACCAAAAAGTACACCTAGAGCGCCTGTACTAGGGGTGTAGTGGTCGCAAAGTGCTACCGAAGCAAGAAGCCGCTGGGCGAGGTTTCAAACGGAATCGTGCATGGGGAAAGACTCCCAATCAGAACGCTATTTTACTCCTTTTGAATGGAAACTATGATTGCATAGTCGTGCTTCAGAGCCGTCCTTAGTGCTGCTCGGGTTGGTCGCAATTCGTATATTAATTCGACACATTCCCAAGGATCAAAAACCATCACACGCATACCAACAACCAACAACAACAACTGCAACAACAACATCACCGAGAAATTTAGATTCCTGCCACTCATTGAATCACTGCATCACATCGAACTTCGGCATTCCTTGAACTTGGGCCTTGTATTGAATCCCACCTCCTTGGATTGGATCCCGCCTTCTTGGATTGGATCCCGCCTTCTTGGATTGGATCCCGCCTCCTTGCATTGGACCCCGCCTTATTTACCCTTTCAAATATGAACGCGATCCAACCCAGGCCAGTAAGAAGGACGCTCGGAAGCGGTACAACCGGTGATCCTAAAGTAAGTTGTGCAACTACATTGCAGGCGAAACAGTACTGAAAACTTTTAAGATAAATTACTACTGCCTATTACCGCTCATTCTCCGAGGAAACCCTCGTGCTCTAGACGCCTTCGTAAAGGCCAAAGTCCTTGAGTTCGGTATGAGGTTTGCCTCGATCACGTAAGAATACAGAAGAGAATCGCCTTGCTATCTAACTAACAATTCGAACAGGCAAACGCGCACACCAGAAGGATCTTATGTTATACGCAATCTGGGGAGGGACTTGCGAGGTATGGAGGTCCTTGTCAAACCTCTTGTTACGGTATGGATGGGTACCGAGGAAAATATCATTACCAAAAAGGGATACATATACGGTATTTGCCTGGAGGATGATGATGATGAGCGGATAGAAGCTATTAGGTACATGGCCGACGACCAAAGGTTACCTATCCTTCAAAGGGTACTTGGCTACCTTCCAAGGGCGTGGACTACTGGAATGTAGATAGTTTTATACTTAAGGGATTGAGTCGATTTTCGTAGCTTCTCGTGGGGGTTGGATATGGGCAAGTCCGATACAGGGATGTGGATGTGATGGGATGGGGTTGTGTGTCCGTGAAGAAAGAATGGTGGAAAGAGGCGTTGGGCTTAGACAGGTTGTTTTTCAGGGCATCTCTTTCAATGTAATGATCTGCTTTATAGATTGGTTCATTTACGTTGTACAAGTTTCGTTCCCGGGAAGCAGCATTTGTTCCCTGTCAGTATGAGGCACCTAGCGCCTAATACTCATTTCGCAACACGTCGCCGTTAAAGTGTAACCTATTTCCTTGTATGAGCCCTTGTACCAGCCGTGTGGTGGCGGAGACCAGGAGTGTCATGACCACCCCACCGCCAGCTCCTGACCAAAAAGCCACCCGATCTACTGAATCCCCGCCACCTCCCCCCTTCAAGGCAACGCTGGGGAGACTTCTTTGTAGTATTGGGTATTTGAACGGCTCACACAAAAGATATGGCGGGCCCGTCACCCTTCATCCTTCACCACACTCCTCTCTTGTATCAGTGATTCGCCATACTCCTCTGTTCTACCAGTGTTTCACGATATCTGCCCTCGCATTATTATCACTCAGCTCAGAATGGACAGCTCGCAAAACCACTCAAAATCCCCCACACATGAAGGTCCCTCGCGTGAGACTCTGGACCCAATCGTATCATATCTCAAAGGATTTACCTATCAATGGCCCTGGAGTGATCGTTGTGAAGACTTAGAGAATTATCGCCCCGGAGGATATCATACCGTCCATATCGGTGACCTTTTCTCCGATGAGCGATACCGGGTCCTTCATAAGCTGGGAGGCGGTGGATCCTCGACTGTATGGATGTGCCGGGACACCCAGACCGGCAAACTTGTTGCGCTAAAAATCCTCATGGCGGACGAATCTAGTCGAGACTGTCCCGAATTGAAGGTCCAAGAGAGGCTTGAAATAAAGTATCCGAAAGCTGCAACCTCGCCCCTTTTGGCCCTGCCAAAGGACCATTTCTGGGTAGATGGTCCTAATGGACATCACCTCTGCCTTGTTATGCCTCTGCTCGGGCCACGTATCCTGGAAGGACTTTGGCGGATGCCAGACCGACAAGTCTTGTCACCAAAGATTGCTTATCAAGTTGCTCAAGCTTTAGAGCTTGTTCATAAGAGTGGTTTATGCCACGGAGGTTAGTTCACGCTTGCTATTCGATAACTCCGCATTAACTTTTGCCAGATTTCCACCCTATGAACATCCTGCTCAAAATTAAAGAGCTTGATGATCTTGATGACGAATCTCTCCTTCAAATGTTGGGGTGGCCGAAGTGTGAATCGATTGTCCTTCAAGATGGAAGTTCGCCAGGACGCAATGCTCCTGCATACGTTGTTGAATATCTCAATTTCGATCCTAGTCTCTACAAGAACGAAATTTGCCTCATCGACTTTGGCACGTCGATCCCTATAGGCACTCCAAGTCTTTGTGAAAGGGTTCCGCTACTGCCTTATATCTCTCCCGAGTTTCTTCTGCAGCGGAACCCAGGACAGCACAGCGATCTCTGGGCCCTTGGCTGCATGACTTTTGTAATCATTACTGGAGAAGAAACTTTCCCTTGTTGTACTCGATATCCGTCAGAATTGGTACCGCAATGGGTACAGTTATTGGGTCGCATGCCGGATGACTTATGGGGCATGTGGGAGCATCGCTCACGGTTTTACGATGAGGAAGGCAAGCCTGTGAGTGAAGACGACGAGTACATACTATATATGACGGAAAAGAAAACATGGGATCAGATCATATCGGAGAGCATCACCTCTGATGATGGCACTCCCAACAACAATTCAACGCTGGGGGATTCAAGTGTTGACCGAGCACTGTTCACTGATTTGATCTCCAAATTGGTGCAGTATGACACTGGAGCGCGAGGTAGCGTCACGGAGGTTTTGGAACACGATTATTGGAAAGTTGACAGAGGGATCAAAAATGTGAAGAAGCGAAAACGGACCTCTAGCGTTGGTGATGTTGACGCTGGCACTGCAACTTCAACTTCCAAGGTAGACGGAGAGATCAAGGACGTGAAGAAGCCAAAACGAGCCTCCAGCATTGCTGATATTGACGATGGCACTCCATCAACACCAAAGGAAGACGGAGAGGACAAGGGTGTGGAGGAGCCAGGGCAAGCCTCCGGCATTGCTGATGTTGACGATGGCACTCCATCAACACCAAAGGAAGACGGAGAGGACAAGGGTGTGGAGGAGCCAGGGCAAGCCTCTGGTATTGCTAATGTTGACGATGACACTCCATCAACACCAAAGGAAGACGGAGAGGACAAGGGTGTGGAGGAGCCAGGGCAAGCCTCCGCCATTGCTGATGTTGACGACGACACTGCATCTTCAATGACCAAGGTAGACACCCAATGAATTAGGACAGTCGTTTGGAAGGGGGGCCATGCTTCAAATCAATGGGAGACGCACCATCCGCGGGTATATTTTCGGTACTTCAGGTCTAGCTATTTAACAGTCTTATGGAAACATTTAACATCTCGTGAAAACTTTCTGAATATGCTGCGACAGAGACTGAATACTCTCATAGTGGGAGGGAAAGCTAGAGCATCGACTCTACATGTTGTACGCTTCGAAGATGAGATATTACAAAGTCAGTGGAAGTGGAGTCTCAATCTTTGGGTGGAGATTCAATTACTCTCTACCTCGGTACTGCAATGCTTGGCGGCATCTCGGTGCTCCACCGTCAAAGGAGAGCTTCGTTCCATAACTTTACTGCAATAACCATCCGTGTGACTGCAGCTATCTATCAATTACTGGAATTTGTAATTGAAACCTGAGCCTTCCCCCCACTCCAATAATCAACTTGATTGAATCTTGCCAAACATGTCATCTTCATTCGACATCATTGCCGTGATCCAACCCAGGCCGGGCAAGGAGGGAAGGGTACGTTTGCATCCAGTACTTCATTTTTCCTTTGGGTCATATTAGACTAATTGGAGACTTCTTTCAGGTAGAAGATCTTCTCAAGGTGGCTGCCGCAGCAGTGAAAGCCAACGAGCCAGGCACTTTGAGATATCATGTGATGAAGCAAACAAAGGTGAAACCTGGGCAAGCACCCGCCTTCATCATGCTAGAAACGTTCGTCTTGCCTCCCTTTGTTCTTACTCACAGAACCTGTTCCAGCTTCATCGCAATTGGTCTGCGCAACATCGCCTTGTTCTTGGGGTTTACTTGTTCCATCGTCTGAGTTGTTAGGAAGGCGCGCGCTAATGAAGAGTACAGATACAAAGACGAGCAGAGCTTGGGCATTCATGCTGCGAGCAAGGACTTCAAGGCTTTGGGACGCGCATTCAAGCAGGAGGATTTGTTGGCTGAGCCCATGAAGCCGTACTTCACGAAAGAGGTCGGGGGATTTGCGAGTAAATTGTAGAGCGGAGGCACGATCGGTGGGGTGAAGGAGAGTGGGAAATCCATCATCTCAACCAATTCCATACTATTCGAACTATATGCTATAAGTTTTGTGTCGGCAGCCACTTGTCCGATGATATTGTGCAAAGTCATACAGCTTCACAGCATTTTTTGGTGTGCGGGCAACGCTAGGTGCATGACATCCAGCGCTTAAGTCTCTCCGGAACGCTCATGAGCATAGCAGAGCAACTCTTACTGTCCTCTATGACCACTGATGCTATGCCACACACCAGATCGTATGCGAACCTACTCAGGGGGACCAGTGGTAATGTGTAGCCGTGGGGAGCGTCGATCCAGCGAAATGGCGCCAATTCGTGAACCATGTGAGCTTCGAGTCCGTAAAACCAGCATAACGATCGAGCCACAGAATAGACTGCTAGAACAAGGGCCTGCACAAGAAGGTATGCTTTCCAAGTCTTCGAAATAAACTTCTGGGTAGTATGCAATAGGATGCTTAAGGTGAACACCGACTTGTCCGAGAACGACATAGAACTTGGCTGGTATCGAAGCTGAGATCGTCCACGATGAACTCCTTTTGCTTCATTCCGACCTGTGTCAGATTCGTAGTCCCTCAAGAAATCCAGGGGATCATTCTCACCCCTACAGTCCCACACCCCGCCATATGCATCTATTGTAGCAGTTAGAAAGCTAAATCCAGCTTGAAACCCGAGTAAACGTACCAAAGTCTTCCACCTCACGATGGAGCGCACTTGGCCCACCATGCGACGAGCCGTGGGCGAGCGTAACCGGATTTTTCGATTTCCGCGCAGCTTGCAGCCGCCTCTCGTGCTCCCGCTGGGCTCTCTTCCGTCCCTGTCTCGATCTATCACGTCTCACCTGACGCCCACGGTCTCTGTTTTCCTGTATCTTGGATCTCATTCGTAGCCATTGGCACTCCATCTTTACCCAGTTGTCGGAAATTCCAAGAAGGTGAAGAATTGCCAGTGCTATGACGGCATAGTTGGCTTCGCTTTTCAGGTCTAACCTGAACACAATGTATTGGATAATAGCTCCGCCAAAGAGCAATGCCATGTTGGCGAGAGGGCGTTCCCATGGGGGAAACCTGGCCATCATTTCATACGTTCTAGGTGGAAGAAGTGCCGCTAGAAACATGAGCTGCATTGCGGCAAAGGCATCTTCTTTGTATGCGCGCCATATGGAGAGTCCGACCAAATAGACACCCTTGAAAAGTTGAAGGTCATGCGGGACAGAGAGATATTTTTTCAACGCACAGTCGATCAACCATGGATCTACCGTGTAGAACCATGGTGGCAGTAGCAAAATGGGCAAGAGGATTTGTCCAAGTGTCAATTGACACACGATGACGAGTGGAAAGGAAACGATCTGGACATTTCTTCGCTTCAAGCAGTATGTTAGTTATTTACGATCAAAGACTGACGGATATGCGAGAGCCACTTACGTGCTGTCTTCTATAGTGATAGAATGGAATGAATTTGGAAAGAGTGAGTGTCCAGCTGATGTTTGGCCGCCTATCTCGTCGAGAGCGCGGAGGTCCAATGGAGGCTGAGGTATCATCGTAGTCTGTTAGAAACAAGATTGGATCTATGACCCTGACTTCAAGTGCGTCCTGCAGTGCGGTGGACATGTTCGCAACAAGCAGCAAGTTTTACGATGGACAGTGGAGAACCTGCGATGCCTTTGACGACATGAGCTTCATATAGTACACCATACGGCATAGAGACAAAGAAGCCGATCCAAACGTAGCGGTATCAAACAATCAGCGGCGCATTATCATCCTAGGCAGGCATCAGTAGGCACTGATAGGTTGGCAGCTTGGAACAAAGAGCTTGCTGGCAATTGCTAGAAGGACAAAGAAGATCATGGTCCCAAATCTTCGCTGGCCAGAATGCTGCTGAGACCTATGTTCCATCAAGAACTCTCAGACACGCAGCTTTCAGCACCCCACTCACACCCAAAATGTTTGCTTTTTTGATCGAATGCGAAAGTCTGGTGGATGTGGTAGTCGAGGCGAAGCTACAGGAATCTTGATAAACTTTTGACCATATTAGTAGCACATTCATGAAGATACGCTCGACTGGTGTGGATATTCTAGGTAATATATGAGTGATTCAGTTGGGCCAAAGTGTGGAAACAAGCCACTTCCAACAGATTGAAACTTGCAGGATGGTGATGCAGCGAATTGGCACGCCGGGCATCCCCCTGCTATTCTTTTATGCCCACACTGATACGTCTGCAAGACCTTGATACCGTTGTCTAGCTACAGTATATTCATCACTACCTTCTTGGGGTAATGAAGATAGTTGCACGAAGCTTGCACCTTCTCACCCTCTGTGGTTTACGTCAAGAGCTGGAAGCCTAACCAACTAAGTTTTCTATATATACACTGAAACGTGGCTCAAAGTGGAAAGGTGTCACAGGATGCTGCTCGTCTGCTGAGCTACGTGCATTGTGGAGCCCCCGCCAACCAATGTATATATGCATCACCCCATCTTGGATATGCTCATTTTCATCTTGTCGTATCTCGAATACCACAACAATCCATCACCCCAAGCCACTATGGACTTGATAGCGAAGGCCTACCCACCGCTGGACCAGCGCAAACCCTTCCCTATATTTTACCAGCCGATTGTTTTTGCCTTGACCCTCATCCCATTTCTACTTCCCAACCGTCGCATTATTGCGGTCTTCGTCTCCCTTCCTCTACTCATACTTTGCATTCAAGCACCACGCTACACAGCTGGTAGTGCGCCAGGCGACTACTATGGAAGCTCCACATACATTGCAATTCTCCTCTGGTTCATTGAATTTGCCATCTGCACTCCTGAGAATGGTCCCGGTGAACCAATCTTTATCGGCGCACCGCCAGACGTGAAAACTTCCAAGAAGGAAAGACAAGCCTGGAGTCACCTTATCTCCACAAGGCAAAGGCTGAACTGGGCATTCTCACTAATGATTCCTTCGCATCGCGGAATTGGATGGAATTGGCAGATCAAGAACATACCATCAGATCCTTATAGACACCTTGCCAAGTGGACCTACGTCCGCAAGCATCTCACCTGGGTTCTTATTTCGTATGCTCGCTCAGTGCTGTGGCTTGTACTTCTGGGGTTTTCGTCGAACCTGCAGGGGAGACAAGGGCGATCTATCGTTTCCGTGGAGACTGCGGCGTTGAACGCATTGATCGGTTGGTCTGGCGGCTTCTGGGTCTGGGATCGCCTGAGTGCCTTCTACAGCCTTTTAGCTGCCATTTCTGTCGCCTTCGGAGTCTGCGAGACATGGCAATGGCCGCCGCTGATGGGAGATATCAGCAAGGCGTATTCGGTTGGCAACGTGTGGAGCGTCACATATCACTCCATCATGCGGAAGGTATCGTTACCATATTTCAAGCTTATCGGGGGTGTCAGGACTCTGATATTCATTCATCTAGATGGTTTCACAACCCGCTCTACGGATTACACGACTCCTTCGCTTCCGCAAAGGCGGACTAGGTTCTCGATGTAGCCAGCTTTTCCTGTCTTTCGCTTTCAGCTGCCTCGTACATCAGTTTCAGATGTTTTGCGTTACGCGAAGAGATATGGGTGAGTTTGCGTTTTTCATGTCGCAGCCTGTCGCGATCGTGTTTGAAGAGTGCGTGCGGGCGGTATGGAGGAAAATGCAAGATCGAGGCCAGTTCCATGGTGCAGGCCTCGTGGGAAAACAAATTGGGTACATTTGGATGTTCCTATGGTTCTCGTATAGTCTACCAATCTATGTGAAAGGGTTTAGAGATGCAGGGACGACATCGGATATTTTGTTCCAGAAAGGTCCCATGGACTTGGGAGCGCAATTGGCTGAGAGGTACCTCGGATGAGAGCCCTAGTTCAAAGTAACAGAAGTTGCATACATCACGGCGAAGAGAAGAGAGTATGGAAACATATTACATTAATCAAATATGTGCGCGCATACTTTCCTCCATGCACCATCTAAGCTTCAGCATTTACAAGTCTCTCCTAGCGGCTGTTCCGTTGCGTCCAACGCGGAAGCTCTCGGGTGGTCCATTATGGCTATACACGACCCCACCCAAATCCAAGACGACCTTCTGAAGCACAACATTCGGTTCTACAAGCCAGAGCTTCAAAGTATGTGCTCCTGGTTTGACCTCGCCCCAGCTGGTAACATTCTTCCAGGCATTCTGGGCAACTGCAAACTCCCAACCGGCTGGGAACTTGGGTTGAGGTTGATCCACAACGTATTGACGGCGCTGCTCAGGCTTGTCGTCGATCTGAGCAATGTAAGCGAGAGGCTGCTTGGGGTTGATATTGAGGGTAGGAGAGAAGATGAGGGTCACGTTAAGAGCTTTTGCGGCAGTGGTGGGCGTGAAGGTATAGAAGTCGTACTCGAGTAACGGGGCGGTAGATGAGGTGAGACCCGCACTCGCTTCGGAGTTCGAGTTGAGTTTGATTGCAGAGAGTGTGCGGCCAAGGCCTGGAAGTAGTTGGTAGGAAAGATTCCCAATTGGAGTGACCCGTGTGTAGTGCTCGGCTTCGAAGGCAACCTGACCAGAAGACTCGACGAAACCATTTGTGAAGGAGGAGGGAATAACGGTGTTGTTGATGGGAAGATTGACAGTCGGCATGCCATACTGAGTTCCGTAACCAGTAGAGGATGTGATGTTGAGAACGGTCTTCTTGCCAGTGCCAGTGGGTGCTTTCGTCCAATCAATCTCGACATATACACGAACATCATCATCATCAGGAGAAATGGTGCCAGAGGACTTGGAGAGCTTAACAAAGGGCTCCGCCTGAATCTTCCAATCGAAAGGTTGCGTGCCGACGCTATAGATCTCAATCCAGCGGGGTGGCGTGTATGGGGAAATTGGTACGAGATCCAATGATCCTCCGCCATTTGAATGCCAAATATCATCACCTGGAATTGTCGCATTGCTGCCTTCAACGGTGACACCCATATCACCGGCAAGGGATCGCTCCAGCGTTTGCACCCATCGGAGGTAAGGTGTCATTTGGCGCATGGGCTGTTGCCTCGTCGATGTTAGCATTTCAATATAGTAATGTGGGAATCAGTTACTCACCAGTAGCCCTGGTAATTGATATGTGTCTGATCCATCATGTGATTCCATTTACCGTTCAGAAGTGTATGGTATTGGCGAGTGAGGTTGTGGTCCGTCTTCATTCCATCAAGAACTCGTTGGAAAAGTTTGTTGGCACTGTTCCTCGATTGTCCCGAGTAGATTATGTTCTTCGCACTGGAGACCTGTATGTCTACATGATTGCCTCCCGCAAGAACAGGATGAAGTACGGTCTGGTAGAAGGACGGCTGCTGAGATTCCGGCAGTACATCAAAAATGGCTTGCGCTTTCTTGCCGATTTCAATCCACTGAGCGATCAGCTTGTCAGCCTCCTGATAGTTCAGCACACTGTAATCCTGTGGCTCAACAAGCTCAAATTTGCGCATGTTGGATAGGAAGTTGTACTTGTCGATGATATCTGATATCGCCTTTGCGTGCTCACTGTCAAAGGTTCGCGAAGCCCAGTCTTCGATCCAGGCGGGTGTGCTAGTCTCATCAAAAGCATCGATGTCATATGCAAGATCGAACCAATGCGAGATGGGGATCTCGTAGGGTTTGATGTCACCAACATTGACGACCCAAAGACGATCAGCATTGCGGTCTTTTGCGAGACGCATTTGTTCGTATGTCTTTTGGAGTTGAATGGTTGGAAGCCATTTAAAGTTTCGGGTGTCTCCAACATAATCGAAGTGCTTCCGACCGTTAGTATCCTATCAGTCGTACATTCAAATTGGCCACAACTTACGTAGTATACACCAGCGCCGCCTGAACGCTCGGTCTCATTGCCTACGGGGAGTCTTCGAATATTCTGCCAATTGTCCTCTGTCCAGAGCAGAGTGACATGGTCGGGCACCCTCATACCGGCCTCAAAATAGTCTTGAACCTCTTTATATAAGCACCACACCTGTGGAACTTTGCTAGCATCGCCAAGCACATTTGTGAGAATTTCTTGTTGGGCATCGACGACAGCTTCTAGCACCGACGTCTGGACATCTGAGCTCATTGCCGTGTCGTGGTAACCGCGCATCCCAACGGTCACGACGTTCTCGTAGTCCTTAGCGCGCTCGATGCCGTCGGTGAAGTACTTGTAAAGCGAGGCATTGTTCGTAGCCCACTGCCAACCTGATTCTCCACCCTCGCCAAAGATTCTCCATTCCTTTGTGGCACGAACCATAGGCTCTGTATGAGACGACCCCATCACAACACCGTATTCGTCGGCAAGGGGCTGGTTGCGAAGGTCATCTGCGCCAAACATGCCATTCCACATGGCTGGCCAGAGGTAGTTGCCCTTCGATCGTAGAATAAGTTCAAAGACATGCGAGTAGAACTGGGCGCCAAAGGCGCTATTCCACTGCGACTTTGGATATCTTGCATTGACCCATCCAGTCAAGGCCGGGGCTTCGTCATTGATGAAGAACCCACGATACTTGACTGATGGTGTTTTCTGGACTTTTGTAGACTTGACTGCGTAGATAGCATCGTGGGACTTCGGTGCTACGTCGGCAAACCAATACCATGGTGAGACGCCAATTTGCTCTGAGATTGAATATAGACCGTAAATCGTCCCGCGCTTATCGGAGCCTAATACAGTATCAGCATTTGACGTTTATCGTGAGCTACACCAAACGAACCGGCAATGACCAAAGCCTCATCGGTGCCATTCATGGGGTTTGCAACCACGGCACTGACATACGACTCCCATTCGCCCTCAACATTGCTAACGTCGAGCTTCCCACTCTTGATCAACGCATCGATCAGACTGGAGTTTCCAATTGTGCCTGCAATGATAGTGCCTGCTCCCGTGCTGGAACCTGTTCCATTGCCACTAGATCCCACACTCCAATCTGGCCGAATCCCAGTGACATTGAAGATAGTTGCAGCACTCTTGTTTCCCTTCCCAGAAGCCGTGAGTGTGCCATTGAGTCCGGTGACGCGACCGAAATCAATGGCAACGTCGTGAGCCGCTCTTAGGACACCGGGCCAGTCTGCGCCGTCGACAAAGACGTTGACGACGGATTCTTTTGAAGCGAGCAAAAGGCTTCCATTGCTGTTCTGGAACTCGATTGTAGCTTTCGGGGCTTTGAATGCAGAAACTGTCGAGGTCACAACCAAGCCCAGTGAGAGCAAATGCGTAAGGAGCTGCATCTGTACGTCAGAGGTTGACACGATCTAAGAGCAACAAAATTCAAAAAGGCTCCGGCGATGCACATCAACCACTGGGAGAGGGAGGCACAAGTATGGAGGGAACTGACTGCAGTATATATTACATGTTCGTAGCTACAGCAGAACCAAAGCTACCCAGCTATCCCCTTAATATGCTAGCACGAGGGAACTACGGCGCAATGGTGAAGGAAACATACTGGCATGGACCGAGGACCCAGGAACAAGAGAGCTCATGCTGGTACGATGCGGCGCCCAGCAACGGTCCGATATTGACGATCCCCGGGTATTTCAAGTGGTTAAATTAATAAGACCCGGTCGACTACAGACACGACTGTTCCATGCTGCACTTCGAGAATATTTCTATACTTGATCGTCTGGATCCCTTGGCTCTGAGGGACTAATTCATGGTAGTTCATATACATGTCCTGTGAGATAGATGAATACGAAACGAGTTTCCAAGGGTAGGACTTGTGAATTTGGACACAAGCGATGTCAATTAAATTCTTCCGGCTCAGCAATTGGCATCTTGAACTTCCATGATGTCTCTCGAAATCGATACGGTCAATTCAAAGCGAGTTTGGCCACGGCTTGGAAACGGGTGATCGGGTTGATGGATTGATGATGTTGCGGTTAAAGTCCATCTTGTCCCAACCCTATTTCGACATTCTTCCCCGCATGCGCTAACCCCTCCTTGCCTCTAGTTTCTTCAAGTGACGGTGGGACCCTTCCCGCCAAGCCGTCCACCTTTTTTTTTTGTCAACATCCCTTTGAGACTCTACTTGCGCTGGTGCTACAATTTACCCACCTGTCACTGTAGAAAGACCAATACGCTTGTACCGCCACGGAGTAAAGCGTTCTACCTTCCGAAATACAAACCACCTTCCGTTCGCACGAAAGCGAAGTTCCCCAATGGCCCAAGGCGCAGTCAAGAAAGCGCACAAGGTCAGCGCACCGAAAAAGTACCGCATCCACCACACATTCCGTACCTAGTGCTACAAGGACTAATGAGATATCGCGTATAGGGCATCTGGACCCCAACGCGGCTCGCGCGTGATCAAACCGAAAAAGGCATCGTTGATACAACAGCAAAAGATCAAGAAGAAGGTTACTGCCGGATTGACGCCGCAGACGGAGAAGTTGCTCGCTCAAAAGGCGGGACATCTAGAGATGTTGAGGGGTGGAAAGAAAGATAGGAAGAAGGAAGGAAAGACTGGCTGAAACATGGTCAACTCTTCTTTCCCACCAGAAGGATCGTCCACATCTAAGAGAAGAGGCACAGTTCGACAATTTAAGAGGGTGCATGGTTCACACAAAGGAAGCACATTCTGGCGAAGGTATACAGGGGAAGCTTGGAAAAGTAATCTTCTGGTGGAGCCGTTCCAGTAGCCGTTCAAGCATCAAAGGGCTCCAGTTTCACACAATCAGGAGACGGCAGTGTCTCTGCTCCAAACTATCACACATAAAGAGGAGCGCAGCAGAGCTACATGGAAAAGCGCAGATTCGCTTCAAACTCCGAACGATTGTGTTTCATGCGTCTTGCCTCTGAGCGACCACGCCTAGCGGTTGTCCAAGACCGCGCTCTCCTGCGCCAGAAAAAGTAGAAACACGTAGGACAGGTAGATGCCAAGTAAAAGAAGTTATCGTCACGTCCGTCTCAACTAGATGATGCAACATGTGAAGTTGATCATATGATGCCAGCACGGGCAGCTTCGCCTCCACCTGCCTCCACCGCCGCCTCTCGTGCTTTTCCACGACCAATTCCACCCTCACCAACGCCCATGCGACGAGCTACGTATCGCTGGGCGACGATGCCAACACTCAATCCGATAGTCTCTTCCATCCACTCGGAAACCCACTCTCTTGGATCAACACCTCCGGAAGCGATGATCTCCTCAATCGCAGCTGGCAGTTGTTGCTCTTCTCCTTCGGCGGTGGTTGGTGCTGGAGCGTCTAGCCACTGCACCCATTTTGCAGGGAACGATTGACTCAGCGTCTTGAATGTGATGCTGTGGATAGGGTCGTAAAGATAGATAGCAAATGCTACTACATCATCCACCTCCTTTTGCTCTTCGACGCCGCCAGTCTTCTCTGGCTCTGTGGATACCGAGGGAGCGAACAGATCGTCCTGCGCAGGGTAACTGACTGCTTGAATAGCCAGGAAAATATCGCTACTTCGGACAGGGTTGCTCTCGCTCAAAGACTCGGTCGCTTGTTTCGCTGCTTCCTCCAAGCCACCTTTTGAAGCGAAGAGTTCGGACGCATAGGATTCTGCGCTGATGCGAGCGAGCTTTGTTCCCTCAACCAATCCTTTCACCACCGAGAGATCGCGGCTGTAGGTGTCGCGCCACCAAGGCCCATCATGCCAGCCACTGCTCCCTCCCCGAACTGCGTCCAAAGAACTACGCTTCTGTGTTGACTCGGAGCCCCGCTGGATGACAAGCAAGTCTCCCCCCTCAACTTGCGCCATTACGGTAGAGAAAGTTTGGTAAATGATCGGATCGAGCGAAGGATATCCGATGAGATCGTGCGTAATGTGGATTTGGAGGCGCTCATGCTGGGAGATTGGTGGTGCAAGAGTATGGAGGATGTTTGTGAAGGTAGGAAGTGCCCGTTTACCAAGCTCACCTCCTGTCTTGAGTTAGCGTTCGCATAGTAGAAAAGCAATTTGCAGTCAAGGCCCACCAATGCCGCGCAGAGCTCCCACGTTTCCGCGCACTTGTTCCGCCCATCGTTGGGCTTCTTGATTCTTCTGAATCTCCTGATAAGCGGCCTCGGCACGTTTCCTTGCGGCATCAGCCGTGGCAGTAGCTGTAGAAAGAACGTTGGAAAAGCCTCCCCACCAGCCTCCACCAGACTGCTTAGGTTCGTCGGCAATCTTCGCAGGCTCTTCCTCTGTCGGGGCGAAGCTTTGGTGGAACGACCTGGCGCTCTCTCCAGACTTCCTCGGCGCCTGAACCCTCTCTTCACTTGTGCGCGTTGAACCCGTTGATGATGGTGTCGCAATACCAGCGCCAGCACCTGGCCGGCGAGGGTTTGTGGTGGACGTTGAGGACGATGACGGAACTTTGGGGGTATTGGGCCGACTGGACGGGCGAGCAATCTCTGGTCGCTGGAATTTCTCCAATGCTTCAAGCTCCTCGAGCTCCTTGAGAGCATCAGTTTCTTGCTCGGCGCTTTTGCGCGGTGCCTTTGGGACTTTGGACGTCTTGGTCGGAGGTGCTGCGGGAGCCTCCGCCTCCATCTCTAGCTCGGCGAGCTGCTCTTCGAGTGTTTTAGGAGGCATGGTGTGGGGTTACAAAGGGTGGGAATTAATGCACAGGTGGAAGAGGGGACGATTGAGGTTGGCGTGTTGGAGGAGCTGTAATTAAGCTGTTAGTACATAGTACGGCGTAGGTTGAGGTTGTCCTGTTCCGCCCTGTTCTACCCTATCAACGATTCGTATTGTTGGGTAACGTCGATGTCATGGACGCGCTAAGCTCCATCTGGCCACGACAGGCTGTGATTGGCCACTCTAACTCTTGGCGGTAAGGGCTTCGTTTTCTGAAGCCACCAGCTTTACCTTTACTTTCGTACGCCCGAACAAAGATCACCACATCAACTACCCTCCCCATTGCCTTGCAAATTCAAGTCTTTGGAACCAGATTCCTCCTACTATCTTGAATCTCTCTTCTGGATCATCTTTCTCGCAGCCTCATCTTTGCGAATTTCCTTGTTCTGTTTCTTCACTTCGGCCAGTCCGTCACCCTGACTGTCGATTCGCGCTACGCCTTCACGGGATTGCGCTTGCATGCACCAGGAATATCTTTCTCCCTCAATCAATTCTCATTGCTCTCGAGTCCCTACTCCTTGGATGTCTATTTAACTCATCAACTTTGATGCCTGGCGCAAGGAATATGCCTCCGCGCCTGTCGCAGCGCCGCGGCGCGCAAGAAGATGAGCCGCCTATGCGAACCCGTTCCGGTCGTGGAGGCAAGTCAGCATCTGCTGGAAAACCAGAGAAATTCGACTCCATCACCCCCAAGACGAGTCCCGTACAAAGCAGCGCCACTCCATCCATCACGCGAAAGGCTACTCGCTCTTATTCCAATATTTCCGCCTTCGATGTGGGCGGATCAGGTGTTTTCGCTACTTACCATTCCCGGGTTCTCAGTGTCCATGGGTTGTCTCCCGACTTCTTGCAAGATCTCTTTGAGAAAGATCGCCGCGCCTTGCGAAGGGATCGAATGATGAGAGGCAACTTCACTCAATCCGATCTTGATGATGAGACGAGCGAAGACAGCATTGAGGAAGACCCGACGCCGCCACGTGCCACTGGGCCCCGGGGTGGGCGAGGCGGTCGCGGAAGCCGTGGAGGACGCGGTCGAGGCAGGGGAAGAGGACGCGGACGAGGACGAGGAGGTAGCACTCTCACAAGAAGCGTCTCTCCATTGCGAACGCGACACTCTCGCAATGCGGCTCCTGTGTTTCCTCTTACAGAAGAAGAGGAGGATGCAGCCAATCAGGAGTCCACGGACGAAAATGCCAAGAATTCTCCACACTATGATGAGGATGTTGAAATGGAAGACGCCCCAGAGGATGAAAGTTTCGCCGTCCAGGAGGCAACCAAACATGATCTTATCGAAGAGGACACTCCAATGGGCTCGCCGACAACAGCAGCGACCTCGACCATCATGGCTGAAAAGTCAACTAATGCACTTTCGGCTAGAGACTCACAGCCTGCTTCGAAGCAGTCTGCTTCACAGAGCCGTCAAAATGAGACATCGAACTCTTCAAATGCCCCCACACCTCCAATGTTGAGTGCAGAGGATGATGCATTGTCCGACTCTGATCTCCCCGATCCTTGGATTGACGATCATGTACCACCAAGGGAGGCAACGGAGTCTGAGGATATGGCAGACTACCTGCTGAAAATACGATATAAGCCAGTGACTGATGCCCAAGATATTCTCGCCATTTTGACGAAATTTCCTTTGGCTCAGCGCAGCACCGAAAGCCTCTATGCCTTGGCAGAAAACACGCAGATGATTCTCCAAGCATGGCAGGATGAATATCTCATGCTGGATGCTAAAGTAAGTGATACACCTCGACCACCATTGCGCCACTAACAATGCATCCACAGACTGCTCCACATGCTCACCCACCCAAGAAGCCAGCCAATGGTGGTCGCATACCCCTTGCACCAGGCGTCTTTGAAGATATGAAAGAGGCGGATCTGTACAGCTATGTTTACGATCCAAAGAAAGGAGAAGGTCGCCAGGACATGTTTGCTCAAAGAATTGGCGCGGAGAAGTCTGGTGGACGTGAGCTCCGTCAGCGACGCGCTCGAGATCTGTTGGACTCTGCTGCCCCAAGCGAAGAAGAGGATGATGACGACAACGAAGGTCGAGGTCTTGGTCGACGCCAACGACGTGCCACCCGTAAATTTGAGAGTGGTGATCAAACGACGGGCCAAGTCACTCCACAGAAAAAGAACAACAATGGTTGGGGCGGTGCGCGCAAAAGAGGGGTGAGCAAATATGCTCAGGATAACTCCGAGACGCCTGAGCCAGACGGCCGCGTAAAGCGTCAGCGTGTCGGTGGGGGCTCTCTTTTACATCTACGCATCCAAGAGATGCGAGAAGAATCCGCAGTTACAAGCTCCGGCGATGAAGGAGGCTCTTCGGTAACATCGCAAATTGTGGAGGAGCCACAAGATGTCAATAAGAAGCGTGGACGGCCAGCTGGTAGCAAGAACGTCAGTAGGCGGAGTGACTATGGGATCAAGAAAGGGCCACGGAAGAAGACTACCGAAGCATTTTCTACACCTACACCACTCCCTCCTGCAAGCGCTCCTCCGCCGCAATTGCAGTCGATGAGCGAAGGGCAAAATCAATTTTCTCTTGAACCACAGCCCGTCATCGCACCACCACCAATCATAGAAGCAGCACCCAAAATTATTCCCCAGCAACCTGTTGCAACAGTCTTCCAAGCTACTCCGCAACCCCACGGCGTCGAGTCCATTGCAATTGCAAATATACCAAGCGAGCAGTCTACCCCAGACACATTCATGAATACGACACCTCTCAGCCAGTATGGTAATGCGCAAGTCGAAGACCATAACGCAGCTGGATCTGCCGCAAAGAGAAAGCCGAAGGTCAAAAGTGAGAAACGCAGTCAGTCTATGACTATATGGTGGGCTGAAAGGAAGGCCAAGCAGAAGAAAGAAGAAGAGAGATCCGGGAAATCCACTCCAAGCAGGGCGGAAACCCCGAAGGGCAGTAATCGGCGAGGCGGTAAGGGGCTCTCAGGATCGCGCCCCGAACCACAGCCCCTTCACCTCCAACCTCAACCTCATCATCACCAACAGTCTCCTGTCCAACTCCAGCCTCAGTTGCATCATCCACACACCATGCAGGCCGAGCCCCCTCAACATCAACCTTACGGGTCATCGCGGCCATCGTATCATCACCTTCCGGGCTACTCAACCATTGCAATGACTGCTCCATCGCCTGTTCAAATGTATGGCAGTGCACCGCCAACAGGTCCTGCACCGCCAGCTCCACCGCCTCCTACCATGCCATCATATATCCATTCCAACGTGCTCAGTGCACTTCCAACTTACGGTTCAGGTCCTCTTGGTCCTCGGCACTCGATGCCTGCCCTCGCTCCCGCGCCTATGGCTCCAAAACCGATGACATATCCCAGCCCATATGGCCCACGAACAGCACCACGACCCAAAAACACCGCTCCGCCTACATTGGCTCCGGCACCCGCACACGTCAGCCCATATCCCCCACCTCATTCCGGTCCTGGGCCGACTGCCCAACGAGAAGTAGTCGAAATGCCGTTCAAAGTCCTGGTTCCTGGGCCACCTCCACCCCCGTCGGCAACCGACAACGAGCGGCGCTGATCGGGCTACCATCTTTACAGCAATCGTACATTATCTTCCAGAGACTCCCGTCATCTTCTCGCCTCCATTGTCACCAGTCCCGGAACCTCAAAACGGCGCATACTACAACTCGGCTTTGAATCCAGCATGTGCAACTCTATTACCCTCTTCCTCAAACGTGGAGCACATGGATGAAAAGAGGGAGTGTTTAATTTTCTTTTCACAGGTTGGCTTGGGGCAAAATCCAGCATTACTGCGTTTACATGCCATCCTCGCTTTCTCTCCGTTGAATATGGAGAGAAAATCCCCGCCCGGCATTTTGTATATATTTGTCTTTTTTCCAGGTCCTCCCCCTTTGCATTGCCTCGGGCCCTTTTCTTCTTCTCATTTTTGGGGGTTTGGCTTCATATGGGTCCTTCAGAGCATGCTACGGGATCATGGGAATTCACAGAATAAGTTTCAAGCTGGATTCAATCAGTAGGAGTTTACAAAGAGTAATTATCATGCAGTGATTAATGTAAGAATACATAAGAGGATTATTATACTTTAATTACAAGGTTGTTCCGGTTCATAAAATTCGTGTATGCAAGTCGCATCCTTTGTCCTTCGTGATTTTGATAATAAATAGAATTTATTCCAATGGAGATACTTGGACACCTGGTTAATTGAGGACATTTCAGTTATAGAAGAATCTAGTATGGAAAAAAATAATGATGAATAGAATTATTATTGGATAATAATTTGCAAGTGTCTGACATTAGGCACATGTGATGCGATGAAGTTGTCCCCTACGCTGTAAATTTGAATTTAAAAATTGAACTCTCCCTGATGTAATTGGAAGTCCAAATCAGTACGAGTGAATTCGCAGGTGGGCATTTTCCACATTATCAGCCAGGCTTCTATAGGAAGAACCAGAAAAACAACGTTAACGAGGGCGTTCGGCGCCGTGTAATATTCTACCGCAAGGTCTTGATCATCCCCGTACTGCCCCAAAACATTGAAAGAAGAACTGCCGCAACGGTAAGTGGCACCGCGGCACCTTGTAAATCATCTGGGTGGTTTGACTGCCACCAGCCCCAGAGTCCAAAAGTGGCTGCCAATATTATGACATGGATGAGTAGAACCCGGAGAGCAGATACGGAGTATCTGGCTTGAATCCCCCAGAAGTGTCTATCGTCTGGGTCCGGTAACGGTAATGTAGTTTTATTCTTTCTTTTTGGCAGTCTCGACAAGATTGCAGTCGCATTTTCGCTGACAGAAAGACAATCGTGCAGACTTGGCCACGAGGAGAGAATACAAGGCTCGAGGCACAACTGAACTATGATCTCAAATTCATGTTGAGAGATACCAGGGTGTTCTGGTGTCACTTCTGGTGGTCTTGGACTGTATTCGTAATCCGATGAGCTGGGTAGATCGACTCTCCGTACAATTGCGCGATCTGGCTTTAGTAAAACCCGCTCAAACTATACCCAGACGGTGTCAGAAGTCAATGACTCGATTGTGATACAGTAACTTATTGGTGGATCGTACCTTGACAAACTCCCAGTGGTTTAGTCTCCAGAATGAAAAGCACCACCGCAGCCAACCCCTTAGCTCCCGATGTCTGCGGTTCAATCTTCTCAAGAATACAGGATCCGACTGGAGATCGTGATCTTCGATGCGGTCGGTTTCGGGTGTTTTCCTTGGCCCGTCTACACCGAAGAAAACAGATAGTGTTTTCTTGAGGCTGTTGCTAGGCTGTGTTGGCGGGCTCGTAGACAGCATGTCGCTGATCTGTGACTGTGAATCTCCCGGGATGTGCGCCTGTTGGGATCTCGTGCCAGTGGCTTGCTTGCTAACTGAACTGCCTACTCCCTGCAAATCACCCTGTGGTGCTCCACTAGTGTTTGCGGACTGGCCAACTGCCTTTTTAGAACCATTTGTAGACAGGTCCTTCGATTGTTTTCGTTGATTTGCGCGTACAAGTGAGGCACACAGGGGTAGTCGAGGTTGCCGCACCGGAGACATCATCAGAAGATTTTCTAGGATACGCTTTTGTTCAATCCTCAAATCACGATGGCGCGTTGTCCCGCAAAACTGTTGAAGTCAGCCTGCAACTACTTTTTTGAACTGAGATTGGGCAGGCTTGGAGCAGACGTACACATTTCCAGTAGACTCGCGTGTATCCTGATTTGAGCGGATGTATCCTTGGTGAGAATGGCCACCAGTTCCACCTCAGTGCCGATGCATCCTCAACGAATGCTTGCATTATATTACCAATGGTGCGGTTTGTGTGGCGCAGTGATCGTAGATAGGTGTATACATGCTTGCCGAATACCAAAGGAACTTTGTCCTGCCAGGACGTGGTCTCAAAACATGATCGATCATTGGATGCCTCATGTTCTTCATACCAGACGTGCACTTGGGGAATGGGTAAAAGTTCGTCAAGAAGTCCGTAAGGCAGAAGGAATTCCTTCAGCCCATACAACATATTTCGAAAAGGTTCTCCGTTGATAAGAGCTTGTATGACGAGGTCCACTCGTGGGAATTGAGTTGTGTATGGCTTCGGCATTTCTGTTTCGCTATTATCGGAGATTTCACCAGCATTGAATCCTGCTTCGCCACCATCGAATGCATTTCGAGGCTGAATTGGATCGACGTCTGTGTTGGTAGTGGCAACGTCCGCTTTGGTGAGCCAGTTCTCCAGGTACGAAAAATTACACTCGTCCGGCTGTTTCAGGCGAGCAAGATCTTCCTCACTCAATCCAACCTCTTCAGTGGAGTGCCTTTCCACGACCTTCTTCGCTATTCTCTTCCTTGCTGTGCCTGACCTGAGGATAGCCGCCAGTTCCACAGTCACGACCGCTTTTTCCTGTGCCAGATTCGCGCGGAATGCCTTCAGCAAGCGGCCAAAGTTATTACTGAATCGCTCCTTGGACATTATTTGCAAAGCGGCCTCGAACAATGGTGCGAGTTCCGAATTTGTGGCAAGAACGCTCACGATTGCGTTTTCAATTTCTTGATTCCGGCGGCAGTCCGCCTTATCTGCAATGGATTCACCATCAACCTTGTCTGACATGAGCGAGCGAATGTCGTCGTCGAACCGCTCTATTGAAGGGATGGAATCATGGCTATCATGGTTCATTATGTCGTTCTTGTGCATGATACTAGCAACGTGAGTATCTCCACCCAGAGTTGATTCCATGCCAATTGTAGTGCCACCGTAAGTGGATGGATCGCGTATTGTGAGCCCAGGACCCCCCGAAGTGGTTTGCTCGTCCCTGGTCGGAACATCTAAGTTTGTTGGCTCGTCGTCATTCCCGGATAACATAATATCTGTAGCTGGCATGTTCCCCGAGATTCCGGGCAGAGAAAGTCTGCCACTATCTATTCCGACACGAATTCCCGTAAGGACAGGTTTATATAACACTAAGAGCAATGGATTCTCACGAAGGACTCTGCGATGTTCTTTGTGGTGTTCTCTGTTTGCCAAGTCTCTTTGGATTTCGACCGATGCTTTGCATATGGCTTGGAGGTCGTGGAGAAATTGAACTACGTCAGCTTCTTTCCAGTGGATCGTGTCATCGAAGTCATGCGGCCCCCGTTTTTGGATGTGATCGTTAATGGTCTGGTATTCAGGTCTAGTCCACTGCGTCCTTGAATACTTGTGGACAAGTCCGATTTCCAACATGATATCTTGTAAATCAGATTTGCTCCACTCATCCACATCTCCTTGTACGGCGAGTATAGCATTGATACGGGTAGTAGTTTTCTCTATTACTCTCGCAAAATGGTACCGCATTCTGCTCATACTCGCGGCGGATGCATTTTCCTCAAGCTGAAAGTGATCGTTGGGATTGAACACAGGGTTCCTTCCGTCGGACTTCAACAACGGCAACTCGTCGAGTGTGAACTCGTCATCCGAAGCTATCGAAGGGAGACTGAGTGACCTTTTCTTAGAGCCATCTTCAACTGCTGCGGATAGCTCCACAATGTTCTTTGGAATCGAAAGCTTTTGAGCTTCAAAGGCCAGTGATGCTCGCTCGAAAGATTCGGACCCTCTTACCCTTCGACGCAATCTTCGCGACGACGGGTCGAGGTTGTTCATTTGATTAACGTCGTACAGATCAATGTCAGAATCGACACTGTGTTCATGGGTCCTTTTGTAGACACCATTGCTCCAACGCTTCTTCTTCCTTTGATACATTCTCTGTTGCTCCTCATCCGACGAATCTTCTCTCAGATGTAAGTTTCTTAGATTGAAGGCTGCAGTGACCCAGGGGGTTTCAACCTTGCTTTCCTCTCTGTCGCCCGCATCTTCGACCTGTTCCGGTCGAACAACCTCGAGGTGGTCATCGTCAGAATCGGAATAGACTTCCTCAATGGTAAAACCCGCTTCCTCGACAATCCGGATCTGTTTGACATTCTCTGATGTACGCTCAAGTCGTGCCCTTCCTTTTCGCTCCTCCGTTCTTATCTCGTCCGCGTCATCGTCTGCAGAATCCCCTTCGCTCCCAGTATCTGGAGCGCGAGATAATCTGTCATCAGGGTCGGACTCTGAAGACGATGAGCTTTCCGGGGGAGTATTTATAGGACCCAACGATGATGGATCCTCTCGAAACGGGTCTCGAAACGGGAAGCGAGTTGGGTTCGGAGGCCTATGCCTCAATAAATATCTTTGCGATGGCGTCAATGGAGCCGGGGGAGTGTCTATGGGGTGATCCGACCTCTCGGCATCGGCCAGGTTGGGGTTGTTGACGTTCTCCAGGAGAGTCATGGCTGGATGTATCGGCTTGACGTTCTTATCGCTCGATTGGGACTCTTCGCCTGTTATTTTCCTGTCCTGCTGTGGTCTAGCCTTGTGCTTCTTTACTATATGCCTTAATAGATCGTCTTTGCAACTATATTTTGTTTCACAAATCATGCAAATGTGACTGTTATTTATAAGGCGATGTTTAGCCTGCTGGTGACGATTAAAATCTGTTCTTAGCCTGAACGCTGCTTCACATAATTCGCATTTGTATCTCTCTTCGTGTGCACCTATATCTCGACTTATATGGGAGGTCAGTGATCTGGCGTCCTGCATGCAATGTCAGTAACGTACCTCAGCCCCTTGACGTTCTCCAGGAAGGGTCCTGCGTCGTCTTCACCCTCCGAGGGCAGTTTCGAGCCGTCTTCGATGTCCAGGGGAATATCATGTCGTTTCCTCTGCCATGGGTGATCCATCTTTCTGTTTGTCTACCGCTCGATGCGACAGTCGATTTTGAGTCCAACGATGTGATTCGAAAATACGCCTCGCAAGGCTGAGTATCAGTATTGCGCTGAGCAGTGTCGAATACTGGACTCGACCTGCTCGTTCGCTATAATTACTCACAGCTAGCTACTCTCAGGCTTCAACATCGCAGAAGATGATGCGGACGTTTGACAGATACGTATCCGAGGAGTGGACGCAATCACTTTGTCGGCCATCGCAATGATATATATATATTTATCAGCCTCACGAGCGCCTTGGAAGAGGTGGCGCAATGCATAAGCGACTCGCTTACTCCAGCCTTCTTCACACTTCCTCAGTGTATGAAGCATTCCCTAGTTGCTCTATAACTATGTTCTTCAAGTCACAAACTACTGCTGCTGCTGCTTTTCAGCTCTGTGGGAGATGATAATTCAGGGATTGGATCGTTTCACGTTGGACTTAATTGTGATGATGGACAGAGGGTTGGCCCGTCAGGGTGGCCCCCGGCTAGTCATGCTCACTACAGTGCATTCGCGAGGTTTTATCGCGAGGAGTTAAGGCTGTTTACTGGCTACAGTATATTCTTCAATAGATACTTTAGACGTAGAAGATATGTGAAGGTAGCAGGTGGCTAGCCTGAAGTACCAACCCCATGTGCCTGTGCACGAAAGCCGATGGCGACCGATTGCATATCCTATCGGCTACTGGATTGTCCGACTTGCTTGGTAAACGCGGTCCTCGGTGTCGGTGGGGTGGAAGGTCAAGCGTATAACGATGTAGACTTTTGAGGAGTGGCTTGAAAGGCCTAGTTGCAGATCGTACCAACGCCAATAGCCACATAGTATGTTACCTTGTACATACAGAATGCTGGCGTAAAATGCTACTTGCTGGCCGATGTTGCGAGTAGGGATGTACTGTGCAATGCGTAGAGGCCATGGGTTTGGGGATCATGCTGTTGCTCAAGAGTCGGAGGGGGTTTGACCTCCTCCATTCTAGGACTGTGGGTAGTAAGCACTATTCCACAAATTCAACGAGTTTCCTCGCCTGAATGGCAGATAACATTCACGATCACAACGAGACGCAATTTGCACTCATTCCGGCACCAGTGCCCATGTATAGCTCAGAAAGAGAGATGTCAATTAGGGGATATCAATACGCCACCACATGCACACGCACACACACACACGCACACACACACACACACACACACACACACACACACACATACATACACAAACGCTCACACCCTGAGAAGCCAAATGTTCCTTGTGACCTGAATACCATCGGACCATACAGAGCACGGAGAGGCAGCAGCAATCGACAATATAGACGCGGTGTAGATTTTAAGGATTGACATGAAGATATGACGCAATAGATGGCCGGAAAATGTACTCATAAAGTGAAAATAACCAAAGATAGAACAAATGGTATTGACCAATCCTGAAAAAGAAAAATCCAAAAGCAGGCCCACTCGCTATCAATTCGTGGGATAATTTTTGGACATGTCCTTTTTCCTTTCAGATTTTCTGGTTTTCAACTGTTTCATAGCGCAATGAGGCCGAGGAGGGCAACAACGATGGCAAAAGCACTGCCACCGACGTTGCTGAGGCCAGGCTGCAGGGAGGCACCAGCATTAGGGCTATTGCCGCCGTTCTTGTCCTGTTGCCACTCGCCGCCACTGGTTCCGGGGTTAGGGGTCTCGGGAGAACCAGTGCTAGCAGCACCAGTGCTCTGGGCAGCAGCGGAGGACGAAACATTGTCTTCAGCGCGGTTGCCGCCACCAGGGTTTCCACCTGGAACAGAGGCAGCGGACTTGGTGGGCTTAGGAGCGTTGCTAGAGGTGACTTTGCCCTCATCAGGGTCTTCGCCAGTTGCGAGAAGAGAGCCGAGGATGGTGAAGTCGTTGGAGATCTCGATCGTGTTGTTGGTGGGGTTCTTGTCGTCGGTGTACTTGTAGGACTTGTTGCCGCTCTTCTTGGCGTTGGACGGTGGGTCGTAGCAGTCAACGGTGACCTGCTTAACACGGGCGAGGTAGTAACCGTTCTGCATGTACGGAGAGTTCCAGTCGATCTCACCACCAGCCCAGTCCCTGGTTCCCTTCTCGTTGGTAGCAAGGCCGGCGGGCCACAGGGAAAGCATAACGCGGGAGGGGGTCTGGGGGTAGTCGAAGCGGTTGGCAGTGCCGTTCCAGGTGTCCTTTCGGTTTAGGGTGCGCATTTCCTCGCCATCGACGCTCCATTTCAGGGTGTCGGGCTGCCAGTCAATGCAGTACTCGTGGAGTTTCTCGACGGTGTTTCCGACCGTGAGGTTCTTAGCGTTCGTATCTGGTGGCTGAATGTTAGCACCAAGGTCAGACGGAGGGATGGATAAAACATACATGTTGTCACACCCTGGGAGTAGAAGTTGGACTGCGCGGTCTCAAGATCAACACCGACCCACTCGAAATCGATTTCGTCCTTCACATCGGACATCATGATAAAGGCAGTGACGACACCCCTACCCTGAGAAGTGGACATGGTGGCGCAGATCTTGCCGTACCATACATAGAAGGTAGAAGCGAGCAGAGTTCCCGAAGTTCCCTCGGCCATGGTGAGGAGGATCGAGTCGCTCTCTCCGTAGACAATGGGTTTGCCCTGGGATTGCCAGTTGACCTTTGAGTTATCACCAAGATATTTATCGATGGACTGGATATCGTTGAGGGAGGTGAGATCGTATTTGCCGGACTTGCAGACGGGGTTGGGGACGCAGGACTTCATCGAGTAGGACATGGTGGGATCGCAGCCACCGAGGCAGAACGCGCCGACACCGCAGTCGCCATAGACTGGAGATGGACAAGTTAGCTGTTACTGTCTCTAGGACGTGAGGGTTTCCCCGACATGGACGGGAAGGAGTGGAGAGAGACTCACGCGACGTGCAGGGAGCATCTTTAGGGCAGTGTTGCGCGCGGGTGCCCTTGGGACCTGTGGTGGCAGAGAGGGCAGAGCCGACGAGAGCTGAGGCAGCGAAGAGGGTGGCGAAGGCGCTTCGAACCATTGCGACAGTGGTTGGTTGTGTGCTTCGGAAACCGGCTGGGAGGATGTCGTGTAAGGATGCTAAGCGTGTCTTGCAGCTGTCAGAAAGACGCAGGCTGATTCACGAGCGGGCGACACAGAAAATTAAGGCGGGATATGGATATTCGATCCCAAGGCGTATTCAATCCAGAGGAGCAACAGTATGGGGTACTGAGTAGAATATAATGCCGAAACGCAGACGCGCGACCGAGGGAGGGTGAGAGCAAGTCAAGTTTCGCGCGCTATATGGAAGGCTGACTTGGTTTATTCCCCTGAGATTGTTTGGGATGAGTGTTGGATGTTTGGGTTTGGGGTTAGGCCGTGGAAGGGGCGCAGGGCAAAGCGATGGATGATGGACTGGCTGGGGGCGGTTGGCTATAGCGAGCGTATGGGGAGGTGCAAAGGCCGAAGTATTAAGAATATATTGAGTGATGTGTACGTAGTAGTAACTGGGGGGGATAGTTATGATTGATCGATGGGTGGATAGATAATAGCGAGAGACGATTGGAAACGAAAGAACCACAACGAGGGATGTGGAGAAGACGAAGAAGAAGAACAAGGCGATGAGGATGAAGATGGAGAAAAAAGGTGGAGGAGGAGGAGAGAGGAAGGGGAAGGGAGAGAAGACGAGGAGGTAATAAGAGTAATAAGAGGAGAGTGAGTGTGAGTGTGAGTGGATATTGAAAAGGAGGAAGGATGAGCAGGATTGGGGGGGGGGGGACGAATACGAGACGAGTATTAATAACCTGGACTAACCGTAAGTAGATGGAGACTAGATGAACGGGTAACTTACTAAGTCGAAATGAGGGGTACTCGCTTAACTAGGTCGTCTGTGATTGGCAGAGACAGGTTACATGTTCAAGGAGGTACAAATGGATAATAAATATTACGGTATGAAGAATGATGATGATGGCGACGGTGATGGTGATGATGATGCCCAGGTGGCAACGCCGTGATTACTTGTGTATCCAGCCTGGGATGGAGTTAATCAACGTTGAAACGGATGGATGCCCGCTACTCAGATTACCATCATCAGGTAAGTACTCCGCACTCACGATACATACCTATCGACAGTAGTCCTACTTACACAGTATGGCCTGTTTCACAATAGCAGATAATACCTCAGGTATAGGTATACTTACCAGTACGAGCACGAGCACATTAAACCATGCGCATTATTATTGAACACAAATTGATAATGATGATGGGCTAATACTCTATAACCACTGTGTACTGTGTACTGTGTACGGAGTCACTGTTCGAGTAAGAACTACCTAATTTCGAACGACCTTCCTCCTTTGGCTCTAGCACGTGATTTAATTATAGGAATGTCGATCAAAAGGGGCACCCGCCAGTCTCGTCTTAACTACTTGTAGGTAGGTACCTAGGTAGGTACCTAGGTAGGTGCCCATGTACTTGTACTTGTAGAGGTTAGGCACAGAAGATATGTTACAATAGTCTTCTCTCAGTACGAATAGGTAGTTCCTTTTACACAGTAACTAATTGACTATTGGTCACTAAGCTGGCTTAAGGTTACTGGTACCTCTCAGTAAACGGCCAACCTCGTATGCTTGAACGCCGGATTTCCGAGCTGTGTTTGGTGGGTTCATCCTTTTCCTTCTATGCTAATTATCAACTGCAGTGGACTATTACAAGTATGGAGTACAAGTAGCCTTCTTCTTGCATCGATTATAACCAAGAATCGAGAGTAAGATCGCGTTGGTGCTGCATCATCATCATCATCATGTAGTGAATTCATCGGTGCGGAGTACGGAGTACTGCGCGCACATATTCCCCCCCTCTCTACTCTATACATGGCCAGGCGCACTTGGTACGTACGTACCATCGAGTACGGAGTACCCACATGACTATTGCCACTTCTACCGGAAATACCAACTGCTGACTTTCTTGTTCGTACAAGAAAACGAAAGACACGGCCCAACTCGTAATCTCGCAGTCTTCTCCCCGTCTCCTCGTCTCGCCGTCGTCGCATGGTCATAAGGATCATCATGTGATAAAAGATGAAACCAGACGGCATCTGAATTGGGACGAAGCGCGAGGGGGGCCTGACCCTAACGAACCGTGCCATCACATTATTATCACACATTTATTACTCTCTACCTACGAGTAACAAAATGATAGTTGCGACTCAAGTGACGATGGATAAGGTACGGAGTAGTTCTCAGAAATCCATTGTTCACACTCTGCTGTGTATCTACTTCGTACCTCAATTCTTTGTGATGTATAGGTATTGACCAGGTACTGCGCAGGTACTTGTACGTATGTATGTGTATGCACTGGTACTTGTATGCATTCCTACTCTCACGGTTCACGCCCACTATGTCGTCTCGATTCTACAAGTACTGGTACCGACACTATGCTATCCCCTTTCCTCACTCATACTAGTATCTAATTGTGCTGTGGTGTGTGTAAGTCCTTGTTGCTTGTAAATGTACCTATACCTAGGCACAAGTACTCATCTTCGCTTGCTCCCGCTCCCGCTCCACTTCCACTTACCCTTCGCGCCGAGATGGACCGTCTATTTCTGGCCGGCGAGCCACAGAAACAGATATCGAGGTCCCGACTATGATAGTGTGTGTGGGCAGATACTTGAAGTTGTAGACGGTCTCTGAGAGACTGAGACACGCTCCGAGTACGAATCCAATAGTCACTGCCTCCTCCCCGCCCAACTCAACGTAGACAGCCGCCTCCTCATCAGGTACTCAGCCACGAATGCATGCCTCCAATCATGATCATTGAATCACCCTACCATAGTATCCACACCAAGATGAACATCTCGAATCAAAAGCTGACAGTCATGCCTGTTCCCGTCTTCATCATTAAACCAATGTTTGGTGGCTTCGGCTGAGAAAGAATAATAATGTAACAAGACGGTCATCACAAATGCAAGTCGCCATCTGATTCACCTGCGTCACTTCGGCGACGCTGATATGAATGGGAACGAATTCCCGTTCTCCGTTGCTTGCTCAATATATCAATGACCCCACCCGTCAACTTGGTCCCAAATTCCTTCCACTCCCCCTTCTATCGCATACACACACGCACACACTTACATTTAACTGTGTATATACTCTGTACACACTTTGATTTACCTGCATTCACCTTCCACCTGCTCTATCTCCATTTGCATCCGAACAGCGTGCCATCCTACCTACGCTTCAGAACACAGCGTATGGCTGACACCAATAACAACCTCATCTCAAGAGCGTAGGTCATTGTTTCTCGCCCTCCTCTCCAGGATTGTCGTTGCACCACCTTTCTACGAGCTGATTGACGATCAAACCGACGGGGTTCATGCAGCATTCATCCCTTCCCTTCTGCGTTGATTGCTTCGCCTGCAGACTCTCGAGTGCTCCCGAGCCGCCGGTCTGCAATCGTTTTCCAAATCAACGCCGAGCCCGAAATGTCCTGCAGCCACCTTGCCTAAGGAAAGATCCCGTAGCCCCGCATGGGTTCTGGTGCTACCAGTCCTGCTTCCTGAGCTGGTATGTGGGCCCTTTGACGGCCATACCCAACATTTTCGATCGACGAAGGGGAGGGTAGGAGGGACTTCGACGTATTCCGAGGAGCCAAATTTACAGATGTAGATGTTGAGAGAGAAAGAGACGGTGGGTGTGAAACCATGTGTAACATGATGACGATCCCGCTGCAAGTCCTCCCAATCACGGATCGTCCATTGCAAGAGCTGCAAAGGCAATCTACCCCAAATGACAACAAGAGGAAATCTACGCTCTACCCACTTAAGCTTGAATACCTACCACAGTCGTTGTAGGTTTCTGGTATCCATCATTGGCTCCGCCGGATCTACCCAGTATGGACGGAGTACATAATCCAACAATGGATACGGTGACTGAGTAGTGGGCACTGATTTGAGACCCCAGCGGCCGGTTCGTTTCTTCCCTGCCATAACGGTCATCCAAAACGAGTCTTCGCGTTCAACCAGATCCTCTGGCTGTCAGGTTTCACTGCGCCAATGGTGCAAGGTCTTGCTGTGGCCACAGATCCAGTCGTTGCATTGCTGCACATCGCATCCTTCGTTCGACCAATGATAGCTGGATATTCAAGAAGGCAAAAGAAGGCAAAAGAAGGCAAACGACGAGTTGTAGGGCTAGACTCTTTAGTGGACCATCTATGGTAGCATTTAGGACCGGGCCGTTACTGGGCGTGCAGTTGGAAACATCGTGGACAAGACAATTCGCAGGGAAAGGAAGAAAAAGAAAATTACCGTATTGGGACAGTAACCAGGATCATGGTTAAGCAGTTTTGCAGGGCTTATCTGTATCGTGGACGGGCTTGCATCCCTATTCGGGGTAAGTGGGTTGGTCCCTCATGCAGGGCGACGGAATCGGCCCATTCCGCGATCTCCTCGACTCTACTTCTCTTCTTCTTCTTCTTCTTCTTCCTCCTCCTTTTCTTACGAGTAGGCTTGGCTAGGCTACCTTACAGATTTCGAAGCATTCGGGTCGGATTTGAGTGCCCAGGTCGGCAAACCGATCGCTTCTTACACACCGCCGAACAACGGGCCGAATGCAAGAGATATGCAGCTCAGAGGAATTGGAGCCATGACACTGCTGTGAGATGTCGTGGCATATGCCAGCCATTCTCGCAATGGCTGCGGCATCCATACTCGCAAGTGTCACACAATCCATTCGGACGACCATATGGCACATACGGAGTACACCTGCTTTATCATCCCCTAGCATTGACATGGCTGACAGGAGCACCAAAGAAACGCCACTACCCGGTGTCCCACAACCTGCATAAATGCAACACACATAAGGAGTACTACCTGGTATAATATGTCATGAGAATCCTTGGCCACAATACGTTCACCGCCTGAGAATGATTCGAGTAAGTATGGGACGCTAGAGCAGACCACAGCGTTTGCAGCATATGTCACTGGAGCGGTTGGACGACATGATATCAGTGAAACCAATATCCACTGGAACCAAGTCGCCTGCATGTGGTTCGGAGGGATTGTTGCGCATCATTTGATGTCATCTGCTGCACAGCATGATCAAACAACATTTCGGGTGATACGGTTTCCTCGAATGGACTGTCGTCCATGCTTTATCAAACATGTTCAAGTATATGCGCCAAGAGCCTCAATTCCTCATGCTTGTACTCCCTCCACCATGAGTTCCGCAGAGTGAGTCGGAGGACCAGTAGGATATAGGCCAAGCAGGTCTTTCTGGCAAGGTCATGCCTACAGTGTAGTCAATCCGACACAATCCGACAAGAAAGGGTTCCCCCGAGCGTACATCCACGAGATAGCGCAATGTCTGGTCAAGAGTGAAAGCTGCTGCATGGGAGGGCCCACGACTAGCAGCTGCGGTATTGGCAGCTTAACCAGCCTCGATGTACGCCACCTCGAAAGACGGCCGCTATTCGTCGACTTGGCAGGCGAATGCGCTTTACGATCTCGTCTGATTGAACATAGAATCATGATTTTCGAGCAGTCCCACCGCCCTCTGTGGCTAAGTTGGGTTACTCAGAAAGCACTCAATGATTGCTGGAGGGCCTAAAGTTTGTCCCGGGTGACTACCCCCACGCAATAGATGGTCGTACCAATACTCCCTATCAATCGCCGTGGAGCGCTTTACTTCATCACCAGCCGCCCAGTCAATGGAGTACAATATGTAATAGGAACTACGACTCCGTGAAATAAATGTCGTCCATTCTCCAGCCACGCACCCTTGTCAGTACCCTGAGTGCAAAAATAAACGGAATTGTATTCTTTCTAACTCGCCTCTCAAGAACAAAAAGAAAGTGAAACAAAATATCCCTCGAACACCTTGGCAACACAAGAAAGTATCAGAGAATAGATAATTACCCAATAACAGACGTCCGTAACGTAACGTTACCTACTGGAAACAATTGGCCATGTGCCTGGTATGAAAAATGAAAGTGAACGTCGCGTCGTCCTCAGTCTCATCACCACCCCCTGGTCCCAGCTGGACGTTGTATCTCCATTACCCCAGCATTCAACCCTTGCTTCCAATTCATTCCCGCTTGCCCCGCGTCCCGTTCCTCATAGGCGGTCTTCCTCGTAGTAACGATCATGCGCATCACCCCAAAAGTATGCACCTTGTCCAGCACCGCCATCCAGATTAGCATACTCCATCCCAATGTCTATCATGCCTTCGGGACCGCCTTGGTAAGTGGCAATGACCTCCATGTCTTCCGCAGGCTCGGGGGTTCGAGGCTCTGGCGACGACATAGGGGATGTAGAAGACGTATCTGCGTCTTGGTCAATTCCGTTCACGAATGCGGGTGAAGTATAGAATATCGGAAGGTGCACAGGAGTCGACATGTCGAATGTTGAGGATAACATGGGCGGAGTGTAAGGGTCAGGGTCTGCAAATACCTCTGGGGAGGATGGTGTCGGCGAGTGGGCTGCGACAGCGTCGAACAAATCCTGACAGTAGCTGGAGGACGAGGCTGGTGGATCTGGTTCTGTCGTGGAACCTAGGTTTGGATGCGATGTAGGTTGCTGTCGTCGATGCAACTGACCCCATTCTGCAACCTTTGCTAGCCGCCTCGAATGTCGCAGCGCTCTGCGGGACGACGCCAACCCGCCTTTCATGCCCGATATCTGCCTTCCAGTAAATCTTTCAACAGTCGAACTCCGCATCGTGTAGCCCCGGCTGCCGCTTCCACGACGCTGCTGCTGCTGCTGATTATGATAGCGATTATGATGACGATGATCGTGCTGGCCGACAACATGCGAAGCAGACGAAGAGGAATGCGTACCCCTTTTCACAGGATGCTTACTTCTGAACCTCGTCGTACTCTTCACCCCGTGCCTAATTGCCTCATCCGTCAACTTCCACATGAACCCTCTTCTTGCCGTCTCCACTACCCTAGGCCTTCGACGACCACTCCCACCACTACTGCTAACATCTCCGTCGTCTCCCGCAACATCGCCATACACACCGTGACTCTCCACCTTCTTGAAAGCCCCGTTCATCGAAAGATTATGCCTGATGCTATTCTGCCACCCCTTAGTCGACTTGTCCGTCGCCTTGTCTGTGTGCCGCTGGAACCACGCGTAGATGTCTCGAAGGACCATGGTATGGTTCGGCGCTGTGAGCAAAGCGCGGTAGATCAATTGCGCATAGGGAAGTTCCTTGTCTATCGGGAAGTCGTCTGATATGCTTACTGCCGAGTCTGGCGGTGTGCTTTTGCGGCGAGGACGCTGCTGATGTTGCTCATGATTCTGGTCCTGGTGGTCCTGGTCATGGTGATAGGGTGTGAGCGTGCGGAGGGGCGCATGTGGGGAAATGTATAGGCCGGCGTTATGGGGGGCGGCGACATCGACTTCGACGCCAGCGTCGTCTTGGTAGCCATCATTGTTCTGTGTAGAGGTATGTAGGCTTTGGTCGCAAGATTGTTTTTGCCGATAAGCCTGGAGATGGACTTGCGCCGACCCCAGCGGGGGAGGTGAAGAAGAATCGAATCCGCCTAGTACCGCTGTTCGTTGCCTCATGGGCGTCGCTGTCTTCTCGATTATATATGCGGACGGTGGGTACGAGTTCTGCCTGTGGGTGTTGTTCATATCGGCGTTGTCGTCGTTGGCTAGCAGATTGGCGAGGTGCTTGTCGTGAGTGTAGTAGCTCAGTGGACGTATCGTTGTCGGCACCGCTATCTCATTGCTAACTATATTATCGCCGTTCGGGGTTAACAACGTCTCGTGTTCGAATATGGGATAGTTTGAGGGATATGTTGAATCATAGGGGAGGCCGGTTGGGTCAGTGAAGTCTTCCGCCGATGTCCAGATAGAGTTGAGTTGCTGTTGCTGCTGCTGCTCATGCTGATCTCGTTGCCGATAGAGGTGGGGAGTGAGCGGTTGGTATTCGAGCATTTTTGTAGGATCCGATTGATGGAGGGCAGTGGTGAAGGTGTCGGTGTGGTTGTTATTTAGTGGCAGGGACGGGGGCCACGCAGAGTAGCAGGCGCTATTGTCGTCAATACCGTCCACTGTGTCATCCATGGCGTAGTCCTCCTCTATCTTGAAGTACTTGAATGATGGGGAAGATGGAACAAGTGCGGGTAGTGGTTTGAATGGAGAGATCGAAAGCTGGTAATCCCCGCTTGGTTGGTAGTATTGGGTTGAAGAATGATGCGCATCTGATATGTCGATACTGCTTGAGGGGAATTCCTTGGAGGCACGACGTTCGATAGTGCCGTACTTCCCCGCCATGGTTATTGCCGCTGTGGTCGTCTCGTCGGAAGGAATCCGATGGGATGACGGAGGCGAAGTTGAGCGTGGCATGGTGTGATTGTTGTGTCTCTAGATGATGGGCTAGGGGAGCGCAAGGTGAAAAGAAGATATTGGACTAAATCTCCCTCACTACTCAGCCCACTCACTGGCGCCGGTACTGGCGTGGTCGCGGGAATGAATGGTAAGAAGCGATATGTGCCAACAGTGCAGTTGGTGAAACTAAATGTTGGTAGAGAATTGAAGAGAGGGAGGGGGGAGGGGAAGGAAGAGGGGACAAGAGGGTATTGAAAAGATCGGATGTTTGGTCCGGTGACGCTTTTTCCTTTGCCTGGTAGTGATATTTGAGGGTGAAGTGGTTAATTACTACCACTGCTCTGTCCTTTGCAGTTCTCAATGAGATGATATTTGTGGTCCTTTGTATGGATGGGATACCAGAGTCATATGCGAAGCATACGCACATGTGGTTAAGGACGCACACACACAGACATACAAATATACGGAGTACATACGCATACACACGCACACACACCATGCACATACACATACATACAGACACCTACATACGTACACAGAGCAAGGAAAGAAGGGAGTGTGGGAGTGGGAGAGATAGAGAGAGGTGGAGGGAGAGACGAGCGCCCCAATAGTGACATTCTTTGGTACGCACCAATGCAGAGTGTGCATAGTGTGCAGTGTTACCTTGTGAAATATGATTGTTGTAGCTGTTAGGTTCCAAACGGTGCTGGTATTGGTTGCTTGAGGAAGCAAACTTGGAGTCTTTCTCTTCAACCACAGCCCAAGATGAATGGCGGTGCGCTCACTCGTGCTACCAAGCTGTGGATCATGGATCATGGATCATGGCTCCATGCCCAGAGCACAGTATCTCTCAAGGCTGGTGGCCATCTGCACCTCTTCTGGTCCGGCGATCAACCATGCCTCTCCGTGCCTATCCACGCCGGGCTGTCCACCATCAACACCAAGGCGTCATCGAAAGAGGGCTTCTAGGGCGGGAGCCAGAGTTCATACGGCTTTCGTCATACGGCGCAGGCCAGTTAGGTCTTTCTCCCTGGACGGATAAGTGCAGCTTGCGGTCGTGCCATGCAACACAGAGCCCTAGGTTAGCACCGTTGCAACATCGGACATATCTTTTGTCGTTTCTTTCCGCCCGTGATTCCTCTCTAAGACATTCTAGAAACATCACGGACACAAGCAGCAACGCAGCACCGCCGCCGTATGGCCTGTATATCTGAGTGTGTGGGCGGTCCGTACGTCGTGGAGAAGATTGAGTAATGGGTGTAAATATGCAGTGGTCCGATGGTGGCTCCAGCATGGACAATTGATTGTGGCAAAGTCCTCCAGCTTCTACTCTCTTCCTCTTATTCTGTCTTTTCTCTTTCTGATGATCAAACAATTGCCTTGTGCAAGTTATCGGCTTCCATGGCCCTCACGTACGTTACAGGGGATGTAGGTTGCTGTCTTCAAGAGACACGCTAGGCCTTGCAGCTGCATGGGCATGGCTGTCGTGCATGCGCGAGGGAGAGTTTAGATACTTCCGGGTAGGAGGGATTAGGTTCTGATCAGTCGGTCGGCAATCGACCAGCGATAAGCTGCATGCATGCAACTCCCAATCCCAACTCCCCTCTACCTGCTCTTCCTTGTCCATGTCTCTCCCTGCCGTAGCTGAAGTTAGCCCACCGCCACAACCGTCGAAACGCATCATGCCCATGTGCCCCGTGTAGTATGCTACATTTGCTCGTTACACAAGTTCCGGTAGAAGGCCGCAAGGTCCCCATCACGTGCGGCCACTCATTAGCCGTCCCCAAGGCTTTTCAATAGCCTCTAGGGAGTATCTCGTGTACTAGCCAGAACACACGTTGAAAAGAATACAAAAAATTCAAAGGGGTTTATATTACACCTACCTTCCTACTGTCGCGAAAGTAAACGATTAAAATGCTACTAGAAGCCTAAATGTATCACCAGTAAGACCAAGACCAGCTAATGCGCACCTTAGGTTCTTTCCACCAGAACACAGAATGGCTGGCAGGGCTCTTGATGGACCCGAAAAGAAGGTAATAAGATTGTGCTTTGCTGATACCCGATAAAACAGTAATCCGTGCTTCTACTTGACAAGTTGTGAAAAGGAATCGTGGCACAAATTCAGGTCTTCAAAGTTCCACAGAAGGCTGCTGAATAGCAGATATGACCGAATCATCACCAGAGTGTCATCGAGCCTGTTCCTGTGCTTCGCGAGCGAACCAAGCGGTAGGAGCTCATGATTCCAATGCACTTCGTGATCCAAGAAAGTAAGTCGAAGCTATTGGCGGCCCTCTCATGGTGAGCAGCGGCTCATGTCAAACGGGCATTGTGATCCCATCTCTTGGCGTTGCCTAAGCCATATGCATCCAACCGTCCTGCATGATCATCACAGCGATCATTGACTTATCGATAGCGCGATAGCTGTGGGCAATTGCCGTAGCGGTGAATCATTCGCCGAGGGCTAGGCGGGTGTAGCAGTGTGCTACGATGCCTACTTCTAGGAATGGCGAGACCAGCCACTTCCTAGGCTCACTCGGTAGTGACCTACTTACGGTAATATATCTGTAGCAGGTGAGCAGAGTTCCAATAATTGAGGGGTTCGCCGCAACGTACCTTTTTGAACTGGAAATGGAGTTGCAAAATGCCCTGGACATGTGAGTAGGAAGTTCCACTGTGTCACAAGCACCCAAGACACATGCGACTGTTGCACCTCTGAATAGGCGATGGAGGCACTTACCTTGTCAAAGCTACTCTTGAAGCCTCTCTCCCGCTTCGCACTATAGTCCCATTCCTTATCCACGATTCTGAAGGCAATGTCCTCATATGGTGGCCCTGCAATGAATCGTATCAAGCATGTATCATCCTCGCCAGCAGCGGCAAATGATTGACCGCGCTTCCTGCCATTCTCCCGCACAATTTTGTAAGTTGGGGCTTTCGATTTATCGATGAGATCCGGGTAAAAAATGTTGAACTTGTAACCCTGGACGACCTTTGGAGGTGGATTATCATGGTCGTAATGCGTCTGATTGTACTTGTTCCATTCGTAGCCCATCTGCACACGATTGAAGTAACGTGGTTTCCTTGGTGCATAGCTACCTGACCATTGAGGCTTCGTATTGTTGAGTTCCTCTTCGCCAGTGAAGACTTCCTCGCCGTCTTCAACTCCACGAGCAACCTCTCGCTCGTACAGGGCTGTTGTCGCCTTTGAGTGATCTTCTGTGTCGACCGGCGCAAAACGCAACAAGCCATCCACGCCTCTCTGGGTTGCCTTAGACTGGGTATGTGGAGTCTTAGCATCCTGTGATTTGTTTCGCATCGGCACGTATCCAAGTTTGAGGATTTTGCGACGCTCATCGACAAGGTTCTCCGAAAAGATCTTATCATCAATCGCCTCGAGGCTTTTGTCCTCCGGTCGGAGTTTGAGCATAGGTTCGGGATCTAGAGTGGAATCGTAAACCATAGGATAGGATCCATCCTCCTCTGTCTCGAATGTTTCCATGAATGTTCCCCGAAAGTGTTCCTGCGCAGCCACTGATGCCTTCTCTTGTTGTCGCCGCAAAGCCTCGAGACGTTCGTTGATGATTTGTTGCGACACCTTCTTCAGCTTCGCTTTTGCCTTCCACACGCGCAGATTGCGCAGTAGCTGCTCCCAATAATCATAGTCGATCGGCTCATCTGAGTCCAGCTTTTTCTTGACTTGTACTTCAAGGGTCTCCAGCTCTTCGAATGACTTCGGTGAAAGCAACCGGTCGATATCGGACGTGATGGAGCTTGTTCCACGGGCTTCACTCCTGGATGACCGATTGCGACGTCTCTTATCCTTGCAGATAGTCTTTTGTGCCTGGGATTGTCAGTATGCGAAAAGGCGCAACGGTAACCGGGGGGTGGGGAGGGGGGAAAACGAACATTCCAATAATCTCGATTGCTTCGATTAGTCTCAAGCGCGAGATATGTGTCGATGTCCTTTTCCAACTCTGCTAGTTCTTCCTCGTCCAAGCTCTCGATTACACCTTCAGAGTCCACAATATCCAATTCATGATCCTCAACCTCCTCGTCCAGTATGGTCTTTGTAGGGTCAACGAAGCGCAGCGTGACCGTCAACCAATCGATGGGTTTCGCTCTATTTCCTTTTACGCGCAATGCTGCCTTTTTCTTCGCCTGCTGGAGAACAAATCGATCTTCGTCCGCCACCCAAGCTTCTTCTTGCGCAGTGGTGGACGGCGCAGAGCGCTTCGAAGGTCTTTCCTGTGCGCGCGAGTCGGCAGGTCGTTTCGAAGGGAGATTTGAGGGAGGTCGTCGACGATCGGAGAGCCACGGAGGGGGATTGTGAGAAGACATTCCCAAGGTATGTCCAAAAGTACGAGTAGGAAACGATAGATGAGTCAGTCTTGTATTGTCACCTCCGTAGTTGATTTCTTGAAGTTTCACACATCGTAGCTCAAAAGAACGCCTGGCTACGCTTGGCGTGACGTACCTTGTCATTACATCACGTGTAACGACGGAAATCCAATCTAGCTAAGTCTGACTAAGCGTCTGCCTGATCTCCAGCTGTGCCATCGACGACAACATCGTGAACCTTTGTCTCTTAAGGTCTTTGGATATGCTCCATGAAGTTTCTCTCCTGACAGATCGTCGTGTCAGAAGGGCTTCTGTCGACTACAATGGCTTGTTGGCGCGTTCTCGAGCTTGATCCATCAACAAGCATTGGGGTTCCACAGCTGCTTATCAAAGCAGATTTTGGTGAACATGGATACATATTGTGGTTAACAGACCTGAGCAATATCTGGAGCGAAGATTTGAGCGTTGTTGGCATAATGGAGCGGGCAGTTGAAGTGGAGTCTCCCATTGAAGTTGGCAGGCAAGACACCACTCAGCAGGGCATACTACTGGAGCATCTTCAGAATTCTTTGACAAATGCCGAAGGTACTGTGTGCCGCTTGACCAAGTACAATGAGAGTGGAGTCATCCTGAACACAGTCATCGATCTACCAGAGCCCCTCGACTCGCTGAAATGGAAGTTTTGCTTAAGAAAGCAATCACCAACCATGCTCAAGAACGAGTTAATTCTTCCCTTGCTGCTCTCCGGACACATCCAATACACTCGAGTGAAAAAGCTCACCACAATTATTGCAGAGAAAGATAAAGCTATGAGTCGACTCCTTGATCAGTATGCGTCGAATCATTTGGACCTCGCGTCAGTATTTCCTAGCGTCAGTGGAAGTAAAGGCAATAGACGCATCGCCAAACGCGAGCAAGTAAGCAGGTATATCCCGGCCTTACGGCCGTTTGTACAAGATGAATGGATGGAAGAGACTACAAGACACCTTTATCCTGAACTGTGCACATTAGACCTTTTCCAGGAGGCTTTATCGGAATGCAACCCATCGGTACCCTCTAGCATGAAGTCGCGAGAAGATGAGGGAATTTGGTGGGAAAACATTAAAGCAACTATGGATATGTCCCCTCCACGACCGACTTCGACAACAAGACTCGACCCTGTGATCGAGTCTCGTCCATCCTCAGAAGGCGAGGATACTGAAACCGAAGATGAATTCGAGACTCACGAAAACTTCAAGGTCAGTAGTCACGGCCCGCCACGACGAAGGCTAGAATTACTAATTTGGCGTCGTAAAGTCACGAATACCTGAACGAAGGGACAATTCTGCGGACGACAATCGAGATAATTCGGACCCCACCTCTAAGAATGACAGTCAAAGCCAATCTCGGCTTCAGCACCGTATGAAACTAGAATCGCAAGACCATGTACTTCCTACAAGACGAAGATCCTCACTTTCCGTGGAGCAGCCCGCGCTGGCGACCTCGCTACCTGCAGTACCTTCAGATCATTCCAAACATCCTATCGCTGAACCTACCACATCTCGCCCAAAACCCAAAGGCTTCAAGATTGGAGGAGCTAAAAGATCTCCAGCGACGGTGGAAGCGAAGATAACCAGCGAAGAAAATGTCTTAGAGGACAACATGAACGTACAAATCACAACTGCGTCACAACATAACGAGGGACGCAGGAGAAAGGGTTTCAAAATTGGAGGCAAGGATAAGAGAACTTCAGAGAAGGAGACAAAGAATGAATTTGCTGGTCATATTGAAGAATCAAGTCGTCTGACAGAGATTCCAGACGTAGAGCCCACGCGCGGAGCCTCTCAAGTGGAGACAAAAGACACGCATGAAGAGGAAGTGAAGCATGACGAGACAGCAGAAGAAAAGGCCGAGCGTAAGCGAAGCGAGTTGAAACGAAAGAATGATGACCTTTCACGCAGACAAGCCCAGAGAAAGAAGAAAAGATTCTAGAAAGTTGGGATCATTAGGTGATTCTTGCGTCTGTACCGTTTGGAGTTAGATATTAGGTAGCTACCTAGGTAGCTAGGTAATGTGCCTGTTTCTGCTTCCTCATTACTTCTCGTTTCGAAGCCAATTTTACTTGTGATATGAACAATTGTGGTACTCAGATGGTGTTCTGACATTGGCCCGTTGTTTATTTTGATTCGCGTCCGCAATGCTAAACGATCATTGCCCACTTGCTTGCTTTCACCTCCCACTTTCACTTGGGTGCCTTCACTCACAACGTTCTGGTCCCATGCTGGAAAGGAAACGATGAAAGACTGGGTTGGCAGGTACCTTTATAGAGACAACACCTTCTCTTCTCTCACTGACTTTGCATCGCAACCTCTCACCTCGCACATTCAACACCTGCCCCGACGGTTGCTGGCAACGACAATTACGAGAGCTATCGACTCTGTCGCAGCTTCTTTGGCTGAAAATATACATAATGTGTTTTTATCGTTATATTTACTATTCTCGCTGTCAGCACCCTGAGCTAGTCCGCTTGACATACTGCTCCAAAGCGATTCAGCTGGGACTGCCCGAGAGGTATGTTACCAGCATTCTAACGCGTTGAGCTTATGCAAACCAGATATAGGTACGACCATTACAGGGAATATACCCTTGAGGCGCAATATCAAATCCACGGCACCCAGCAGCCTGATCCGTCCTGCCATCGATCCGGGTGGCCAGCAGTCGAATTATTCCAGCCAACTGGAGAGCAGCAGCATCGCGAACACGAAGAGATGCCACCATACTCACCCCAGCCGGCCAATATGCCAGACCTTCTACCATCAATAGACTCATCAGTAGCTCTTCAAAGCGCTCAAGCCATTATAATTCCGCGATCCTCTCATAACGATCACAACAAGTCTGCACGCGGACCTATTGAGAATGTCGTCGCCCTGACGCCTTATCCTCAACAAGCATCTCACATTGGTCATCTGCCAAGTACTGCAACAACTTACAACGAATTGAATATTGACATACCTATTGGGATTGGTACAGGCACGGGGTTCTCCTTTCAACTTACTCATCAAGATGGTAAGGTTCGAGAATTTGTTACGCGTTTTGAGTCTTTGCAAGATCACGAACTTCCTGGGGACCGCTACTCTGACGATGGCCGGATGGTCACTGACGACGAGCCCTCTGCGACTTCTAACTCTTCTCAACTAGTAAAACTAGAAGGCGATGTAGAAGAAGGGCACAAGGTAGCTCTTCGCCATCGTAGACTCGATGGAAGCAAAGCACAGGGGCATCCCATCGATGAAATCGTACACGAGCCTGACCAGGATACAGCGGTGAGTTTTTTTATCAAGTGCACAGCTAACTCTTGTGGCGCTCAAATTGTGCGTGGAGAAACCTCCATCGACCACCCGCTAATAATGTTGTAGGAGGGTTCATGTAGTCCGAGGAAACCGCTTCCACCACAGTGGACCAATGCTCAAGCACCAATGCTGGCAACAGCGCAGCGTGCCAGGCAACGAGAATCTCAGAGAACTGCACAAGGGCATCCGAACAGTGTTCCCGTCGAATCCAGGCGTACAACTCTACGTTTGACTCACAAATCCGTGGACCTCTCAAGATATCATACTTCTACCGGCGCTTCCGTCAACGATGATACCATTTCCCCTATATCACGGAAATCGCCTGCAAGGTTGAAGAAACACAGTTCCAGCTCTACCCTCAGAAGCATCACATGTTCCCCACAAAATAAAAGTCCGGACCGATCAGGTGCGGTCAAGGGTGTCATGTCCTCGCCTAAACCTTCGATACCCACCATCGATGAAGCTGGTAACGAATTGCTTTCGCAAAGCAGCTTACAGAGTGTTCGCTCATCTATGGAGGACGGTAGTGTCTACTTCTCAGCGGCATCTGACGTATACTACTCTGCGAACCAGTCTCCTGTGAGTGAGAGTTCTAAAAGCTTAGAGAACAATCTAGCCGAGTTGCCATGGGCTTTCTGCGAGGATCAAGTATCAGCTTTAGAACCCGCTAACAAAGGAGACGAGAAGCAAATTCCAATGGCACAACAACACCCAATTTCACGGTCTTCGGTAGAACGTGATCTTTCTAGAACCGCAACGCGATCAGACACCCATTTGAGGCACCAAACCAGAGCGGCTAGGCCTGCAATTCCAAAGCTCAATGTCAAGATCCCGCGATCGATTGCTTCGACGAACGCTAAATCCCCATCCGTAACACCAACCTCTTCAACCACGTCCGGTATGTCAACGCCGGGAAACACGAACTCTCGAATCCCCATACCATTGTTTGCGAAGCAAAATAGTAACCTGGCACGTGGAAGTGGTCGGCCTGCTGCTCAAGCAAATGACGTAGCTCGTCCTGTTGCGGATGCATCCAAATTGCAGCACTGCTTTGCATCTTCTGTGATTCCTGAGTTGGAAAAGATCACTCCACAAACAAAAGAAGTCAAGGAAGTTGCTAGCAATGTTCGTCGAGCCACGCAGGCAGTCTCCGTTCCCAACAAGCCAGCTCCCGTATTTGCAGTGGCCAACCATGATGCGCAGCAACGACAACGAAACGAACAACATACCAGCACCCCACCATCGTATCTTGGTGATTGCAACCATGAACGTACAGCTTCAGATCCACTTATAGATGGAAATTCGGCCACACCAGTAGAACCCCTTCAAGCATCGCCTGTAGGACCTAGGAGCTATGCTGCAGTGCTTATGGGACGTTCCGCAAACCCTGTTCTTCGTGTCCCTGTTCAACAGCACGGGAAGATAAAGGTTTCGCCCTCGATGATATCCCAAGAGGCAGGGAAACCGGGCCCCAATGCGGAAGATCTACCATCAACATCTGAGACCTATGTTTCCCAACGCAAGGACGTTGAGAAAAGCGATGCACAACAAAAGCAGCCTCCAGCTACCATTAGGAGTTATGCCGCTGTGATAGCGGGGTTACCAAGCGAAGACCCTATTATGCAAGATTCTGCTATTATTTACAGTCGCCGTAAGTACAAAGCCTTTCGTGATAGTTACCCCACTACACTGCCTTGCCAGCAGTGAATCCCTTTTCTTATTATTTGGGGGGTTGCCCCAATTGACAAGACGCAGGCTCTAGCATATCGAAAGCAAACACCCGTACATTCGCTCAAGTGGCAGACTCGGCACTGAACGCTATCAACGGTAAGTCACAGGGCCTTCGCCGTTTATCTGTCTTTGTATTGCTGCTACGTGGTGCTAACGAACAGCACAGAAGCCCAGCAGTGTACTCCTGTTTCAAGTGGCTTGTTATGTCCAGAACAAATACGAAACGACTCAACTATCGTCAGCGGTGCATCTAGCCTTCGTGCTACTGCGCCCGAGTTTGTGCCTCCGCCCTCGGAGCTTTTGGAGACAGAGACTTCATTGCTACGAGAACTAACAGCCTCTCCGGTCGACTCCTGCCAGCCAGAGTCCCAGGAGCCGCAACTCACAGGTCTGGAGCCTACGCACTATGGTTTCCCGCATTACCATTTTTGGTACCGTGTTCCGATCGAATGCTCGATTTCCGATAGTAACAGCTACAACTACCAACCCAGCACTGCACCGTGGAAGAAATACAGACATAATGGTAGTAAAAGGGGGTCACGAGGTAGCAAGACTGTGGCTCGCACCAAATCTAAGAAAAGATCATTGATCCAGACGGAAGAGATCGTGGCAATGGACCAAATGGGGACTTGCATGGATGTTTCCATCACCAACCCCAGCGCTATTACCACAGAACCTATTGAAGGACCCGCGCTGAGAAGGATGACTCCGTTCACTGAGCAACTCAGAAAAGTTATGGGCCCTGATCCAGACGGTCCATCGAATAAAGAACCTACCCGTCAAATCGACTGGGCCAGCATAGTGAATGTTCCATCGCGGGATACTGGCACGCAATCGCACGGTAGTGTCAGCAGCAACTGTCTCACACTTCCTCAGCGAGGTAAATTTGGGAACAATGGCCGATCCAAGAAAGGATATTATGCTACGAATGGATTATACGATTCTAGGCCTGGGTTTCATGTTACGCGCAATTCCCGAGCTGCTCTCGCCGGAGTGCCACTGAACGAAACTGCACCATTCCCTGCGCCTGCCCCACCACCAGTTCCCCAAGGGAGCGGTCATTATTTTGAAGGTATCATGCAGAGGAATATGAATGGATGTGGTACTTTTCATATCCTGGAAGCTGGAGAAATGATTGGAGGAGCCTGCAATGATTGTGAGGCTGATCATTGAGACTCATTGGCAGCAGGAGCCTTGGAAAAGTGGCAATGCTTCATTGAATCGACTCCCATGCGATACTTTGCGTGAGCGCTGTATACACCGGAAGCAAGGCTCCACTGACCCACTGACCCGTGCGTGCTTGAAGAGAAAGGTGATCACCTACAACAACCGAGTTGGTGTGCGTTCCTTGGGGGCTCTGGTTTGCTATCGTTAGGAAGGAGATGATTGTGTCGAAATCTCTAGGTGAGAGATAGCCTTGGCCCCAGTACTCTTAGATCCCAATATTGTACATTATGGCTACTCATTCGTTCACTTGCTGACTCAATGACTTGACTTTCTTGTGCGCTTTCGTCTGTGAGAAGAGTGCCCAAACCGAGTGCATAGTGGAATTGCTGTGTTCGTCCAAATCTAGAAAATATGCCTTGTGACCAATGACTCTGGCTTTGAGGATAGGTATTGGCCACCCTCAAGCACCAGGTTGTTCATGTACTAGGGCAGGAGTCACCGCGATCGCCACTGTTCTCTACTGATCGCCCACTCGCCTCATGGCCCCCGAGCTAATAATCGACTATAGGCTCGGTACGAACAGAGGAGAACCTTCCAAATCTCTTTTTGCCGTGCTCCCCTCCTATTGTTCTATAAGGTTGGCTCTACCACTGCGAACAATGGAAGACGTAAGAGATGACCTAACAACTGGGAAATTGTATTTCAAAATCGAAGAGACGCTCACAGAGAACAACATCGCTTTTCATGTTTGTGGCACTTGTAGAAGGCGAGAATGCGCTGGGTGGATTTAACCAGGATCCAACGGCACGGCCAACTGCCGGTCAACAAGGGGATTAATGAAGCATGCCAACCACAGCACTCCAGTTCCACGCGCAAAATTCCACCAGCTTGATCCATGCACTACTAACTGCTACCGAGCACTTGGAGCCGCAAGTGATGGGTTACGTGAACCAGGGTATGCAATTGTTCGGTATTCCAACGTCACAAGTAGAGCAGGCGCCTGGGACAAAGCATGGAACAAGATATGGAACGGTGTCTTTACGTATTTACAATTAAAAAAGCCAAGGTACTATGTACAGAAACAATGTTCTTCTTGGGTATATTTGGAATAAAAGTTGGGGATCTCTGAGGAAAAACTGTGCATCGCACGTATGGGGGTTGTGCGCTCGCCTTTACCGAAGGTGCGGGAAGGATATTCGACATGATGCGGAAACGAAAAGAGAAACTAATGTTTTGTTTGCAACCTCCTCCCGAGGCCCGACAAATCCTTCAAAATCCTCATTCACTTCGTTTCGCTTTCGTTCGTTCAAAAGGCGGATGTAGGATCTTTGGTCCGCGCATGCACAACGTGTTGCGCTTAAGCGTAAATATAACAAAAGGGGCCTGCAAGGGTGTGGCTGGTCTCGCGGATGGAGACAGTGGGGACGCCCACGAAGCCAAGGTCGAAGGTATCATCGAGGGTGGCGTCCCTGGATGGTGGATCGTTATTTACGGTGATGGTGGCACCGATGGCGTACTGCCTGTTCTTGATGTCCTGATTTTGCCATGTCCACCACGTACGGTCTGTGATAGTAACGTTAGCTGATGGTAATTCGCCTGGTGCATCCGAGTTAAGGAGACAACGTACCAATCATAGCATGGTGCAAGAAGAAAGCGGGATCAGCAGGGCTAGCAAAAAGATCACCTCCTGGGTCACCACCGATGGTAAAGTGACCAGCGGTGTGTATACCGAGGAAACCGTTGGGGAAGTCGCCTTGGAGGTCGGTGGTGAATCGGTAGAAGTCCTTGCTGTTCTTGATCAGGCCGGAGACGTCGGAGTCCTTGGTCCAGCCCTGAGCGGCGGCCTTGGAGATGTCGCGGCGGAGACAGCGGGGGTTGTAGCCCAGACCGGAAAATTCTGGGTTTGGCTTCGCATCCGCGAGGACGGGAGCAACGGGCCCAAGGTTGACTTGCCAGCTGAAGGAGGATGTGAGCACTCGGAAGAGCGAATGGGGGAATTGAGGTTATCTAACGGCAAAACTTACTCTTTGAAAGGTCCGCTCTTCACGCAACCTCCACCATTACCTGGTGGTAGACTAACACCACACAGCGCAGGGAAGGGGATACATGTGTTGTTGCGTCCGGGTTGGTACTCGCCGTCCCCAGACATGCTGTAGGCACTGCCATCAAAGATGGGCGACTTGGCTGGGTCGTCGGCCCAACGTGGCCAGTTGTAGTATGGCTGATATCCCTTGTAGCCACACTCGTTGCGGAGTGCCTGCTCGTAAGCCCAGGTGAAATACCTGTGCCAGGCCAAGAAATTACCCTGTGATTGTCAATAAAGGCACTTAACGACGCAGAGAAAGTTCCCTGGAAGTACACACAGTTCCGTGGATGGACATAGTCTGGTTGATGTGGGTTGCTACGAAATCATCGTAACGGTTCTTCGCACCGGCGGCAAGTCCTGCTGGGGTCTTCGCTGGCTTCTTCGCAAGACATTGCACAGCATTGATGTAGTCTTTCTTCTCGGAGGGGAGGAGCAATGACCTGGAAAAAGTGTCAGTTGGTGTTGATTGACAGTGAACAAGGCTTTTCTTACCATTCTCTGCGAATGGCGACATTTCCAAGTGTGCACTTCTGCCTATCGGGGTACCCATTGAGAGCGACATGAAGTCCCAAGTTGAAGACTCCCTGGGCAGTCAATGCGTCCGATTCAAGGAAAAGATTGCCCAAGTTGCGCTTTTCGAGCTCGAGAGGAGCCGCTGTGGCGCCGCTGACGAAAGCAACCGCAGCCACTGTGGAGAACTTCATGGTGAAGGGTAGAATTGATGATCGAGGACGACGGAGGAAAACGACCGTCTACTGGGAATGGGGACCTTGTGTATATTAAAAGATTATGGCGTAAAACACGCGCGAATTAATTAAAATGAAACTCAAACTTATAAAACGAGGCGGCAACGGGATATTGGAATTGGGATTGGAATTAGTTGCGCAATGATGACACAGGCGGCCTTGTTGACGAGGAAGAACGAGGTATCGAGCTTGTCCTGCCGTCCGGCTAATTCGAGATGCATCGGTTTTTATATGAAATGTAACGCGATTCTACAGCCCACGGGCTACTATGTACAGGTATCTTTTTTTTGCATCACCACGTGCGGCGCACATGGGTAAAGGGGCCGAGAGGCGCCGCGCAGACGCCTCGCATGATCCAATAGTTCGGCACTTTCAAATTATACTGGGGTTGTACCGTGTGAAGGGGGTGATGGTGGGGAAAGGGACTTGGAAATAATACCTAGACGATGCAAAAAGGGCGCGGTGCCATAACAATGGCAGGCTATAACTAGATCACTCCGTTGTATAGCTACCTAGGTAGATACGGTCTACCCAGGCAGCATTGATATGTCCCTGGTCGAGTTCCCATTTTCGTAAAGACCGAGATGCTCACAGGCTGGACTAGCCTTCGTCTTCGTGCTTTGGTGCTCTCTCGTACACAAATTAATTAACAAGACAGGGGACGCTGCTGGAAGCGACTGCGCTGCCCCGGGAACCAGGCCGAGACGCGATCCGATCGGCGGGCGACTTTCCCAATAAGATCACAAGCGAAGCAACATGGGGACAGGGAGGACGAAATTGCAATGTTTTCAATGCTGTCTTTGCATATCAGTCGTTCTAGAAGAGAGATGGATTCATCCATGCATCCTCCGTACTGTGTAAGCTAGCAGGTCGGAAAAGAGAAGGCCTATCTTGGACGGGCCTCCCGTTCACACATCTGGCGGTTGATGCACTCGGCGCAATCGCTCCGAGAAAGCCTCTGAATAATTCCATTACTGTTTTCAGCAGTGCGTACACCACTACCTGGGAGGAACTAGCCAAATGTACAGAGGGTTGGCGCATCGGGCTGGCCACCTGCTGACTTCGCGCATCTTCTACACCTGAGGTATCTACTCCGTAGGTATTCAAGAGTGTACTCCGTACTCCGTGTGTAGCTAGTGAACAGTCTGAACTACTCGCGATAAAGCCTTGCGAAGGCACTCAAGTCCAGTCGATGGGCTGGTTGCGCGAAGGGTCGATTGTCCCCACTACTACTGCATACTGTATGTACATACGTACCATCTGATAGTTATGGGACCTGCCCTGCTGCGTGATTGATCTGGCTTGTTTAGTAGCGGATACTGGAAATACGCAATTTGCGTCTAGTATCCACTCCCTACTAGGCGGTAGATCCGGTAAGCACACACGCAACTCAAGCAGCGGACCTCCAGTAACAAAAGATGATATTACAGTATTGTTTCCATGTCAGAATCCTATGAAGGAAGCTCAAGCCCACCTCAAAAGAACAAATGTTCCAAAACTAAAATTTGACCATTCCGGGTGTCCAGCATGATGTGTTTGTTCTCCCACGTTGAAACATACAGCGATATGAACATACTCATTCCAATTATTATTGTACGCGGGGTTGACAGGATGCATGCATGCAAAAGCCGGCATATGGAGACAGGGGCGTTGTTGTTCCTTTGGAGATCCTCCCCAAGAGCCCGCGCCCAGTTGGGCGGAGTATATGGGAGTCAAACACATCCAAGAGGAGGGAATTCGCTATATATCTGTTCAATGGTGCCCGCTGCCAAACACAACCAGCAAGTACGAAACTCTACACAGTAGTACATACAAGTATTGTAGCAACTCCGTACACTGATTTGAGGGTGCGCGGATTAGATTGTCGAAGCCTAGGCATGGGCGCTGTTCTACTACCCGCGGGGCTCCGGGTTAAGCTATTAAAGTTGTACTTGCTACTGTGTAACGAGCTACAGGCTACAGCCTACTTTGTACAAGTAGCTAACGAAGGCAGATTGGCCTCGCGGTCCATTATTGCCGCACAACTAACAAGAAAGGCGGAAGAGAAGACAGCGAAGCTCCGCGGACCTTTGGTACTTGTGGAGCCGGACGCCACAACCGACCGTTTCCTTCAGCGAGATGTGGGCGACAATTGACTCTCTAACGAGGCTTTTTTTTCATATATGTAGAGCAACGACTGCCCTCTTCCTTTGATGAAATTTAGTACGATGTACGGAGTAGTAACAGTACCATCAATGCCAGGGGACAAAGTCTCTCGCAAGGTGACCATTCCGTCTACCTACTCGACACTACCTAGATAAGTGTGTTGGGTCAAATAGGAGAACATTCACATGCAGGAGGATGCCAGTACGGATGCAAGGACTAGAGATGGAAGCAGTAATGGGCCGCGGTCCAAGGATCAAAAAGTGAAGTGATCATGCAAGCTGGATAGATGCGAGAAGGATCAGGTACGGGACTCGGGTGAGAATGTCACAGGTACAGAGGACTAGTCTAAGTACAAGTACTGTTAGTGCTTCGCTTGTATGCACCAGTGAATGCTAATCCAGGCACGGTTTAGCCTTGTGGCTTTTTCCCAACTTCATCCGCTTCGTCTTCCGAGATCCCCTCCCAATCGCGTTCAACTTCAATCGCATTCACATTTCATTCATTCGTTCTAGGTGCTCCGTACGTATTCTCCCCACCCGTGTCTTAGTAGTTTTGGCTTATACCTGGCATTTTCCATCACATCGTATTATACTCACGACATCTTGATTCCTGAATAGGACCACAGCATCTTGTTCTGTCCTAGGTAGCTCCAACCGGATAATGGACAAATGGCAAAAGCAAAGAAATCCTAGAGCATTCAGGTAACTAATTATCGTACTACTCGACGTAGCCTCGTACTACGCAGGTACATAGTATTACGGGTGCTCCGTACTGTGCAAGTCCTCCCCGCCCACATGCCACATCTACACGGGATGGAGGGTAACACCACAGCCTAATCTCGCCTGTCCTGTAATCAAGCCATCTCCGCTTTTGATGCAGGGAGATCGCTCACTCACTAAAGTCTCTACGGAGTACATACACAGTACCTTGATACATCATACACTAAGCCCACTCGCTGTTTGCGTGTTCGTGCAACTCCTCGTCTAACTAGAACTTGCAGTGTTTCATTTCATGCCACCCACATGGTCCTCTACTCCACAATCGCAATCTCTAACTGTCGCCGTCAGTCGTGCTCATGACTTCCGACACTCCATTCTAGCCCAATCGTCGCCTGAATATCTTCTCAAGCTTGTTGATGGCCGGCTTAGAGCTTGCCCGAGGTGTAAAGACTGTTCACTCCTTATTCCTGTGCGCCATTGGCTTTCGGCTGGGGAAGTCCTCTCACCATCCGGAGGCTGAATGTCAAGCGGGTGTCCCGAACTCAAAACAAGGGCCATCACGCTGTGGCGTACATGCTGAACTTTAATTTTGGTTCCTTTGGCATCTTTTGCTGATAGTCACCTTCGCTTGACATGTTCGCGACAACCAATATAAGAGTGGGTTAGGCTGTAGAATCACTGTTCCTGCACGTTCCCCTCGTAACTACGCTGGCTTTGCCTAGAAGAGGAGGTAGGTGCAGTCGTACAGACCTACTAGGCATTGGGCCTGACTAGCACAAACATTTGTTCTTCGTAAATGGTGCTAAGCATCAAGCCTGGCAAGACCTAGACATACACCCTGCACATCTACTGCACGCCACTCGAGTTGAACCGATCATCTGTGGTTGCACTGTGGCCCACCTACCACAGACCTGCAACAGCATATGCATGTCTACAGTATTGGCCTTTGTTGTAACTGCCCTATTCGCAACGGTCGGCTCGTCTTCTAGCCAGACGTTCTACAGTTTTAGCTTTCCGACGTTGTACTCTTAAACCTGACGATCTTCCCGCGCATTGATCGGACCCTCTTGTTCGTGCTCTTTCATAAAGGACAAACCGGCACCCTAGGCAAGATCGCAGCCTTTCGGCCCTCTTTCATCGGTATACCTGCAGATCTTACCCTCCTTCGAAGCACGACGATCACCGTCAACATGCCTGCGTGGACAGAAGGCTTCGAGAAGCATATGAAGAGGCAAGGGCCTGCCCCTCCGCCCATGCCAACGCCTGAGGAGATTGCATTTACCAATGCCCCCGCCATTATCGCCCAAGTCACGCCCTTTTTCGCCGTCGCTGCCACAGTTGTTCTCCTACGATGCTACGTCCGCTTGTTTCATCTGAAGGTCTTTGGCATCGATGACTATGTCATGGTCTTCGCGATGGTACGTTTTCTGAGGTAGTTGCAAAAATTCGACTGACCCAACTAGTTGTTGGCGGCTGGAACATACGCTTGCTTCATCATTGAATGCCATTATGGACTCGGAAAGCACTTCATGGTCATGCTTCTCATGAATCCAGCGTCATATACCATGTTTGCCAAAGTACTTTACGTCCACTCCATCCTAGTCATGGTCGCGATATCGGCCGTCAAAGTCTCCATTGCGTTCTTCTTAGTACGACTATCGACTCGGGCCGGTCTTTACACTCGATTTATATATGGCGTGGTTGGATTCATCATACTCATGACTATAGCATGCATGATGACCCTTATTTTCCAATGCTTCCCTGTTGAAGCTGCTTGGGATTCGAGTTTACGACCGCCTCCCATGGGCACCGGTACGGCCAAGTGCTACAACATGACCATCTTCCGCAACTTAGGTCTTATGAACAGCTGTAAGTTCATTGTGTGATGGCGATATTGTCTGACGATTTCTGACACAGCCTCCAGCCTTTAACATTGTTACTGACGTGCTGTTTGCAACACTCCCAATTCCCCTCATCTGGCAACTTCAACTAAACAGACGAACAAAGATCTCACTTGTTGCAGTGTTGTCTCTTGGTTGGTTCGCATGTGCCGCTGGCATTATCAAAGCTGTGCAACAATGGCATGTCCTCGAAGATCCCGACTGGACGGTGAACGACTCTTTCAATATTTGGAACTTCATCGAGCTTACGATCGGTATCATTGCCGCATCTCTGCCGTCTCTCAAGCCATTGTTCAACTGGTTCCTCGACGGAGTGCGAGCCATCACTTCCGGTGGACGTTCTAAGGGCTCGGGCTACAAGATGTCAGGATATAAGGGAGCAAATTCACTCGGTTATCACAAGACAGAAGAGGTTTCCAATAAGAGCATTGCCTTGAACAGCATCACGACTAAAGGGGATACAACGCCAAAGAGTCCTTACAATGTCAGGATCACAACAAATGCAACGGGACTGGCAGATAAAGAGGCTTGGGATATGGTGCGCGCCAATTCGGGCAGTGACGAGTCGATTCTTCCTCTACAACACCCAGATGCTGGTGCACACGGCATCGTCATAACAAGAGACGTTCGGATTTCATGAACACATGTACTCATTTGCAACCTGTACCACATTCATCAAAAGGAAAATCGGTGTTTGGAGTTGCGTTAATGCTGGGTCTTGGTGTGCGATCAACCACATACTATTGTATTGCTGTCTCAATCACGGACCGGATACCCCTTCGCGTGCATATAAATTTTAGAACTTCATGATCCCTTCAACATTCAATCCAGTCCCGACCACCGTAGCAACTCTCTGATGATGATAAGCTAACTTCAGTAGCCGCTCGACTATAACCTCGAATTATATCACGCCACTACCATCTCTGCGGATGAATGGACAGACGTCCGATTTACGGGGATGATCCGAACACGAATTGCGCAAAAGTTGATCCTGCAGTCAAAGCTTTGCCCTTGCCGGGATGCACCATGTTCAACCCCTCTCCTTCTCGACGATAGTGCCAGCTCATTACGATGAGTACCCACACCTACAGCGTAGGGTACCTAGCGCACACACACATTCAAGCGTGCGGAATGCGATCTCAATCCAGGTCCTCGGCTCGACGTATTATGCGGTCGATTGATTTCGTCCCTGTAAGACTACTCGTCACCTGACAAGCTCCAAATCCAGCAATTGCTGCGACATCCAACAATGAAGGTAAAGAGTTAGAAAACACGATACCATCTGCTCACAAGAAATGTGCCCGGATCAAATAAGTTCCGTAATTGAAAGAAAATCCATGCAATAACCATCAGCACACATTGATTCCATTTGCAGCAAGCATGCATAGGTTCGTTTATCTCACCAACTTCGAAACTCATGGAATCCGGGGTGCAGGTCTGTCGTGCTACAAACGATTAGATTTGGCTATGCAGGAGACTTATGTCCATATCGCGTGAGGAAAACATCAGCAAAAGAATGTGAAACTATGCATGTTTCCCTGTTCAAAAGCACCTCCCGCCAATACCTTAGCTTTTTACGCAGCTTTATTGCCCAGTTGACAGAAGGTTGAATCGGAAGTCGGCCCGCTCTCACTCGAAGCCCTAGACCCACTTGCTATTATTACTCGGGACATTCCATCTTTGCCATCTTTCTCCGCGATACTTCATCAAATACTATACACGCCCCTAGATACAGCCGCTGCTGCATGGAGATGCGGGACGTTCAACGTGACTTAAGATAAATGTCTCTGCATATCCATACAAAACGACCCCTACCTGCAACAGAACTTGCCACTCCAATTTTCAGGTATCGAATAGCATCGCTGATCAAATCGCAATGTTGCGTTCCTTATAGGCTTTCCGTCTTGGAATAGCGGGATAGGGCAAACGGGTGGGCCCACAAATTGTTGGTTCTCCTTATTGTATTATTCCCACCAGCCTCTAGGATTACTACGGGTGTTCGCCACCGAAAAATCAACCGAGTCAGTCTGTGAAGGCCCTGATCTACTGGCCTCCCCAAATGTGGTTCCTGGCCCTTTCTGTGTAGATGGCTGTCGCGTCCACTTACACATCATATGTAAGTCCATGTCGATATCACTGTCACGAATATAGTTCTCCACACGTTCACTGGGACACGAGAATATCACCTCCTTTTCTCTCGTCATCTTCTGGCCTAATGGTCACCCCAAGCTCCCAAAGAGAACTGAAGGCCCCGAATCGATATTAATCCATGTCACATCTGCGCATATTCCCCCCGGCCCCTCCTTGTTCGCTCCCCTTCTTATCGAAGGTCCAAAGGGCGACTCTAGCCGAGTCCATCGTCTCACGTTTCTCCATGCTTGTAATAATCCTATGTAGTGTCGACTTCCTCCCGTGCGCCGTACTTTTACCAATCTCTGTTTGTGCCTAGCGTCGCCCGTTTGGCATCCCGTACACAGTAGATCCACTAGAGCCGAAAAAGATACGAATCCCTTATGTTTTGCTACCCAAATGGTAGTTGACTGGGAAATTCTTACGACCCCACGCAAACGTCTAGACTCTGCACTCTGGAAACACGGCTATCTGCATACTGTATACTTGTAGTTACGCTCGCATCTTCATCCCACTCAGATGATGCAGGGAAGCGCTTCGTGATCGAGGTTTTACCTCGAAGTCGCTCTGCCGCTGCAGCTAGCAACGATGGTTGGAACCCTACAGAGATGTTTGGGATATTATGTGATGTTGTTCTCACGATTGAATTAGCAATTCGTTCCGCTCTGCGATAACATATTTCATCGAGCTGGGTTGTCTTTGCTCTCTCAATTGGCACAGGGAGAGTCTCAACTATTCAGGGTGGTCGCCACTTTTCTCTCTAGCTATCGGGAACATCATCCTTGCTACTCTTTCGATAATCGTAAATATTGAATGACTACCAGTGTAGAGTGGGTCGCAGACTCGCGGTATCGTTATTACTGTGTATGTGCATTGTTAATCTTTCGCGCGAGTGGCAAGGAAGCCGCTAATACCACTGCATATCTCAGACACCCCAGAGCCTCCTACCTTCGTTACTTGGTGGTAGGGGCTACATCTAATAGCGTCATCTTTTTGTCAATCGTCTCTCTAGCGGAGTCAGTATCTTTGTTGAAGAGCTATACAGCACGTGCTCTCAAATTTATTTGCACTTGATAGCCTTTCACCACGATCCGGCCGCCCTTTGCATTATTGTCATTGTCACCATCACTGCAGGAGGCGCGTGGAGCGAAAACGTGGGTTGGGAAGTGTGAAGATCTCCCTTCAAAGATTGAAGCTCTGGACACTTGGATGAATCACACAGGAGTGCCACCCGGGCAATCCAATATTCTTGCCCACGAGCTCGGATGGGATAAACAGCCTACGAATGACTAGAAGTGGGTCACTGCGTGATGATAGCATGGTTCTCCTCGAAAGTATTATATAAAATCCGTTCATTTATGTATGACCGTTGTGCAGATGCTACGACGCGATATGTCACACTCTTTTTTGGCGTCAAGCATGTTACATGGAGGCAAACAGAGTATCACCGACCAGTGCTCTCTTCTGGTTCAGCCTTCACAAACGGTGGGACTGGTGTCGAATTGACATATGTCAAAATAGCCATCAATTCACTGGTAGTGGCTCGTTTCTGATGACACTGTTGGTAATATCGGGCACTTGACAATCTCAGTTGAGCGTAAGACCTACGATCAATTTGAGTCGGCATCCATTATCATGGTGTGTACTTCAGAGTGCTTCAGAGCTTCGCTAGCCTTTTGGACGTTTCACTGTTTCACATCATGTTCCATCGCTGGCTTGAACCCAGGATTTTCCAGACGAGTGGTTGGTAACACCAAGAAGTCAGGTTACGCCCAAACTATAATCCTGGATAGCTGTATGTAGTCCCGACGAAGGTTGTAGATTTACAGAAAGTCCAAGTTCCTGGATCTGTGCTTAAATTTGAACAGACTTATCACTGTGTACTATGTAGTTGGGGCCAACGGTAGTAGATATGCTGCGCCTTCACTAAGGACTACGGGAAGATCGATGTTGAGCAAGACGTAAGGAATCTCAATGCATTCAATTAGTGTGTGTTAGGTACGATATCAGAGTATTGAATGGAACGTCTATGAGCTGGATATTTTATCCAACGCTTGGGAGCATTCTGAATAAAATTCCATGGAAAGAAAATATATATTTTTATCGTAAGTCTTAGTACTGGGAAAATTCATTCATAAACCTTATTGCTGCGAATTGTTTTGAAACTGAGGTTGTGTTGTTTTTCTGAATTTTTGTCTTCAATTTTTCAAAGTAATTAGGACTACTTTTTGCTAACAATGGGTACAGCTGTCAACAGCGGAGTCCTCATTTCCCACCGAATTGATATGATGGTTAATTGGAGCAGAAGAGGTACGTCTAACTTTTCTTTCATTTTGGTTAATCTGTTGAATTTACGTGACAAGTGCAGCTAGAGACTAGGCAACACGAGTGACTATTGAAATTGCAAATAATTGGGAAGACTATTTGTGCGGAATGATATCTATAGAGTCAGGTTTCAGTACCTTATGTATTATGCTGATGATATTTGTTGACCAACTGCGGCTGATTTAGAGAAGCTACTGTAGGCAGCCAGGCGCGTACCATTTGTTTTATTCTATCAACAGAAGAGGATCTTGAAGACAGCCGACCCGTTCAGTTACGACAATTTGTGCCCAGTCCGCAAATTTAGATGCGCAGCGATTGCAGAGTTCCTTGCATCTTTCTCTTCATCCTCCTCGAAAACGACGAGAACTGACGGCAAGATGCTCAGTTGGGCACGTTGGGCAGATTGACCATACACTGACGGCTTGACAATGACTTCAAAATGCGACTCTACTACTCCTTATTCCGTTAGCGAATTTCTGCATCATCAAAGCCAAGTTCGGCTTGGGTAGCCGTGCAATTGTCTTCATTAGGGATGCTATGCGCTTTTTCTGCCGAGCTACATCATCTCGATGCAAGAATAGCAAGTGTTATCGAAACATGGAAATCTTCTATCTGGAGCTGAAAATAACACGAAGCGATAGAATCGGATAGCTTGTCGTGTATTCGGCCGTGGAGTCATCGATCTCGTGGAGTTGAAGATGACGTTCCAGTTCGGCTCGCAATCTGGTTTGGCATGGCGGTCCGGGAGCCGGCCCCAAAGAAGTTCTCATTGCCTCGTGACGCCAAGCTTGTTAATATCCATATGTACTCCGTACATACATGTACTTTCTTGTAGACCTCGAGATGTCCGATCGGTGACAATTTAGGGTTCTTTTTGTTGCCGTGATGAATGCGCAATGCTAAGGGTAGGACTAGGAACCTGGGGTGAGACGGCCAGAGACTGGTACGAATTCATCTAGAGCCTCAGAATGGACGTCTTGGTGCGCCTGATTCCTCTTTGGGGACGGTGCGTTGGGCTCCGTGGGCTGCCATGGACTGGAGTCTAGATACCCTATAGATTGCGACAGATGACCGGCGATAAGATGATTCGGCTCCCGCAATTTGGGAGTAAATAGATGGACACAAGAACCAGAGTGCTGGCAATCGTCTGGATGGGAGGTAATCAGGCGTGGGGTGCGAATATGGGAGCGACTCCCCGGGTGACACTAGACTCGGTTGGTCGAGTCGCGACGCGAATGGAAATCTTGAAGCATGTCTCCACGTTGGAGCGTTCATGTATTTGTGAGGTGAATTCAGTAGTCCTGCTTTTTTTTCGAGGGTTGTGATTAAAGAGTTGTAAAATTTCGCCTTCGTGCGGAAACATTCCTCTCATATATGGTGGCCGTGGGCAACTGACTTATGTTGCTTACAGAGCCTTTGTTGAAGGTTCGATCTAGACTTTGCTTACGTTTGTTCTCCAGGTAATATGGGATAAATTCACGGGGAAATTCTCTGTCCAATCACACAGGAGCTTCGAGAAGGGCCTCCACGGCAAGTGTTCCCCCAGGACTCGGGGTATCCACCACCAAAGGCAATGCTTCTGTGAGTATTATGAGCTGTACCAGAATCAACCTTCATAGGTACAAGACGCTGTCAGATACTGCTGTATCAAGATCCCGGCACGCTTGCGGATGGATAGCTGTGATTGCAAGTACGATAGTTGCTCCGGAGTCCGTATTGCACTCGAATAGACAACGATGTGCATTGGAGGTTCCTTACTTTGACTACGCATTACTCATCTTATTGAATGGTCGAACAGCAACATGTACTGTACCTTGGCTCAGGTCAGGGTCAATTGAGTCCAGACTCCAGAGCTCTGTTCGTAAACTTCATGGAGTCCGGATGCGCTGTGTATCTTCCAACACACGCAGATCTATTCCTTCTAGAACACAATCGAAAGTCAATTTTTAATGTGCACCCTGGTAATAAATTGTCACAGGAACGAAGAGTTTCGGTTGAATGATGTTGAAGGGCTGAAATTTCCGCGACCCGCCCCTACCGACGAAACACCACAACTGTGCTGTCTGTCGTCATGGTGCATTGCAGAGAGTATCTCTTGCATTTGCGGATCCACCCGCCCGAAAAAAGAAATGGACGAGCCTCCGAATGTCGCAGTGAGTTGCGCACAACACCTTCTCTTATCTGCACTGGGCTAATACCACGCGCGCGGAGGAGAAAGCGCCGGCCATCTGGGGTAAGTACCAGAATCCCTCCGGAGCAGTGGTCCGGGGCCATGAGACTACCAACCTTTAGCATCGCGTTACTAACGACTGGGATATACTGTCAAACATCAGCCTCAGGTACTATGAGCTCGCGTCTCAGATTTTCGCCAGCTTGTCTGCCTGTCTGTTGTTAAGTAAGTCCATCGGGCTAGTCGCAGTGCGCGGTTCTGAAATAAACTGGGACGATCTCATACAGATTAATACTTAGAAAGGCTTTCAAGTCGGCTGAAGTGTGGTAGTGCGGAGCCGACATGATGCGCTGTTGTCTGCCGGCATGGTAATGGAAGCCATTGATTGCATATTGAAACAGTCGTTCCACAGCTTGGACGTCGTGATTACAAGCTTAATTTTAGGGTCTTGGCTGGGGATCGACATTCACCCCAAGCCCGTCCCGCCAAAGCTACACGGTACTGTGTTGCTTTGTCGTCCAAAGTAGTCAGTCATCAGCGGAACAAACTAGCTGCTCGACAGTGAGTTTTGAGATCTTTTTTCTCTCGCTTTTACTCTCGAGAAAAGATCTGAACGTGGCCAGGCCGTATGTGTCAAGATAAGTTCAACTCGACGCCGATTTGGAGAGTCTGGAGCCAGGCAAGTATCTCTCTTCCCCATACTCACTTTACCCAAATTAACCCCGGATTTTTGCTACCGAATTTCTGCAAAGTGACATAGACGCAGTGCCATGAATTGATCGAAAGCCGAGTAATCACCGTTATGTTTTCGGACGACGGGATCCAGAGCCGCAATGTTCTTGGAGCCAACCCCTAGGCAAGGCAGCGAAGACTGACAAGCCTTCCATCGACCGGGCGGTGGGAATCGAGTTGGAAACGCCCGAGAGAATCACTGCAAGTTACCGTTTGCATCGCACACCAAGCTTCTGCAGTTTCTGCGGGTTCTGTAAATGAACGTTTCGATAGCCTCTCTTCGGTACCAGACTCCGATTTCAGGTCGGGAGTGGGGCCATGTGCTGTACCAGCACCCACATATAATAGCAATGAGGCTGTGACCTGGCCGATACGATCTCTATCAATATCGTCGCCCATATTACTTTGGTGAATTAGATGGAAGAATTGCTCTCACAGGAAGGTCAGCACAGACGGCACTTACACTCGTGCCACCCGGCCATCCATACTTGCCTTGATATCTCGTTTGGTGCACTACGGCAACTCTGGCTAGCCCATTCTACAGAGTCTTTGCGAGAATGGGACCTCATACATGCTATCTGGATTGCCAGAGAGCCCGAGGTGTGGGGCTGGGTACCCAGGGCTTTGTTAAAACTCGCCTTATGGTAGCTCGCAGGTGACTCTGGTATATCTCAAGTCACCCCTGCTGTACCATTTCTCAGCAACTGTGCCTCGAAGCCTCGAAGAGCTTGCTCGCACTATGGTCTCCTCACCACCAAGTCAGCTGGCCTGTGGCAGCAGTTCGGACTCACTGAGCGATGCAGAGAAAGGCATGTACGACAGCTCGCTGGAGCTGATGGCACCTCCGCCTTTTGCCTACGTTGCACATAAAAGGGATTTGCATATCACTACTGAGCTCGCTCCTGTTTCACCGGTTCATGAAGGCATTACACCGTTCTCCAGTGTGCCACAACTGTCACTCTCTTTGCCCGCGGCGTCTCGAACTAAGATAGCTGTGGATGCCGACAAGCTCGAGGCTGTCGTCAAGAAGCCGCCCCCACCTAAGGCGAAGGTTAGTCGGTGGATTCTGGCCGATTTGTGGTTCAATACGTACCGGAAGTTCTTCACGTTTGTGACTCTATTCAATTTGACTGGAATCATCTTAGCTGCGCTTGGACGGTTCCCTTACGCCGAGAATCACCTAGGCGCGATTGTTCTGGGGAACCTGTTGACAGCGATCCTATTCCGGAACGAGTTATGGATGCGATTTCTTTATATTGTTGCGATATACGGTCTACGAAGTGTACGTATGCCTTCAACAACAATTGAAATGATTGCTGACGAAGGTCATACCAGTGGGCACCTAAGCGGATCAAGTATGCAGCTACATCTGTTCTGCAGCATGTGGGAGGCATCCATTCGGGTTGTGCATTGTCTGGTGCTGGGTATGTTGACTCACGTGCAATGGAAAGGAGGCGAGGCTGACATTCAACAAGCTGGCTTATCTACAAGATAGTCGACATTATCAGATACCGAGCCGTTCAGCACAAGGCCGTGATAGTCAGTGGCATCATCACCAATGTTCTTATCATTGTGTCTGTTTTGAGTGCATTTCCTTGGGTCCGAAAGTCAGTGACAACCTCGCACCCCTCTCTAGCCTCGAGTTAACGCATCTTCTCCAGTACTTATCATAATGTCTTTGAAAAACACCACCGGTTCATTGGATGGCTTGGCCTTGCCGTACGTATCCAACCTGTATCTCTTGACGAGGACGGCTGTTGACTGATCGCAGACTACGTGGATGTTTGTGGTCATGGGTAATGCCTATGACATCAAGGTCGGGGAATGGAGAGCCGATGCGCACACACTGCTCAGTGCCCAGGAGTTCTGGTTCGCCGTCTTCATGACTGTATTGTAAGTGGATCGTGCTCAAGCACTCACTAGTCCCATCGCTCACCAGTCTTGCAGCGTGCTCATCCCATGGGTCACCCTTCGAGAAGTCCCGGTGGAGGTGGAGATTCCATCACCCAAAGTCGCCGTCATCCGCTTCCAGCGCGGAATGCAACAAGGTCTCCTAGGAAGAATTAGCCGTACCTCCATCATGGAGTATCACGCCTTCGGCATCATCAGCGAAGGACGCAAGGCGACCCATCACTACATGATCTGTGGTGTGCAAGGCGACTTCACCAAGGACCTCGTCGCCAACCCGCCCAAAACACTTTGGACCAGAGAACTCAAGTTTGGTAAGAAGAAAAAAGCTCAAATTCCCTCCATCATCCCTCCTGCAGCTATTCATCAGTGCTGACCATGGGGTATGGTACAGCTGGCGTAGGGCACGCATCCGCCATGTTCAAACGCGGCATCCGCGTCTGCACGGGCACGGGCATCGGAGCAGCGCTGTCGACATGCATCCAATCGCGTGATTGGTTCCTCATCTGGATCGGGTCGGACCAAGAGCGAACCTTCGGTCCTACCATCACGGGCTTGATAAAAGCACACATCGAGCCTGAGAGGATGATACTGTGGGATTCGAAGAAGCGCGGGGGCCGACCAGATACGATGCAGTTGCTGAAAGATACATGGACGCGGTTCGGGGCCGAGGTCATCTTCATCACTTCGAATATGCAGGGGAACGATGAGATGATGCAGGGCTGCCGGGCCGCTGGAATGCATGCGTTTGGGACGTTGTGGGATTTTTGAAGAGAGGCCAAGAACACGGAGAGAGACAAAGAAAAAGAGGCGAGAGGCAGAGATATAGAGGGAGAAACTAAGAGGTTCACAACCGGCATATTTAACTTTCCCTACCTTATTATATTAAACTCTACGACATTGTCAGCATTTGTTTTGGATAGCATTTCGGATAGATCTAGGAGGAAAACTCTTTATTTGCTAGATGGGTTCTGAGGGTTGAATAGGGGCGATGGAACGACTTGAACAATAATATATCATCACTCGTGCAGTAATTAAATGTACTTGTCTCTAGCTGAAAATGTAGCACAACGGCGCGTCCCTTCAGACTTGAGTGAATGTATCGGCACGTAGGTACAGCCTTAGGCACATATACTTCCGAATAACGAACCAATCATGTGTGATCATGGAAAGAAAACTTAAATTACGGAGAGATGGGACTAATGCGGAAGGTTTAAGCGCAAATATTACCCAGGTAGTTACACGTTGTGACTGTCGGGAATAAAAGCTAGCACTCCAGCCTATGAGTGAGTATATGAACCTACAAGTAGTAAGTCACCTATGCACTGGGAGAAACAAGAATGGGTGGCAGAGACGGACTTTTGCTATTACCTACCACTTTACTCTGTATCAAGTTGAGTTTTGTTTGATTGGACCATTCACTATGAACATTGCGGAGTATATCGGTGGGCTACGGAGGGTTTCGTGCAATACTACTTCGTTCTCGTAAGGACATGTATATTACCTCGCACCGGTAGATTGCAATAGGCATTGGGTCAAGTACAAGTACTTGTAGTTTGTAGTTATACATACGGATACTTCTACTGGACTTAACCTAGATGCTACTCATGGACCATCAGGTGCCACAACCGGTTTAGTGTCATGGTTTCCCCCCCGTGGCCCCTCACCCAACGCCCCCTTGTTGCTAAGAATAGCCCAGTGTGCCAGTTTTCCTTAGTCTAGTTGTAGCGCAACAGACCGACGGCTGTCTACGGACATTCCTGTTGATTGGCAACGAAGTGGATCGAGGGTAACTATGTATTAGGAATTAGCGTTTCATGGAGTGGAAAGGGGGGAGGGTTGTAGGATGTTGGATCGGAGAATGGATAACGATGATGATGATGGTAATGATATATGTACATACACCCATACTGTACTTTCAAGATAGATATGATGTACGAGTATACCTAATGCGTTGCGTAGGAACTACGTGCGAGGATAATAGTAGCTTGGGTGTTATACTTATGACGCCTAGGGTTGTAAACCTGCTGGCACCAGTAGACAGTAAACTGCACAGTACTCTCGGTACCCATGAGGTAGTTTAGGGTCATCGGCCATTCCGTCCGTAATTACTTCGCACTGCAGGTTCGACAGATGATAACGACGACGAGAAATTACGAGGATAATTGCTATCACCTTGGAGGATGACTGCGATGCGAGTGCATGTATGTATACAGTACGTCGGTAGGCACCTAGAAACCCACTGTTGGAAATGGAGAGTAACTTTCCCACGCCATGTGGAGCAAAGAATTCGCTTTCTAGCCCCGCAGCGGTGATCGTTTTATTTCTACTACTCCGTACTTATGAAGAAGTAGCAACTAGTAGTAGTGACCGTAGTATAGAGGTAGAGACAGAAAAGAACAGCGATAGAGCATGAGGTAAGTGATCGTCTTCTATTTACTTACCTAGGTATCATGGTATCTACCCGTCCTACCCTAGGTACCTAGGTAGATATTCCAGCAACCACACTAAGTGGTAAGTACCTGGGTACCTACCTCGTAGGTAACTGATCCTCAACGGTCAACCCCATCTTTTCGTCCCATCCATACTGCATCTGTGTCGCTTGTCTTTCTCTTTCTTGTAAGTAGATAAGCAACTAGGTAGATAGAAATATATGAATTCCTTGTAGTCGACTGAACTTATTGTACTACAGTGTAGCTCGATGGGTGCTGAGGTATTGTAGCTACAGTACTACAAGTAACTATCTGTTACCTAAGGTACCTAGTACTTCCTAGGGTGAAGACCAAAACGAGCCCGCCCGCACCCACATGCGACCTGGGGCACTGCCTCACCACCCTCACCATCCTCACCACCACAATAATCCATCCATCCATCCCTCTTACAAGTTACACCTCACTCCTCACTCCTCATATCGCACACCTCACATCCTTCCTCATACCTCACGCCTCAACCTCCACTCGTTCCCGGTCCCGTTCCCGACCACACTACTGCACTCTGCTCACTGCACTCCGCGCATTACGCTCTGCGCTTTGCGCTCCGGATCTCACACCCACACCCACACCCGTGTCGCTCGCTTTTCTTCTCGATTCGTACTCTTCTTACGCTCGCTGCATCTGCTCGTTTACCTCGCCTTTTTTCGGTTTCTTTCTAATAACTACATTCTTTATTGATCCTACCCATAGCGTGCGCCCGTCGTCCTCTTCGTACTTTTGCCTCTCTCGTCCCATAGCCTCTTGGACGTAATCTATCCCCGACTGTTTCTGCTCGCTCTTGACAACTCTCTCCGCATCCTATCCCTGTGGGCTGTGCTGCCTGTCCTCACCTAAGGTTCACCACTCCGCCTGCACGACAACCTACTTCCTCCGCGCACAACGTCAACGAAGGAGCCGCATCCTCCTATACTGCCGCGTACGATCAACAAGGAATTCGTCACTTCAAGAAAGGGCCGAGTGGCCTGGACGTGTAAACAAGCATCGTATGCATTGAAATATACTTATGGTCGATACGATCGAGCTCCCTGCCTCGGCCAGAATTTCTTGCGACCCTACCACGTCACAACGATGCAGCCATGAAGACGGAGTTGAACACGAACGCAAATTCGAACCTGAACTCGAAATCGATATAGACATGATGGCAATCTCACCAGCCTGTACTGGCTCCCTTCGGCCAACGTCATATGGCACTCGCCAACCTCCAATACCTTCCCTCCAACCCTCGAGATCCCCGCCCCAACCCCGACGAAGACCTCGATCCATATCGCTCTCGTTCGGCACATTTGACACCTTCTTCCTTCTCGTCCTTTGCCTCATCCTCTCATCCCTACCTCTCTCGAGCGCCGCATTCATCAACTTCGACAACTGCTTGGACCGTGGCTATCGATCAGCAAGAGATCCGGTGCGATTGCAATTTGTGCCACTGCACCTCTCCGCCTCGTTCAACACGACATCTCAGAGTCACAGGCTCAACATTACGGTATACGGCAATGTGACGGGTCAATCTGTTGAGGGCGAGTACCCCCCACCCAACGACGAGCTCTGGTCCGACCCTAAGAAGCCATTCGGAAAGATCACCAACGTGGGGAAGGACAATTTGCTTACAACACTCTTCACCAACTACAAGGTTTTGACATTCACGGCACACGATGAGCCAGGTGTCCCCTTCTGTGATGCCACTGTGAATACGTCCTGTCCAATCGGGCCCGCTTTCTGGAAGAATGCCAGCGACCCTGCGGACCTTCCTGCTTTTACCGTCGGCCACGATTTCTTCAGTACGTACTCCTTCGGAACCCTTGTGTCTACCATGCGTGTAGTCTCTGGTGATACACCCCCAATAACCCTGGCATGTGTTTCTGCCAGCATCACGCCGGACCTGGGTACCAAGATCAAAGATATGCTCGCCTACTTACCCGCAGCCATACTTGCCATGGTCGCCATCGCCACAGTCTTTGCGGCTACTTGTAGTCCATGGGGCTCATCTGATATCTTCCGCTGGTCCAGTAACTACGGCAGAGACGAGGATCTGTTGCGTCTGGTGACTCCTGGCTTCGGCGATTGTCTCCAATATATCCAGTTTATCGTATTAGCAGGCAGCCTTAACCTGCAATATCCTGGATTCTTCCAGCCGGTCGTCAGCCAGGCGAGCTGGTCAGTTCTCCTCTTTAACGAGAGTCTTGTCAGCCAAGACCGCGGACACCCCAGTCTGGTGGACGGTATCTACTTTGCCAACGGAACGTACGGTATCTCTCGACTCCGTCAATATGTCGGAATGGCCAGGGATCAGGACATTTGGGCCGGAATGGCGGTTTGGCTGCTTGGAATCATCGCCGCCGTCACCATACTTACCCAGTTGGGTTTCCTCGGCCGCTGGATCCATCGCGCAGTAACCAAGACGGAAGGCGGTGATCTTCGCGGAAAGAATTGGCCTTTCACTGCGGGAAATATCATTCGCATCGTCTTCAACTTCTTCATGTTGCCCATCATCTCTCTATCTTTATTCCAACTGGTCGTTGCCGCTCGATCGCCTGGTTCGGTCGTGGCAACGTCTGTCGTTTTGCTCATCGGCGTTATGGGATTTGCAGCCTGGATCTTCTGGTTTATTTTCACCACACGGCCGCGTGCACATTTGTTCGACGATCTTCCCACGGTCCTCACGTACGGTCCACTCTACAATACATATTCTGACGATGCCGCCCCTTTTGCTTTCATTCCCGTTCTGCTGACGGTCATGCGCGGCATTGCCATCGGAGCCATACAGCCATCTGGAATCGCTCAGATCATAGTACTCGCCATCTGCGAAGTAATATTAATCCTCACCCTGCACGCCTTCCGTCCGTTCCAATCCAACACTTCTATGAATGCCTACCACACTTTCTTTTCTGCCATCCGACTTACCTGCACGCTCCTCATGATATCATTTGTACCTTCCTTGGGCGTATCGGAGGACTCTAAGGGGTGGATAGGGTACGCCGTACTCTTGCTCCATGCCATCGTCCTACTTTTTGGATTTTTCCTCAATTCGCTACAAACCATCGTTGAGGTCGCAGCTCGTCTTGCAGGCGCTGGCCAAGATCAGAGAGGTGGTCTTACCAAAGTTTTCGGTAAGCGCCAGCTCTCGAGGCGCAATCGGAACCGTAAACGCAACACGCGGAGCAGTCTCGCATCGGATGCAGCAATGCTTTCAGGCGACGGCGACAAACAATCTATCCAATTGATGAATGGACGCGCTCGAAGTCTCTCCGGTAGTTCTGGTGTACTTCTCAATCAGGGATATGGAGGCAGTCAGCGTGCTAGTATGGGTTTCGAGAATTTCACCCAGGGTGGTGACCCCAGCAATCATGGTGGAACCAGCCCAGGAACACCAGCAACGAATGCCTCGCCCTTCAACTTTCTCGGAGGCTCATCGGGACAGAGCTCCAGGCGGCCGACCCTTGGTGGGGCTCTGGATGGACAGGATTATTACCGACCTCCACGACCCCGTAAAGCGACCATGGATTCTATGACACCCGGTGCGAAGGGTCGAACTCCCAGCGCTGATTTGGATAACGCACCTTATGCAGATACCATTGATCACGCGGAGGCTGGCGATGTAGGTGAGGGCCCTTCCTCGTGGTCCCCCAATCGCAGCTCCATCACGCCAGCATACCTCCGCATGCACCGCGACGACTCCGACCCAGCCATCGCAGAACATCCCAAGAACACCGACTATTCCGTCCGAGAATCAGACTTTTATTATGGATTACGGGGACCTGCATTATCCGCACAGCCCACACGCAAGCTCAAAACAGGCCCAGCAGATCCTATGGGTCCCGTTTCATCAGCGACTGGTTGGTTCAAAAGCTTGGGGCTCTTCAGTGGAGGGAAGAAGAAGGAGCAAGGCAAGGGGTTCGAAGTCGTCAGGAGTACAAGGATGCCGCCACAGATGATGCCACTGGAGGAAGATGATGAGAATCCACCGGAAGAGCAAGAGCCCTACAAAGATAGCCCTGACACTCCACCACGAATCAAGTCTTCGAAACATGGCAGTCCTGCCCCGATGGCAGCGTCAGGAGCTGTGCGAAACTCCATAGGGAGTGTCAGCGATACCGATAGCGATGACTCCGATTCAGATAAGAGCAGCAGCGCTGGGGGCCACCATTCACGGGGGGAGCGAGTGTCAGCCTATGCTCCGGCACTTGGCCCCATCGATACAGGTGGAGGCATCGAGCTTCCGAGTCGTATAGGTTCTAGGGCATCCCGAAAGCCTGGTTCTCAGCCTCCCAGCCGTGCCCCTACCATTCCTCGCAAATCTTCCAAACGTCCAAAGTCAACAGATCTGAGCGCCATACAGAGAAGCCCGCGACTACCAACGGTGCCCGCATCACAGTCCGGTACGCCTAGTCTAGCATCTACTCCACACTTCCCACGGAATGTTACCATGCCACCCGCAAATCAACATCTACACCCAAATCCGAATCAAGAGATGCCAATCCGTCTTCCTTTCAATTCGACTGAGCCTTCGCCCTCCCCCGAGCGCTCTCCAGCCCATTCCAATGCCTCGTCGCTATACCGACCAGACAACGCCAGCGATTTGAACCAACTAGGCCCCACTGAAGATTTGGTACCCCCGCAAATGATACAAGCTGGCAACCAGGCACCTTTGGCTACGGGCTACGTACATCATCATGTGGCCAGGGATAGTATACACAACGTACATGATGGAGACGATATGGAAAGGAGTGCAGAGTTTGGTAACGTGGAGAGGGAGAGGAGTGGCAGGAGCGGTCGCAGTGGATGGAGTGGGAGATCTACTGGATCATAAAAAAAGAATGACAGCAACAAAGCACCGACATCACTGCTATTATCACTATACATTTGATCTTTATTTAGCGGCGTCGAATATTTCGGCCGGAGTTTGGGATCTAGGAAAAGGGGGAAGGGCCCCCAGGAACATCGGGTTCATAAGAAGAAAATGAGGAGGTAATGAAGGAAGAGGAAGATGAATGACACATCATTCCCGCGTCCGCAAATCACACACAGAGCCTCATAAACAAAGCAGGAATGTCTTGGTTATTGGGTCCACAATATCGACAGGACTTGTCTTTGTCTTCATCATTGCGCCTTTTTATCATCTTTTACTTTTATCATGGTTCAAACATATATCCTGTAGATGTGTCTATTCTATTCTTGCATTTGGGTTTATGGGGAAGCGGAGTCCAAAAAAGGAAACAATTGAACTTGCTATTTATCCATGCATTTATCTGTTCAGTGTCGTTCAAGGTATGCTTTTCCCCTTCTGTTCTTTTCTTCTTCTTCGTTCTTCATCCTCGCAAGCGTCCTGAGCGTTCCAAGGTTGGCGTGCGTTGGACTTTCGTCCTCTATGTGTTTTTTTCTTGGTGATATACTTACAGCTTTGGCTGATGCTGGAGGAAAGCTATGATAATGAAGTAGGTACCTACCGAAGTAATTTAAACATATTGTTGATTTGCTAGTCATGATGAAGATTGGCTTCATTTTCTCTAAGGCTCATGATAGTAACGATGACAAATAATAATGATGATCAATGATGCCATAGAGAATGGCAGTGATTGATATACTCTATACACGGTGCAACTGTCAGAACGTGAGTTGCCTGGTTGGTGGATGGGACGAGAGTCACGTGAAACGTGATTAGGTCGGACTAGAGTGAAGTGATACGAGGTATATGGTCTGTGCGTGTTGATACCGCCTCGGGATCTAACCGAAAAGAGCTAGTCCCTCCATCGTTGACGACCGACGAGCGACGACCTGACCTCATCCTGTTATCCCTCCCTCTCTCTATGATAACCTACCTAGGGAGAGCTAGGTACACTTTCACCTTCCAGCTTCTCCTATATCGTACGACACTATAAAATACTATTATTGTAGTATACTGTACTCGAGTATACATAACGAACCTGCCTACTCCCACGTATTTCTCACGACTACTCCCGACCGTCGTAGAAGGACTGACCCAGACCGTCTTAGTAGCCTTCTGGAACCTTCAGTTTTCCCCGATATATCATACCGTATCCGACTTTTGGATCCGCCAGTATTATTTGAGAAGAATCCCTGGTTCCGTGGTGTCTCTCGGCTTCGAATCCTTCTTCATACCATCCCACCGACTCCTCCGATACACCTCGTACGGTGTTCTGCCCTCGTCTTGACCGTCGATTAAGCCCCTCACCCACGAACATTCGTGCGTCTATAGAATTCAGTAATGAGAATATGAGCTCTCATCCACACTCGCTACACCAGCAACGTAGCTGGTCCAGTAACTCATCCGGTGGAAGGGGCGACGACAACAGAACCTTGTTAACCTCAAAGGCCCTGCCGCCACCTCCGCCGGACGATGAGGATGGGGAGGCCTCAAGCCCTTTCCCTACTTTGCATAGAGGTAGCGGGTCGAATCGGAGCAGCCTCCCCCATAACAACCACGGTGTAGTCGCCTCACATTTCCTAGCACAACATGCGGACACGCACGGCGGACAGACGTGGGTGGACTTCTTAAGGGAGAGCGGGCCTGATGCGAACGAAGGGCTTGGAGTAGGGCACAACACAACGCAACGGAGTGAATGGCCTGGACAGACCACCTCAGCATCATCGTCGAGATTAGCACTTCCCACCAGATTGCCACGAGCGAGCTCAACGTCTTCGGCCAACAGCGTGGAGCGGAAGAGACGGTTGACCGCGCCTGAAAGTCCAGGTAGACAAACCTCTGGGAGACGAACACGAGCAAGTTTTGGAGACGCCACAGGCGGGACTCAATCCGACCCCATCGGCCCGGGAAATGTGCCCCCTACGCGAAATAGACTTCCTCGCCCACCTCTCAACACACACTCTCCGCACCCTCCGAGAACGAGCAGTGTCGGTGGCGGAAGAAGGCAGAGCAACATGAGTGATATTGCTCTGCCGCCCTGGCAAGCGGATCACGAGGTTAACCTCTGTCCAGTGTGTGGAAATCAGTTTACGTTTTGGTATAGGAAGCACCACTGCAGGAAGTGCGGTCGAGTGGTCTGTGCTAACTGCTCACCACATCGGATTACCATTCCTCGCCAATTCATCGTCCACCCGCCATCGGAATCGTTCGCCGGATCGAATATGGTTGATCTCACAGGAAGTGACGATGACAATCAAATGTCTGCATTTGGCCCATTCCGGAATCCTGCATTAGGGGGCGGGGATATTGTTCGCGTGTGCAATCCTTGTGTGCCCGATCCAAATTACAGCCTACCGCCCCAACCACCTCCATATTCCACTCGCCCTGGGGTCCAACCAGATGTGTTTCCCCCCCAACATACCGAAGCTCGTCACTCATTTCCACGCGGCCATCGTCCGTCTCATAGTGACTCTCATGCAGCAGCGCACGACGCCTATCCCCGTGATGGGCCACCTTATCAGGATCGAGCACGCCTTGCGGATATTTGGGTGCCGACGACGTCGTCTTCCATGACGACTTCACGCCAACATCAGCATAATCAGCACCACCACCATCCGTCTCCATCTCACCCAAACTCTGCTGCGTTAGGATTTTTGTACCATGCCATACCAAATGAACCTCAACAAGCACCAGCACCACAACACCGAAGGCAAATCGCCGAGGAAGACGAGTGCCCGGTTTGCGGTTTCGAGCTTCCACCTAGAGGTCCAAATGGTGAAGAGACTGATCGCGAAGAACACATCTCGTCTTGTATCCTCACCTTCTCTGACGCTCCGGTATCAACACCGCCAACTGTTACTGGCACTCCCAATCCACCAGACCTGGCCGTAGTCTCATCAGCGGGTCTCTCTTCGACTTCACTTCCGAATCCCCGTGTTCGAGGAATGTCTGATGCTGCCGGCACCCCAGGAAGCTCTACCACGTCTCGCAACCGCATGAGCCTGTCTGCTCGAGGGATGTTTCCGTACGTTGCGACCGAGAAGGACTGTGTGGACGAAGATGGGACCACGGCCGAGTGCGTCATTTGCTTTGAAGATTTTGAGGCTGGTGATAAGATGGCCAGACTAGTCTGCTGGTGCAAGTTCCACGAGGTAAGTCATCATCTTTCAAGGTAGATTTATATAACCTAGACATACACTTACTGGCCTCTTTCATCTAGGAATGCATACGCCAATGGTGGGCTAAGAAAGGTAGGGGTGCTTGCCCCACTCATCAGTTGCATGAGTGAGGTGATGGTGAAATTTGACGGTTTCCTTCTGACGCATGGACGTTTTCTTGAAGTACGTCTATAAGTAAGTATCGTGCTCTCTCTGGTGCGACACCGTGCACTACGAACAACTTCTATCTCTTGCCTTCCCATTTTCTCACACCCTTCCCTTGCTGCTTTCAGTTTTGTGCGAGCCTTGCGAATTGCCGCTTTGACGGTGGAGACCTGCTTTTGGCTAGTTATGATTTGGGTGTTCAATCTATCCGCCCGAGGGCGGACACAAGGGAGTTCAGTGGAGGGCACTGGTTTACAGTCACGGCCAGCATTTCAATGGGTTACAAAGAAAGCATAACCATGAGATATGTATATTCCACTTCACAGAGAAGTTTTGAATTGTTGCTTAGCGATCTGAATCGAATGATATACCCTGTTAAGTCTCATCTGCCCTTCCAATCTCCCCAGCATCTTCCTCCATATTCAGTGGCCAGACACGTCGCCGTCGGGCTGGTATCCTGCTTGTTCAATTTCCCAAGGCTAAAGTTCCGGACTTTCCCCTCGCCGTTATCTGTTGATGCGTATTTGCCCGTGGTGGCGAATTAAAACTGTATGACCAAAGTCGATACTATTTTTTTTAGATGTGATCCATGGATCCTGAATATTAGGCGAATTGGGTAATCTTAGAGTGGCGGTTCTTGGGCACGAGTAGGGTAACCTCACTTCCCCTCGTTCCATCCCCTGGTCTCGCGGAGATCTTTGTCTAGAGATGGGTTCGACTGCAGAGATCTGCGCTCTGTGTTGGCATCAGTCGCGCAAAATACGTCGATCCCTCGTCTATTCCCGTTGGTCGTTTCGATGCCTATCGGAGTGAGTCGCTTGATGAGAGAGGTGATGTCGGTGAGGTTGTGGGGAATGGTTTCCTCGAAGTTGCACATTATCTGCGAGACCTTAGAACTGACAATTGTGCCACGCCAACGCCATACTTTTAAGTCTTTAGTCTGCAACGTCTTGAACTCACTATCAACTAGCTATGGTTGACTTTAGAGCATGTAGGTTTTAAGCTCTCGAGACTGGCCTGGACTGGCTACAACAAATTCTTTAAAGGTTATTCCAGGCATGGAAGATACCTGGATCTACAATCTACAACGAAGTACAATCGTTATCATATTGAATATGTATCTGTGTATTAATGACGGAAATCAGGACCCCTACGGCAATAGCCTTCCTGCATTGCGCAGTAATGACCGTTGCGCAAGGTATAATTTCGATTGTTTTCGTGCTTATGGTGCATTTTTGCTCTCAAGCTGGGTTGCGCCTGAACCTATCGCTCTGGTACGCAAACTTGCTGTTACTGAACATCACTGCTACGAGCTTAGGAGCAGCTGAGTAATATTTTCATCGAACTCATGAAGGTAGCATACGGATATCGATGTCTTAGATGCCTTAATCAAAGTACAAGGTAAGACTGGGACTTAAAATGTCTGATCGAATAATCTACAACTCCCCGGAGTTTGGGCTAGAAGCACTGCCTTCAAAGAGCATGCATTCCCAAGGCCGTCTTCTATGCTTGCAGCATAAGCGATGGGAGATTCCAAACTATTACTTGTTTTGAATGCCGGTTATACCTATGACTCTCTTCCAGCTGGTACAAAAGAACGGACACGATCGCTCTGAATCCATCATACTTACACACGGAAGTCGTGAAAATTTGTGGACCGCACCTATGTTCTGACGATCAGATTGTCATTACACATCTACATAACGACTCTGGGCCGTCTAGAGGAATCTCACTCCACGAATTTGTGAGCTGAAAGATGATGAGTGGTCGATAACGCATGAAGCGGTAGGGCGATTATACCTCGAAGTGCCTGTTCCTTTCTACATAGATATGAATGAAACATTCGGGAGTAAAGTCATCATCGAGTTATTTCAGAATGGAATAGTAAGGAGGCGCGGGACCTTTCCTGCAACTATCAAAACCCCGGGGCTGGCTCGCAGCTAGCGAAGCGCGCCCGAGTGACCAAGTCGATTTTCTACATAATCATCGAATTGATTACCTTCATAAGAAAACAGGCGGACGAATCGGACTCAACTTACTCTAAAGTTCGAAAAACGATGTGGTCTATTCATCGTGCAGTTCACACACCAATCTTCGGGTCATTTAAAACGACGTCATAAGATAGGTTAACATAAATATGGATATAGCGTAGTTTCACATGTGAGTCCCACGAGATGCTATAAATGCATACAAACATTGGCGTGACGAGATCCGATTACAGTTCCTTGACATCACTCGCGGCTGAGAGATGCTATACTGCATGGACAAGCTCGAAGAGGTACAACTGATAATGGCATATTACAAAATTATCACTAGTCATATGTTGCGCTATCTGGAGAAGTTTTGAAGAAAAGAAGCAAACCTACTTTGTTGCTATCTGCTTGCAACCTGTATCGAAGGTTTAACTATTGCCGCTGTCAGGGCAGCGGCATGCGGCCCCCATAGCATGCACGATGCGGGATGTGGCACGGTGGTGACTAGAAAATGCTGAATCGTACAGAGGATTGGCACGTCAGGCTGACCACCTGCTAGCTTCATGCGTCTTCTATACCTGAAGTATACATTTTAAAATGCACCGTAGCCAGTAAACGGTCTGAAAACATTGCAATGACACTATTGTGGACATGAAATACAAGCAGGGGGTCAGCCCGATATGCCAACCCTCTGTAGCTTGTGCGGCACCCGCCACATCATGTTGAGACTGCCGATCAGTCAGATACATGAGCGTACAGTGCAGCTGAGAAGATTAGGTGCCAAGATGTGTCGTATCGTTGCGGTGGTATCAAACTGTTAGGATACCCTTGCCAGTGATGACAGGCTTCTCGTCAGACATAGGTGGTACAGTATACAATCACATACTATGTTCACGTACTCTGTACAACATTTCCATATCATGGGCCTCGGGGCTCGCATGTAGTTTTGCTTTACAAAGTTTAGTGGATGAAAATACTATCAAATGCTCAAGCAACAAGGCCTCATCACCTGCCACAGCAGCTTGTTCCATCTTTAGATTGAATGAATAACGATGGAATGCACGCATCGTACGACAATTTTCTGGGCATTCGATAATCGAAGTGGGATGCCTGTCGGAGCTGCAACTTTGAGGAAAGCATTACGATCGGGTATCGAGCCGATAGATTATCAAGCCACCCAGCAGGTTGTGCGTTTGCCTCCAGTCGCTCAATCAAATCGCACCGTGCAAACAATAAAAAATTGGAGCATTATCTGACGAAATCCATTCGACGAGGTGCGTCATCTCCCTTTCAGGGCCATTCAGAGAACATGCTTGATTCCGAAAATAATAAATATGAACTGCGAATGGGTGGGCAAGAATCGCGTTGGAAGGAGGGGTGCTCAGGGTACGTCACTTGCGAACGGACATGCGCTGGGAAAGGCAAACCGCCTCAGGCTAAGCTACCAGAGCACTCCGATGACTTTCGGGGCGCACAAGGTAGAAGAAATAGGAAAGGGTTACCGAGGCTCTCAAGTACTACTCATCGCTACGAGTAGTGAGGGAAAAGCAATGGGAACGGCAACGTAATGGTGGATGCATACCGACTTGAAACAGACATACAGCGAATAATGGCGTGCACTTGAAAAAGAGGAAATATATGGCTTGCTTAGCGTCAGTATTGGTTCGAAGCTACTGGCTGAATCGCCAAGCTTAAAACGTTAGCGATATTGCATGCGCTCTCGATGCAGGGTCACGGCCATGCCGCCATGGTTCGTGAAAAAGGATGATAGTGTGCCAGTCATGCATAGTAGTTATGACTCTCATACTCGTATCTAGGTTGTGAAGATCAAGCTCAATAGCCAAACGAGAAAAACACATGGGCAATGCCTCATTAACAATGAACGTGACCCAATTTGTAAAGCTCGTATGTAAATACCTGCGTTTCGAGATGCCGTAAGCCACGATCCAAGATCTGTGTACAAATCTGAACGATTGGATTGGAGGTCACTTCGTGAGGTGTCCACTGCTCTGTTCTAGATGTGCTCGAGCGATCCGTCACTTGCTTCTGAACTTCTGGCTGAGTGTGACGTAGACATCTACCTCAAAGGCTTTCTCGTGTTCCTAAGACTGAAGACTGAAGACTGAAGGCGAAAGGCGAGGTTCTCTGTTCTTGGAATAGATGAAAATTAGCGGAAAAGTCAACACATAATTCCTGTTTCCATTGAGCTTCGCGTCGAACGCACTGGCGGAAAGTGGTAAATCACATTGCCTATCTTGTTTCTCCTTCCAACCTATGCTCGCGACCCACGCAAACTAATGTTTCATTTTGCAGCCAAAACGGAATGTAAATGCTCAGATGATTGGTAGAACATAATCTCAGGTCTAAACGTTTAGATGCCAGGTATGGGAAGCATGAGGATGAGTGTAGCCTGAGGTCATGAGCTCTTAGGGCATTTTATTTGTATAGTCAAACTCATTTGATGGTTGTTTGGGCCTTTTATCCCACCATTGTTATATCGTTTGGAATTTGACTCAATTACTCTCATTACTGAGACGCCGTCGTTCGTATCGTCCCACATTTATGTCGGATGCTTTACTACGTCTTTTTGTGATAGCTACAATCCAACCATACCATGACCTCTAATACCATTTTAAGAAACCTGGAATCGTGAATCCATAAGTTGCGAAAGAAATATTAGTACTAAAAAGGCAGAAAAGCCTCATGGTTCAGGGTTGATGTTGGGCCATTTGTAGTCCACTCCAACCGTCATTCCTCTCGATTGGCACTCGTGGGCCGCTGTTGACAACACGTAGTGAGTTCTATTTTCTGAAGCTTGCGCATCTTCAACCTGAAACGCATGATCCTGCCTCGGGGCAGAAGTGAATGTGAGCGCTGGGTCCGAGATTGAAGTTGACGGTAGGGAAGGAGGCCGGGTTGTCCAGGTTAATTTGTCATCAGGATGTTCGATTACGCGTTGGGGAGGAGCTTGGGACAATGAAGGCCGCATTCCCGTCAAGTATCGAGCAGACAGGTGTGGCACATAGTTTCCTGTGACAGAGCCTGGCACGGTGCCTAATGGAGGCCCGCGATGAGTAGGTTGTTGGTATTGTAAAGATGGGTAAGAGCTGTGTCGTGCATGATATGGCGAGAGTTGAACGAAAGATTGCGGGCCACCCACATCATGGCGCATGTTTGGGACAGACACGGTTGCGGGAGGTGTCGAAGCCTGGAGACCCTGTGGCTGACCCTGCTCAGGTGAGCCGTGTGATGGTTGTGTACTAAATGTCGCGTATCTCGAGGGCGTATGACCCGATCCCGGCGTACCTTGTGTTCCCTGCAACGGATCCGAGGATCGAGTTAACAGGGCAGGGTATATTTCATCGCCGGACACATGTGGCGATCTTTCCACCTTGCATCTCCCAGGCTCTTCCAACTTCTGCGCCTCTTCTTGTTTGATTCGGAATTGACTGTAGTCCTCTAGGTTCTCCCCTGCCATCGTCCACCCAAGAGGTGAAAAGTCCTCGGGAGCGACTACTTGGAGGCCAGGGTCTTCGAGTAAAAACATTCCCGTATTACCCATGACGGTATCGAAAGTCGTCGTTGTGCAGGGAATCGCCTCACTTTCATCAGCTCCCTGCGTATGGCCTACAGGCCTTGCCATTGCAGCCGCTGCATCATCTTGCATCCTTTTGAGCTCCCCCAAGCCCCAACTTATCCTCTCCACTGCAAGTTTTGCCAATCTGTGCACTCGATTTTCGTCTAGCTGTGTGAACACAACATATGCCTTCTCAACCTTCCATATCCGACGAAGGTCTCTATTCTCTAGAGCGTCAAGTATGAGAATCATGGAGGCGTTGAAAGCCTGCTGGCCTATCGTCCAAGAGATAAGTGCAACAGGCACTCGAGAATAGTAGAATAAGAAAGTAGTTAGTAAATCTTCACAACAAGAAAGCACGAGGGCGCGACCTCGCAGTGCGGGATCGCTCAAGGCAGTTCTTGGAGGTTGAGCAGATGCGACCTTGACGGGGTTGAACGGCGGAAGTGACGGTTTGGCTGTTGCTGACATCGTGGATTGAAACCGCAATGGTTTCTCGAGACGCTGCCGGTTGAGGAGGATGAGATAATTGAGGGTTTTGCAGTAGAAGGCTAATGTGATATGTTAGCTGTCGCCTATAATGAGGAGAATTGTATGTTCACCAGCTGCCATCGGGCCGAGAGGCCACTCCGGGATCTCCGTCCCCTCGTCCAGCCATGACTCATTGAAGTGCAATTGTTCTGGCATGGTCTCAAGGAGAGACCTGAAGAGGTCGGTAAATTCGTCGATCTTGTGGTTGTTCAACCGATCGCTACTGAGCACTTGCCGAGCGAGTAACGTGAACTGGTAGACGAATTCGGCGAACCTCAGAAATGTAGTATCAGTGGTAAGTTCATGGGGAGGAGGGCAATCACCTATGGCACTTATTCCGAGAGGTCGTCCTAGTGTCATAGAATAATGTTGATCTAGATGCAGCATCCACCACCAGATCGTTTGACGCAATGCGCATTCTTTCTGGGTAGACGGCGGTGCATCAAGATGTTTTGGATGTCTATGAAGGCCAATTGACTGTGCGAGACGGACAGTTGTTCCGAAAAGCGTCCAAGCATCCAAAAAACGGCCACTGTCTGTGAGATAAGATCCAACCATGATAAATGTTTGGATACTAAGAAGATTGGGTCTGTTCATATATGAAGCCATTCGAAGGGCTTGCATTGCGGCCGCGACTTGGACTTAAATCAGTCGAGAGACAGGGCACTGGAGACCGAATACTCACTATAAAGGTTTCCTCTTTGAGACTCCTTCTCAACGGCGCCCACGACCCACTTCCCTCCATTGTTATCCCACACGCCATGCTGCGATCCCAGTGCGAGAACAGCAAATAGGAGGGCTAGCATTTCAGGGCACCCGTCGGCATTTTTCCGAGATTCGGACAGAAATCTCTCCACTTCAGTCTTTGCGGTCTCTTCCGGCGTATGGGGAAAGCAACAGACTTGCGCTCGACGTTGGAAACTGTCAAGGTATCCAAACAACTCGTCTTTAGGTGGAAGGCACCTAAGTAATTCCGGAATGCATTCCTCGAGGGACCAGGAAAATAGCGTGGCGAATGGATATAAAGGTAGGTCTCTCGGCGCGTACATATCGGCACCACGTGGCATGGCATGGGCAAGAGAATGACCAGGGAGTGATGTGTTGGAGTTGGCGAACTGACAGAATTAGTCTGGGCTTCAACATTACTAGGATCGACCGTACTTCGGAGATGGCACTGGCAAGTCCCGGACTACCAAAATAAAGGCTGTCTGCTGGTTCTGTGTTCTGGAAACGTCTCTGTCGTGCCAGGCGTCGCTTATGCGCTTTGTTGGCTGGACATGCGTGCGGCGAATGTGGTGTACTGGCATCGTCGGAATCGTCGCCCTTTCTCATGGATTTGCTCGCCTTCAGTCGTTCTTTCAGTCTTTGATTTTCAATGCGCAATTTTCTTAATTCGTAGCTCTGCTGGATAGGCGCATAATCGCCGCCCTCGGCAACGAAGAAGCACTCCTTGGGCTGTCCACGGGCGCAGCATGCCGAACAAGGCTTTGTACGGTCACACTTTGCTCGGCCAGATTAGCTTTAAACGCCCTATAGTGGGAAGAGGCTGTCGATGATAGAAAGGCGCACCTTGACTTTACGCTCACGACACTTGGTGCAGGAGAGAAGCTGGCGTGACTGAGACGATGGCTGTTTCTTCTTGCTGCCAGGAATTATGACGGATGGGTCCTCGTCAATACCACGGAGTTGTTCATGCGAAGAAGTCGGGGTTTGTGGGTGGTTTGAAGTAAAATTTGATTCAGTCATCCCAATCTCGGCAGACGCACGCAGTACTAATTAAGGATAAATTAGGAATTCAGATTGACGAGATCGCAAGCGTAGCCTAACAAAACAAGAATGTAATCTAAGAACATCGGGTAGCTCGACGAAGAACGTATGTGACTAGCACGAAGGTTATATAGCTTCGCAAGGGTCAGGTGTGCAGGGAATTAAGACACTTACACTAAGTCACTATCAGTTCAAAATTCTCCGCTTGATTGGATTCAAGCTGACTCCAGGAAAACGTCCCTGGTTTGAATTGCACCTGAAGCCTCATTTGCAAGCCAAGCTGATCGCATCGATTGGTTCCGGCATGGAGGCGCTGAGAGATCCAGGTCAGCCAGGCATGCCAGATACTCAACGAGATTTCCAACTGCCAAATCGGTCAACCTGCATCACGCCTGGGGGCCAACTTTTGCCAGAAAACCGTGGTGTCGTCGCACAACTTTATCGCCAAGCAGGACACCCAAATAGCTGAAGGGTGAGAGAACGACCCGGCGACCAGGTAGGGACGATACATGATGCACAGATCTAGCGCACTACCAGCAGGGCGGGCCGATCCTTCTTACTAACGATGCTTCTTGAGATCCCTGTGGGTCCCCATAGTCCTGTCGGATCCCTTGCCTCGTCTTTTACGCAGTGGCGCCGCGTGCTTTTTCTCGCTTCAGAATTAGGGAGCCACCTATTGGCGGGATGATGATTAGGACTCCAACAGACCGACCGGTGGGGAGACAAAGGTGTCAAGCAACACCTTGGATCGTGCATTGCAATTGAGTGGAATCGATCGATGGCTTGCTAGTGGCGCGCAAGCTCACATTAGGTGTGGTTGGACCATCGCCACCCTTTCCTCACGACTAGAGCGACCCCACAACTATCGGTACATACGAAGGTACGGAGTCAAAAAACTGGGAAATACCGAGATTCCCACGCGCAGTTTGATTTTGTGACCAGTGACTGAAAATATGGCATATGTGATCCGCAATTCGCGTTGTACAGAACGCCCGAGGGCGGTAGTGTAGTGGGAACCACCCCACACAGCTGGAATTGATAGAGGACATGGGGAGTTTCCATCTAGTAATCTGATTATGCCCATAACGAAATATTTTTGGATGAGCGCTGTGCACCTAATAGTGAACTGTAGCCTACACATCCCACAGCAAAACGTTGACAAATCATGATGAGCTTACTAGGTAGTGTTTGACTAGGGAGGGACATACGAGCATACACTAGATCGAAATTGACACGATTATAGGAAATATTTAAACATAATCTTTGAACAGATTAGGGAGCGCATTTCAAAGTGACGAATCTAGTCCTATAATAGTGAACAATACCCCTAGACGTCATGTAGCAGTCATATCAGAGAAGGGAGATGTTGTTCAGTGCCATTGATCGCTCGCGATTGATTCAGATACCCAAATCTTCCCGACGAAGGAGGCGTATCGGTGTGACATGGATGTATCTAGTAAAGAGTTCGAACTCTCGTATCTTCACCTCCCATTCGTCGTGGACTTTGAAATCAAAACCTGGAACGCTCTCGACGACGACCCCGACAGAGTAATCGGATAGGGATCCGATAGCACCAGCTCCCCCATTGTCTAGAATACGTCTCAATGCCACTTTAAAGGTTCTTGGCAATGGCGCTTCATTGTTATGATATGCTCGCATCAATGCCATGGCTGTCCAGTGCTGCTGAGAGATGCGCTGGGTAGCACGAATCAATCGTTCGCGCGGGATTAACGTAATAATAGACTCCTGTACTTGCTGTCGGGAAAAAGGCAAAACAGATGCAACGGACTCCGCCGAAGATTGGTAATTGAATGTCTTCCCTGTTCGCGCCTCATATTGAAGTGCTGCCTCTATTTGCCAATGAGACATCATGTCACTGAATCTACGTAGAGGGCTGGTGACTCTCAGGTAGCTGTGTGCCCCTATAACACGGTGGCGAAGCGGTGAAGATTGAGATATACTCCGGCCAACGGCTTGGAGATATTTAGAACTTAAGCTAGGGGACATTTGCCCATGCTCTTCGATGTATGGGCGTACAATGCTTGTTAGGAACTGGTCGACGGGCCCAACACTACTCGAGGGCGTCTCAACAGTTCCTCGATACATAACAGGGATATTACGTTCGGCACACCAGGAAGCTGCAGTCTGACATGCCAGAAGCATCATCTCTTCTACTATGTTCCTCGCATTTATATCGTGTGCTGAGAAGTCTGGTACGTGGGTCATTACCTCAATGACGGGGTCAAGATAATCGTAGCGGGGTCGATCGGTGGACGGAGGTACCAATAGGACACGATTGACGCCCGGGTTATACACCTTGCATTCTGTTGTAGTTCTCTTAATTCGAATGGCCCCAGCTTCGGCCCGCATTCTCCATAGTATCCGGGCGGCAGCATATAGATCCTGTAGCTCCTGGACTTGATGTGACGATAGTTTAGGTGATATGCGTGTAGGATGATGCTCCAGTAATTCTTTACCGACGATGAGCATGGGATTGGTTCCTGTTCTGGCTTCTCTCAAGTAATTAGCTACTTCGCCGGGTGTGATACTGATCACACTGTTCACCATGCCTGGTTGAATCTTCTTGTCTAGAACGACCCCGTTGCTTAGGTCGAGTTTAGTGCTAAAGGTCAGCACAGGTCGATCTGGCTCGATGCTGAAGTAGTTCTGGCTGACCCATGCTGGCAGCATGGAGAATGTTCGCTCTGGAGTGTACACGGTCTCAGTGAGATGGGCGGCAAGGCCTGTGAGAACGTGTGACTTGTCGAAGAAGGCAGTTGGGTTGGCAACGTGGACGTGAATCCACACCTCAGACTCGTGGCCTTCGACCCTCTCTATTGAAACCCCATCATCAATTTCCTTAGCGCCGATATCGTCGATGCAGTACACATTCAACTTTCCCCAATCCTTTCTCAGTCGAGACATGGAGTCTCTAAAGTCCGGGTTGCGGCGCGTCAATTCAGCCTTCGCGTGCAGGATTTCCAAATTTCTCGAGAGGCCAATTGTAGGAAGCATTAAGTGCTCGTCATATAGTGCCCTGTTCTCGAACGGTGCAATGACCCCAATCTCCTGCAAGAATAAATTCCCCGTTTCTCGGCCCATCGTGCGTAGCCGATCATGCGCACGAGGATACTTGTAGACATCGGAGCCATAGCACTGGGTAGCGTGGAGGATGGCGGTGCATGCGGAATGAAGATTAGGCATACGCTCGAATTGGGCGGTCAAAACCCAAGCTTTCAAAAACTTGATGATTTGCTGGTCCTGGGGGGTGAACATTCGAATCCCATCAGGCAAGTGACTCTCATCAATCGATACAGTCGACTTCCTGGGCCCTACATATCCCGAGAGGGGATCACGGTGCTTTCGACTAAGGCGGATTAAGTGGCGCGCCTTATCAATGAAGGAAGAGATATAAGTTGCCCCGCGTCCAACATTCGTAATATCCGGTTTGGATTTCACCGTTTCTGCTTGGAACTCCCCGAACTCCCGAACCCATTCCCTAACGTTCTCTACAATGGCAACATCATCAATTGCACGAATAGAGAAGACGTTGGTTAACCGATGACTTCTACTGTCGAAAGGGAATCGAAACTCGTTATGATGAAGCGCTTTTCTTACGGCTAGTAAAGCCGCAGGTGATGGTTTCCAGGAGGGATCCTCTGGCGCAAGTAGTGTACTGGCTATCTGGTGTAGGGTCATCATTCGCGTCCGCGTTCTATCGGCAAGGGCTTGATAGGCTCCGTCTAGAACAGCAGAGTTCTCGCGGTATATGCTCTCCGCGCTGTTCGTCATATCCTCTAATATTCGCTGAATAGGGGCACCGAGTTCCTGCGGAACATGCACCTCCCCCTTGATAGATGCTTCGGAGGGCTTCGTGGGAAGGAAAGGGACCAGTGGAACGATGAGGGAGGGATCTATGCATCTCTGGATAGCAAAGGTAACATTAGCAAGTAATAAGTGGGACCATCGCCCGCTCACGGTGTAGAATTGACTTTGCATATCTAGCTGCTGAACGAAGACTGCAAGAACCGGTTCAGAATCAGGACTCCTACATTGTGTCAGCCCATGTGCCACGGAGAAGACTTCACGGGTACACACGATAGTTCCACAACATCACCAGGCTTCAAAAAAAGCCCAATGGTGATCGAGTCATCCACATCGCCCTGCTCCTCATCCAGTTCTATGGACGTCATTACGTCCGACTTTGCACCGGCGCTCAGCTTAGCGATCGTGTTCTGTATGTCGGCTCGTAGTGGGTGATTCTCGAAGGGCAAGAGGGCGGCCTGATCTGGACCACCGTGAGTGTCCTGCCACAACTTCAAGCGCTCGCGGATCGGGGTGGCTACGGCCGCATTTGAGTCTACATTATCTTGAGTCGCAGATGTGGATATTTGAGAGCGCTGGGGGAATTAGTACAGATCTTGAAGGCAGCGGTACGTTTCAAACCGAGGAGCATATACCATCGATGCGCTGTAGAATGTCCGTCGTAAGGTGGCTTTGGATAGTCCACGGTTCTGCACTGAAATTTGATAGATGGCTCGTCGCTGAGCGGCAAGGCGACAATGGCATTCCCAGCAGACATTGCCGTAGGACCGTGAGGAAGCACGTAGCCACATGGCAGAGAAAGTCGAGGAGAGAGAGTGTGTGTGTATGTGAGTGTATGTTGTATGTGCGTATGCGGGAGAAAGGCCGGGCGTGAATTACAGACGATTGATCCTGGGAAGAACAGAAGTCGAAACCATAAACTTTTCCGAGTTCAGATTCTAAGTGTCATGACGCCACCAGTTGGTGGTAATTAGTTGTACTCCATACTTGTAGTAACACCGAATCATTGGCTAAGAGTATACGATATAATTGGGAATCGTTTACATTAGGTACCTGGTCGTAGCTGGTACTGCGTATGTGATAAGTTGGTAACTAACTTATGAGGTAGTACTAATACGCTATAGTAGCAGATAGGTAGTCACGTGATAGCGTAGCGGCTTTCTCTTCGCTTGGCCCTTACACAGTTATTACTACTATTACAACTTCAACTTCATCTCCCATCCTTCATCATTATTCAAGCCAAAACATCATCAACACCATCAGTAGCCAGGATCACATCGTTCATCTTCATCTTCATCTTCATCCTCATCTTCCTCCTCCAACTCCAATGTATGTACACGTCTTCCTCACACTTCCTCCATCTTCAACGATCTGAATGATGCTACAAATTTATTGCATGTATTATCCGAGCAGGTTATGGGGTCTCCTCTCGCCTGGCTTGCGGATCCCTTTTCCAACTGACACCAGTTTTCCCCTTGTAACGAATTCGTCTGTAGCGTTCATAAGGCGTGTGCTAATCATTGCATAGTCGCCAGGTCACAATGGGAGTCTCCAAAGCACCCGAAGGACATTTCTCTATACTCTACTTCGCGGCCGCATCCACGTTCACTGCCAAATCAAGCGAACATCTCCTTGCCCCTCTAGCAGCTGGACAACTCTTCGCCCTGCTCGAACAGCGATACCCTGGTATAACGGACAAAGTGCTCACCAGCTGTGCCGTGACTGTGAATCTCGAATATATCGATCTCGAAGGTGATGGTGATGGTGATGATGCCGAGCACCGTGATCTGGTCATCAAGGCAGGCGACGAAGTGGCAATCATACCACCGGTCAGTTCCGGATGAATAATCAACTCTTGAATAACCAAGGTACCTGCCATGACCAGGATTCGAAGCAAAGCAACGTTCCTGTCCCACTATAAACTGCTCAAGCCAGTGTTCTTACCATGACTTTTATTGGTAGTGCAGAGGTGACCTTTTGACAACCTTATAATCCAAGGGTAGGGTTTGCGCACTTGCGGATCTGGCACGCCGAAATCAACTATCCGAGGGTGGACGGAGTTGTACTTGTGCACGGATAGTGCAGTGCAGTATCGCCCACTCCAAGGCGTAGCAAAGAGCGCCGCAATGATCCAGTTCTGAGCTGAAGGCGTGGAAGCCAAGTAATTTATTAGACTTTGGTTATAAGCTGCCAACCCTGGGCATATCGCAAAGACCTGCGATTGAGGGCCATCCTAGTATTCACACCAGTGTTACCACCCGTTACCAGCACACGTAGCACACCACGAATAGATTAGAGACGAAAGGGGACTGGAATATTATTGTTATTATTATCATTATTGTTGTTGTTATCCTATCATTGTTATTATTCGCCATTATTGTTGTACTGAACATATCACCAAGTGCCCAGATACTACCGGTCAAACAAAACACGTTCAAGTTATCGTAGGTACCTAGTATATTTACTCGAGGATTGAAGACTACTTCGATTTACTACGACTAACTATTTCCGGGAGTGCCGGGGTAGCTACATAGTACCCAACTATCCAGTAATTGGATTGAGTTTCTGGGTATTGCTGTAGGTACGAAGATTGAGTAATGGAATTGCATCACGTGATTTGTCACGGTATTGAAAATCCACCGACCGCCGACAGACCGCATCATCGCAACATCGGCATCATCAATCTCCAGAGCTTCCAGGCTCCAGGTTTCCCATACGGACGCCCAGCCTTTAACTTTTAAGGTTATAAGGGTCTCATCCGGATCATGACGACCGATCCTATCGACCCGCGGCTTCACTACCCTTCCTCCCTGCCACCGCGCACTCTTCCGCAGTCCTATCCGACCAACTCTGCTGCACTTCAAAGTGCTGCCACCGCCGCCCAACAACCTTACTACAACCTCCCCACCAGCGCGCATCCACCTCCCCCGCAACTTTCTCATTCGTCGCCGAGCAATCTCGATCCCGCCCTCGGGCAGACCTCCCCAACAGTCAACGATGGCACACCGGACAATCATGATGATGGCGGACACAATATCGAGCGCGATGGGTTAGTCAACAATACGGAATGCAGTCAGAGCTCGCGCAAGCTTCATCTGCCCATCCTTGCTTGCTTGCTCGTTTGTTGTTGAGCGTGCTCTTCCACGCGGTCACAACATCGACCAAAAATAGGTCTCTCCAAAAGAGAGTCGAGTTCAATGGCAGATGATAGCGTGCACTGACAACCGCATATCCCCGAATTGGATTGCCCAAACCGACACTGACAATGGTTAGGAGCCATGACGAACATCCGGTGGGGATCTCCTCCACTGACATGAAGCGTCCGCGCGCATGCGACTCCTGTAGAGGCTTAAAGGTGAGGTCCATTGTTGCTTCTAGGGAAATCACCCGCTGAGCAATTGTCTGCGTAGGTTCGTTGCGACCAGGAAAGACCTGACCGGTCATGTCGACGGTGCGCAAAGGCCAACCGGCCTTGGTTCGTATCCCATCAATGTCGTATCGTGATTACAGCTGAGTGACATAGTATCACCACGCCACCGACGCGAAAACGGCAGAAGAAGGCAGATAGCCGTGTTGCCGAGCTGGAGCGCAAGATTGATGCACTAACAGCCACTCTGCACGCTCAGAAGACCGGAGTGCCCGACGGGCCGCCGTCAATATCCTACATCGGAAACCTGCCGCAGCCTGAGGATCATAGCAGCACGTTTGAAACACGCGAGGCACAGTATAGGTTCGGGTCCATCAATCATGACTGGAGCAGTGGGGCGGTTGGTCAGTATCCTGATCCACCCCCGGGCTATGGACCAGCTCAAACTGCCCAAAGGGGCCCAGAACCTAAGCGACGAAAGCTGGATGATGACAGGAACAATCACGCAGTAAGCGCCCCCGAAGAGGTTCATTCCACTGTAAGTCTCACTCCCTGACATACGCCGCAGACGATACCAGAAGACATGGATGCCATCCATCGTGATTTAGCGGAACATCCTGAAATGAAACGTACCAATAAGAAGGGAATACAGGCAGATCACTCCTACATTAGCAACCTCATCGATACGCTTGTGAGGCCTGACGTTGCGGAGCGAATATTCTATCGATACGTTAATGAGATCTGTCCACATTTCCCCGCAGTTCCAATGGCACCCGGAACGACAGCACGCGAGATTCGTGAGAAAAAGCCAGTGTTATTCTTGGCAATACTTGCAGGATCCTCTCACGGAAGTGCTGAGCAGCTGGTCTCGCAAGATGTGCAACGAGAGCTTATGCAAATGCTCAAAGACCAGCTCGCCGATATCATCTGGCGCAATGGCGAGAAATCCTTGGAGATTGTCCAAGCGTTGCAGTTAGGCGTATTATGGTACACTCCATACTTCACTCCATGTTCTCACAGCATCTCTAACGCACGAGCAGGTACCGACCGCCATTACATTACGAGCAGCATAACTTCTATATGATGGTTAATTGCGCCGCAGTCATGGCACTTGACCTAGGCTTAGGGCGACAGCCGACTCCGAATGTGATGAAGTTACCCGTTGGACCTTTTCGCCGGTGCAATCCGAATGCTGCAAGTATTGAGTCACGGCGAACATTCCTTGTTTGCTACTACCTCTGCATGAGTATCACCATGGTTCTTCGCAGACCGATCTTATTGCGCTGGACCAAGTACATGGACGAGAGTGTGAAGATGCTCGAAACATCTCCTGATGCCCTTCCGTCCGACAAATTGCTCGTTCAGCATGTAAAGATGGCCCACATTGGTGAGGACATATCCGTGTCTTTTAGTATGGACGATCCTTCGGCCGAGGTCTCCATTTCTGAGCCGAAAGTCATCTATGCGTTGCGACGTTTCGAGGCAGATCTAAAACAATTAAGAGATGAGAACGCGCAATTCCTAGACGTTGATCGTGAGTCCCTAGCCCCGCTGGTTTTTGTTATCGCTGACTTCCCGAAGCTGCTCTTCGACTCGCTGAGCACGTAACAAACCTCTATATCCATGAAATTGCGCTGCATCACAATCAGAGTCCAGCAGACTTCCAGCCCCCTTTCCCGTCGGAAACACTGCAATCTGCGGTTGGCAAGGATGCAATCGGTCCCGCCCACATCAGCGCTCTGGGCGAATGTCTTACTGCAACCCATGGGATTTTGGATACTATTCTTAGTGTTCCCCTCGAAATCCTTCTGACCCTTCCCGTTATATTTTGTGAGTGTTGTATTCGTAATTTTCTCGATCGCCCGAGACTGATTCATATGTACAGGTGTCCGCGCTATATATGCGATCGTGTGCTTGATGAAGATGTGGGTGTCGGTCAATAGCCCCGGAGAAGTCGGCTTCATTATCAAGCAAGAGCATCTCGGTATCGAGTCATACACGGAGCGCCTCGTCGCCATGTTCAACGCCATCGTGATACGTGACGCGCAGAGCCCGCATGGCAAGTTTTTCTTTGTCGCTAAGCGACTGCAAGAACGGTTTGCTCAGATCAAAGAGGGTACAAGCAGGACAGAGGCTGAAAATAGAGACGATTCGCGTCGGGCAGCAGCAAAGACAGAAGCCAACTCGCATCCCAAGCAGGATTCAACTAACCAGACACCATTGCATCTTCTTTCCGAAGTCGCCATGGGAAGCGGCAATCCCCCAGTGGCTCAATCACAGCAGGCAGCAGGTCCTCCCAACCAGCCGCAGGCTCAGCAGCTACCGCCAGGGTGGTATGATGTAGGATTGACGCAGCAATCGGGTGCGATGGAGATACCCCAAAGTGGATTTGACTCCAGCTTTGATATTGCGCAATTTGACTTCGGTATGGGGAGCGATGCAGACTTGTCGGCTTTATTCATCCCAGATGCCGCCCTTTGGAACTTTGGAACAGTGCAGACTGGGACGTATACTGGCGCTTCTTTTTAAATGCTTGACCGAAAGGTCTAATGTATTATACAATATCCCTGTCCTAATAACGCTGCGTTCGTAGTGGATTCGGACCACGGGTGATGGGTATGTACTAGTAAATGGGCCGTTCACTGTGCATAGTCTTTAATTGCACTGAAATGGAACCAATGTCGCTAGGTAATCATTCAGATCTTTCCTTCCCCGTCATGTCTTTCTGCTCCTAGTTCTGAATCGCTTACAGCCAGTAAGTGAACCTTAAGGAAATATGCTAGATAGCCGTTGTGATCCATCTTAATGCTATCTGATTCCCTTCACTGCTTCATAACTTACGGATATCGGCATGGGCGCAATTGATTTTGAGCCCATATCAAAGTATTCATGGGAAGATGTATCTTTCATATTCCGAAATGTTGACACTCTTTGTTGGTATCGTGATGGCTGTATCTACCACTGAATCTTGATAATATATGTAAAGCCTGTAGTACAGTTGTTTGCAAATACATGCGAGAGGTTCTTTTGAGGTTTAACTTGCATATTGTGCATGAACTATGAGCGATGGGGGGGGATTCTGCATAGTGAACTATTGGCTTTGGAGACTATGGTCTCCGGCGTATGGGTTACTATGCAGTGTACGGTGTACTCTGTAGTGCATAGACAAGATCATATCGTTTGATTGGGGTGGCGGGCTAAGAAAATGAGTGGGTGGCTGGTCGAACGTCCTATCACTATGGTAGTGAGGATGAAAGTTGAATAATGTTTGTTGGTTGGTTGGTTGGAAGGCTACGGGTTGGTTACTTCCAAACTGTAGGTACCTATATGAATACAAAAAGGACAGCAACACAAATATCTGAAAGAGGGAGAAGGTAGGTACTGTGGTTTCCTTTTTGGTTATTTTCCCCGAACGACGAAAGCACCTTCATCATTCAACTTCTTAAATACTCTGGGTAGAGTGTATTGTAGCCAGTAAACAGTCTAAGAATATCGTAAACACGCCGCTGAAGACATAGAATACTAGCAGGGGGCCAGCCTGAGGTGCCGGTCCTTTGTACGTTGATTCAATAATCCACAGAAAGAGGACATAGAAAGCTGATCTACAGTTGAACTCTCGTGTAATTTGCGATAGGCATAAGCTGTTTTGATTTCTATTAAAAACGGTCTTTGTCTCTCTATCCATGACAAGATTCAACTTCTCAAGAAAATCCAACGTCAAGTTACGTCAAGTTTGGGAATGGCGATAGACTTGGAGCAATTGTAGTGTTCATGACCTAATCATGTTGAGCGCCGGTGATGTCAATCACAAGAACAAGACCCTAAGCCGAACAATCCGTTGTTGCCGACGAGGCTGAGAGAAAGAAAATTAAGCCTTTTGGCATGAACCAAGCGGCCCATTGTCGATTTGTTTCACTGATAGCAGCATGATCTTGGATCACTATTGGGCTCAAATGCAGCAGGGCCCCCAGTGATTTCTTCGACATCCTTCATAATCAAGGCGTGTGCTGGTGGATCGTAAAACCACAACACAGCACAGAAATTGGTAATGCGATCGGGACAGTCCACTCATCAAATGCAATACCCAAGAGGCACAGAGGTTAATTGCAAGAATACTTGTAGGAGTAACGGGGGCACAGAATCAAGAAGATGTGGCGGTGCGTCGTCATTCATTCGGAACTGGGCGGGTCTGCGCCCGGAATCCGGCACCAGGCGACGTCACCACACTGCCACATTTCCATGATCTGGTTTATTGGTTCACGAGAAGTTCCAAGGTCACGACTGTGACTAAATAAAGAGGCATGCTCCGCGCCAAATATTATACTTCTATATCTATCTTCAAATACACATACAAACAAACTATCAATCACTCCAACTCTCTCTCCAACTCTCGCAGACGAATCCCAAGACCTCCCTTGAACAACTAGACCAACAATCGCAAACATGTCGAACGGCACATCGAGCACCGTACGTTATACCCTAAACACTGAATGACAACCCAACTTACACTTGCCAAGTCCGATGTCCTCCTCTACTTCCTTGCTATCTTCGTTCCTTTCCTCTCAGTTTTCATGAAGCGTGGCTGTGCAGCCGACCTCTGGATCAACATCGCTCTCTGCATTCTCGGCTGGATCCCTGGCGTCATCCACGCGTGGTACATCATCAGCAAGTATTCCACGCCAAAGGAGATCCGTCGCACATATTAGACTACTTTACGGTGTGAACAAAGCAGGGGAGAAGATAGGCACTATGTATGGGTCGAGCAGGCCATCCTTACGACGGGACCCTTTCTTCTATTTTCTTTTACACGCGATGGTACTATTTATATATCCACTATGCTTTCTTTTCTCTTCGGTGTTCCTTTCGCGTCATGATGGCACACGGGAGCGGTATTGGTGTTTGGATATTCATCATATTTATTACAGTGAGGGATAGTCAAGACGAGAATCAAAATCGAAATCAGCTTCCTAGATTTTTCATTTCTTGTTTCTTATTATACGATGTGCCCATAACTTCCTTTAGTAAAATTGTACGGTTACATTTGCTAGATCTGGTGCGACAAAGCTTGCCATTTAAACGTGTGCGCAATTGAACATACAGAGGAACAACATCTTGAGCTCATTCAATTTGGAAGCAAGTAAGCGTGAAGTGACGATTATTGCTGATCTATCAGCCGGAAATCATGGTAAATTGGCTCGAATTGTGAAACTCCATGACTGATGCCGTGCCTGTTATTGCCATTCCTGTCACATGCTGGTTTTTCTGGGAGATAGTACTGCCAGTGAGTATGACTTTACGTTCATTGATACTTGCCGGTATCATTGACGACAATAATAATATCGCGCAATCGCCCGCATCATTATAGACCCGTCAAGCCGCTGGAACTTTAGGTCTCCTTTACCACATGAACTTGTAGCGTCTTCGCTCTGTTCGTATTGCAGTTGGCGGACCGTCAATCGTGCATGTACCTTTACATGGCCAGAACTCCATCCGGTATTGCATGTTTCGCTAAAACGGCATCGGAATCCCGTCTTGGATCGAATGTACCGTCGTACACATGGCTACCGAATCCAAAGCATGATCTAAGGACATGGATCTGCGCTCGCTGCTTTGTATATGATGCTATAGACGAGGCTACTGACATTGATAAGTGTCAATTCTGCGCGCTCTCCTGGCATGATCTGGAACCCCAGAGATCCGATGCGCCCAACACTTTGTGGGGAATTACGGTCGCTCCGAACTATGACTGTCCGAGACATGATCATCAGAACCAGAGCGAATACCGTGGTTCAAAGGACCTAACGACCGAGTATGTGCAACTATCTACTAATAGGCATGCAACTGACGTCTAGTACAAGTAAAGTTTTCACTATAGGACATAGACACATTTCCCTCGTCAATATCAAAGCTGCAAATTCCTTGGATGGCAGGAGCGCCGATGTCTAGCGCGCGGCATCAGGCTGTCCGCTATAAAAATTCATACAATACCAACGGAAAGTTCTGGCCCCTCAAGTCATTGCCCAAGTTCGTACTGGTTAAGTGCTCGCTCTTCCAAACATCAAATCAAAATACCTAGGTAGTAATCGCACCATCGTACTCGAAATTCCGTCGCGCCATCTCATTCAAATGGCACTAGGTTGCCAGTGACAATTCCGTTAATAGTTACACCCTTACCACTCATACCGGCAGCCTCTTCTAATGACATTCCTATTATGTATAGAAATTTTGGACCAGTTCGAGGAATAGTCTCAAGCTCGACCAGACTAGGTATGAATACTCAATGCCAAACCAGGTGCAATTCGAATACAGCAGGAGTGTATGTATAAGACTTATCACACTACTGTATCCAAATCCAAATGCATCATATAGAGAGGGCGACAAGTCAACCTCAAGATTTGCATCAGGGCTACCCGCCGAAGTAGTTCCCACTGCTAACTGAGCGTAATATCCACCGCACATGTAGAAGTTGGGTGTACTCGTACCGACATGTACTTGTAACGGTTAGAGGTTAGCATAATTAGTGAAACCCGGGTGCGTACAGTTCCTCGTTTGGGGGGAACTGTTTCTGTTCGGAGGAAACGAGTGACTAATATTCTGAACAGATCAAGTTCGAAGAAGGCCATAACTACGAGTAATAGTGAAATGCGAAACAGGTTTTCCTGCATTGCTGCACCAATAATAAACCATTGTGTGGCACGAAGCGGGCCGATTCCATTTTCTAAGAGGCGGAGCGGCAAGAATAGGAGTCGCATCGCATCACTCGGCAATAGATACCTAGGTATGTACTTGTAATGATACTTGTACATTATTCAAGCAAGTTCACGGGGAACATCAGGGGCCCCGGAAAATGAATCGCCCTCACTTATTAGAGAAACCCTCCGATTCGAGTTGGTCCCCACATCGACCAGGTCAACCTCTTAACCTATTTTGCGCGGCTATGCCTGGTCTAGTCTGCTCCCCCCAAAGACTTGGTTGTCGTATTTTCTAAGTGCCGCGCTTATTCTAAGAGGGAAGCTTTGGAGCCCAATTACGGTCTCTTACAAAGCCCTGGCGCAATGCCATTGCTTGAGCGTTATTAAGGACATAGCCAAATCTGGTAATCATTAGCACTCGCGCCACCGTCTTCACCATCAAGTGCAACACTTCAAATACTTCTCCAGATGGAGATCCCCAGACTGTCTTCACTCCGCTTTTTCGCTCCACAACCACACTCCAAATATGTCCGCCCCCGCCGGTACCGTCGAGGAGCCTAAGAAGGCAGAAATCGAGAAGATTGATGCCGTTCTCGATGATTCTCAACAGATCGCCGCACATGCTACCGACTTTGAGGATCACGACTTGAGCATTTGGCAAACCATTCGCAAAAACCCATGGGCAACGTTCTGGTCTCTCTACGCATGCTGGACCGTTATCCTGCTCGCTTTTGAGAATCAGGCTGGTGGAGCTGTTGTTGGCATTCCGGAATTCCGAAAGGACTTTGGACATGAATACCCAGCGGGATCAGGGTCTTATGTCGTCCCAGCCAACTGGCAAAGTGCTTTCAGTGGGGCACCGCTCGCAACGTAGGGCAGAACTCCCGAAACATGGATTTTGAATGGCGCAACTAACAAGAAGCAGCCAGATTATCGCGTGCCTGCTCACCGGCCAATTGTCCGATGCAATCGGTCGTCGGTACACTCTCCTGATTGCTCTTATCATTGGATTTGCTGGCGTTGCCGTCGAATTTGTAGCTACTACGAACCCGGTATTCTTTGCAGGAAAGTTGGTCAATGGAGTATCCATAGGTATCCTCTCTACCATGATGATAGGATATGTTGGCGAGATTGCACCATTGAAGCTTCGTGGTATCCTTACCTGCTGCATTGGTGTAGCATACGGTGTCGGCCCTCTCACTGCATTCATCATCATCAACTACACTGGCAGTGTCGAGAGCCGCTGGGCATATCGAACCATCTTTTGCTCGCAATGGGGATTCGCAGCCGTGGCCCTGATTCTTTGGCCATTTATGCCTGAGTAAGCTGCTTGCCCACAAGGCTAATGTAACTGCATAATCTAACAGTGTTTAGGTCGCCTTACTGGTTGATTATGAAGGGCAAGAATGATCGCGCTCTGAAGAGTTTGAACAAGCTGGGCTACAAGGATGAGCGCGGCGAGCAGCGCCTTGCTCTCATCCAGGTTACTCTCGAGGAGGTTAAGAAGGAAACCGAAGGAGTCACTTACGCTGAATGTTTCCGCCGGTCCAACCTTCGTCGTACGATTGTCGCCATCATGCCTTTGACCATCCAAGCCTTTTCTGGTATTTCTTTTGTTGCGGGCTACTTCACCTACTATCTACAACTTGCGGGGTACCCCACAGATCAAAGTTTCAGGATCCAGATTGCCCAGCCTGTATTGTCTATTGTTGGCAATCTCATGGCGGCCGCTGTTGTTGATAAAGTAGGACGCCGGGATTTGACCTTGTATGGTCTGATAATCTTGACCGCCTTCCTTCTGATTACGGGAGGTCTTGGAACCAACACAACAGACCAGGGAATGATCAAGGGAACCGTCGCATTCATTCTCATCTACAGCTGGTGGTACAATGTTGCTCTCGGCAGCAGCAGTTTCTCCATCCTGACCGAAGTTCCGACCTCGCGCCTCCGCTACAAGACGGTTGCTCTCGGCCTTGCCTGTGCCGCGTGCGTTAACGTCATGTGGCAATTCACCATTCCCTACATGTTCAACCCTGACCAGGCCAATCTCGGGGCCAAGATTGCTTTCATTTTCGGCGGGCTCTGCCTGATTTGCATCGCTTACTTATGGTTCTATCAGGTAGAGACGGCGGGAAGAAGTTATCAGGAATTAGATGAGATGTTTGCGAAGAAGATTCCGGCGAGGCAATTCAAGCACTACAAGACCGATGTGCAGATGCAAAACGAAGTCGCTGCTGGCGCAATGCAGAAAGCGTAAGATGGATCTGATACAAAATAGTGGAAAGGACACAGTGGTTGGAAGTTCCGAAGTTTATGAAGAAATAGAAGTCGTGGAGCATTGTTCTTTCTTGAAAACAAGCTCTTTCTGGGTCTGAAAAATGAATTTCAATGTAATGCCGTGGTGAGTTACGACAAATGAGATACGGTGTATGTAGTCTGCACCCAGAGTAAAAATGTCACATGCCAACTTATACCCTAGGAAGTTATGTTGCGGTTTAGAGCAAAGTCGCTGATGGTGAACCAAGTACAATAATCTCTAAGACCAATACTGTGTAGTGTAATATGGCGGAAGTAACTCATATGAGCATGCTTGTAAAACATCTGAACGGCTGCAATTCTGGACCGATACTGACAGAACAAAGGCAGATTGACTCGTCATATGAGCACAGAACGATAGAGGACTGTAGACGAGACGAAGATGAATTAGTTACCTGTACCTAGGCACCTACTAAATTAGGTCTTCATAGTAATACTGTACTGTTCGTACAGGGCACTTGTTCTGTGCACTATTAATTATTAATTACGAGTAGTGTATGCGCCGGCGCGTTTTCGGGATTGACAAGAAGAAGTTAGCACAAGCACGGATAGAATGATGATGGACGAAAACCCCATCTGTCCCCCCGTCTCGTGTTTCCCCATATGGAATCGTGGGGAATGAACTCTCGGTATGTGTACATTATTGGGTACGAATAATAGAGGCTTCATAATTATGCAGGTACTGCATTTGGTAACATTTCCCCAAGTGAGTGCCTAAGATACCCCGATTAGACCACCATCTCCATCCCCACCTCATTGCCCGCTTATTTTCCATCCAAGACCCGCTTTCTAGCGGTGGAAGCACTTCTCGCAAAACGCGCAATTCGTTCTGAGAGGAATCTTGGCCTTTATGAGTATTTCCCTACAATAGCTATAGCATTGGAAAATATCATCCCTCAATCTGCGTGCTTCATTTCATCGTACAGTGCCTCCAGTCATACATCCGCTCATCCGTTCACATCAATCATCACCATGACGGAGACCGTTAACTCATATCCCACAAAACCGCGAGTTTTCATTCTCACTGACATCACCAACGAACCAGATGATTCTCAGTCTTTCTGTCGCTACCTGACATACTCAAATCAATTCGACACTGAAGGTGTCGTACCTACAACATCAACGTGGTTGCGTCATAGAGTCGCACCCGAAGGCGTCCATGACATTATAGACGGCTACGCACAAGTGGTTGATAATCTCAACGCACACGTGCACCCTAGCAATCCCTATCCATCGCCAGAATCCCTTCGCAGTATTGTAAAGGCTGGCTCTCCCGTTTACGGCATGGAGGCAGTTGGGGACGACATTCCCCTAAGCGAAGGTTCTGAGTTGCTCCTCCAGCGCTTGGAAGCCGATGACCCACGGCCCCTCTGGGTAATCGTTTGGGGTGGCACGAATGTTTTAGCCTCTGTTCTTCACCGCATCCGAAATAAGCCTCAGGCTGCCGACATTCGCTCAAAACTTCGCGTATACACCATCTCTGACCAGGACGACTCGGGAGCCTGGATTCGTCAACAATGGCCCGAGATCTTTTACATCTGCAGTGTTCATGGTTGGAATCAGTACTACTCGGCCGCCTGGATTGGAATATCGGGTGACGTCCCTGAAGACAGAGGTGGTGCTGATCGCTCTATGGTGACACCGGAATGGATTAAGAAGAACTTCCAGATCGGTCCATTAGGTGCAAAATACCCGGACGTTATGTACGCGATGGAAGGTGACACACCAACCTTCCTCTACCTTATCCAGAACGGGCTGGGGAACCCCGAGGAGCCAAGCTGGGGAAGCTGGGGAGGGAGATACACACCTGTCAACGTTAGCCACAGAGGCACACCTTCAAGGGGACACTTTGCAGACTGTGGTGACGAAGTCATTGGACTGAATGGACAGAAGTTTGCAAACTCTCGAGCCACCGTGTGGCGATGGAGAAATACCTTCCAGAGCGATTTCGCGGCACGAATGCAGTGGACATTGACTAGCGACTTTAGCAAGGTTAACCATGCGCCAGTAATTGAGGTCAACGGGGAAAAGGGGCTTGGGCCGACCTTTATCGATGTCAACGCCGGATCCTCGATCACATTTGACGCGAGCAACACCTACGACCCCGATGGTGATGATTTGACGTTCAAATGGTGGCAATACAAGGAGCCAAGCGCAGTTCAGACAGGGCATAGCTGGGAAGTGACTGTTCTTGACCTGAAAGTAACAGAAAGCGGCATGAAGTTGGACGTCGAGATACCGGAGGCAGAAAAGACTTGTGCGGTTGTGCGCTCGACGCCACCAAGGCTGATGAAGAGGGGACCGCCGCTTCACATCATTCTTGAAGTTTCGGACAATGGAGCTCCTCAACTGACTTCGTACCGAAGAATTGTCATCACACCTATTAATGATAGAGCTGGTGAAGATGGTAAGCTTTTGAGCAGCTACGAGCTTTTGAGGGGTGGGGTGTCTAACTGGGGCACATTTCAAGAACTTTAGGTTGCGTCATGCTCCATTCTAAGTAGGAGGGCATCAAGTATTGAGAATGCATCAATTACGTGAACTCATTTTGGAGAGGAGAACGGGTTGCGAACTGCCTTTACAAAGCGAATAACCTTGAATCGACATACAAGACGATCATCTGCCTCTACCTCGTTTTGAAAGCAACACCCCAACCACCCAAAGCCAACGAGAGGCCCGTGAAAACAATGAGGGGCCCGTATGCCGTGCTATATCCCAAAGATCCAACCGAGTTTTCACTCCCAGCCTTCATTAATGGTACGCTTACCAGGCCTCCACTTACATATCCAATTCCCCGTGCACCATTCAATAAGCCGTACAGCATCCCGCTATCAAGCAATTCTCCACTTCTTTGTGCGTCACGTTCCATATCGTTTAGAACGCCAGCCCATGTCGCGCTGTATCCGCTTGCAAAAAAGCCAAATGTAATAGCAAACATGATGAGTAAGGCCGTGCTGCCACGCGAAGCCAAGCCCCAGAAAAGAAACGCAGACAAAGCGGAGCTGACGGCAGAAATGGCTGTTACAGTTGAGGCTGATAGCCGAATCCGTTTGTTATCGCTGAGGAAGCCGAAAAAGGTCGAAGAGCAGATGCCAGGAACATTGACGAGGGTAAGTAGAAGGGTTGAAAAGGTCGGCGATAGCGTAGACACATTGCGAGCATATTCGGTGAGATAGGTCTGGGGAACGCCGTATCCCGCGCTTTGGAGCATGGTTGCTGTGCTATAGATCCAGAATGTCCTATGCCTGAGAAATTGCATAGGGACTGTGCGCTCTGAGTCCGAGCCTGCAACTGGACGAGGTTGATGTGGTGTTTTTATAAGACTGATGCAGGGAGCCGCTGTACCAATCATTATTCCGGCCCATGCTATCATGGTAAGGCGAAAGCCAACTCGGTCGAGAAGACCTCGAAATATAAATGGGCAAACGGAACCGACAATGTTTTTGCTGGATAAACAAATCCCGTATGCGATCGCTCGGTTACAGACACGATTCTGGACAGCGAACCACTCACCAAGAGATAATGTCGTCGGGCTGTAAATCAGAGCGCACCCAAATGCCGCCAGAATGCCCTGAGTCACGACCAAGTGCCAAACATGTGTACTGAATGAGGAAATGACAAAACTAGCACAAGCAAGTAGAGCCCCCAAGATGGCAGCAATACGACGGTAATGAATCCATCTTTTAGCAAACAGGGCAAATAGAAAGGGCATGGACAAATACATGACGCCGTTAGAAGTCGTGCCAATCAACCCTGTTATTTCGCGGCTGCCATTCATCGTCCAGTGCTTAAAAAAGTATTCTTGCAAAATACCATAGCTCATAGCGAAACCTGACAATGTCAACTACCTATCTAGATGGAGAGAAGCGTTAAAGAGTATTGTTACCCCATATCGGAAGCTGTGATAACGCAGCACTTGCGAGGGCGAAAAGTCTTCGTTGGCTATCGCTCTCATGCAAATCATGCTCCTGGTTGAGGCCGCCATCATGAAGGACTTCAAGTTGGGAGCCTTGGTATGGCCGCGTTTGCAAAGCAAAAGTATTGTCGTAGCTCATGTTGAAGAAGTGTCCAACCTTCGATGATCTGGGTGAAGCAAAGCGGTGAAGCAAAGCGTCAGGGTGGACTGACTTGTAATCAAATTCCTAGGTAGTTATTGTGAGAAGAGGAGAACAGGAAAGAACGATTGCGTTATTATCTCACCTGTCAGACTCTCGACGTAAATGGGCCCTTAGTGCGCCTTAACCACCCGAATTTACCTAGCGAATCAACTGCAACCCTACAACTCCCTTTAAACTCCCTAACTAATAACTCTCCGCATAAGCCTATTTTTTTTGCCAGGGCTCTGGTCGCTTACAAAGGAAAATTTCGTGTTGTGATTAGCTAGGGAGTTGAGGGAGTTCTAGGGAGTTATTGGCCGCCTGGCAAGACCTCGGGCCCTAGCAAAGAATCGTGTGACTGGTGAGATAACGATTGCGCATGAGACGTCATTGTTGCGCACGTACTGGAGTATTCGCTAGTCATTAATGGGCAGGAGGGAACATCAGACACCACCATGTCATTACAACAATTGGTCAAGACATAATCTTTCGATATTGTGGTGTAACAACCTAACTAGATCTTCTCTGTAGTGCAAAATCTACGATAAATCAGTGTCTCTGCTGTCCTTTGCACCTTACACTGGCTTTGCTATCTCAACTATTGTTATCTTAAGAAGGTTTGAGTAGTAGAGGCTCTAATGAAACCATTCTCTCTAAACTCCAAGCATGGAAAGGGTCCCATTTAATACATACTCTGGGAGAAACTGATCGAGCCTGCGGTTTTGTACTGTCTTTGGACTTCCAAAAAAAATGAGTATATCCCAAGATCGACGTTACACATAGATGAAATGCGTAATATCTCTATGCAATGATCTCAGATATGAGTCAGTATTGTTAAATATCAAACTCTGGCATGATTGCCTACCTAAGTGTTGTGTCATAAAATTTATGACTTCTTCTTTTGCTTTTGGGAAATAGTAGTCCTTGTATAACCAGAGTCGAATTCGTCGAAGACAATGCAACTCATGATAGACCCCGAATGATGCTAAGTAGCCCCCTTTTGCAAGTCGAACTGAATCGTTTAACGAAGCCCCTGCTGCTATTATTTCGTTCTTAGATGCATTGAATGCAAGTGCTGCAGGATTTAGTGTATGGTCTAGAGGGAGAAAAGGGAACACACACGACGAATGAGGTCTTCCCATGCCCTGTTATTATCTGTATTTGGAGGCCCTGTGTATTGGCTTTTCATGAGAGTGCCATTACTTCTCTCAACCCTTGAAACAAGGCTGATTGCATTCGCTGCAGGAGCTATGAAAGATTATCAGAAAGCTTTGCAGTACGGCAATTATTCGTGTCTTACAACTACTCCAATTGATTCCAATGAGACTCTTTTGTAGAGTTAGGAGAGAAGAATTGACTACTAGCAAGCAAAGAACGAGGTGCAAGATGGTAAAATAGATAATAGCAAATACTCGTGATGCCAACAGTAGTCGATGTTGGTTTACAGCCTTTGTCCCGAGCAGCTTGTATGTCTGTCTGGGACTGCCTTCGGTTGCTAGAAATGCCATCTTTTGTACTTCTGTGGTCTTGAACAGTTCAAATAATGACATTCTTTCGGATTTTGGAAGGTTTGAGAGAAAAGAAGAATCCGCCTTGGAATACCTTGGACATGGGGCCTAGCCTAATTTGTAATTCCCTCAATGATGGCAGACATCGTCTACGTAGCATCTCCATGGTATCCCAAGGACCAGGAATGACCTCCTGTAAGAGGTCCAGTAAGCCAAGCTTGATATCCAGTATATCTTGGCATATTCACGGAGTTGGAAATAGTATTTACTCTGCATGGTCCTTCTGAACGCTGCATGTTGCATGCGTTTGGCCCCAACATAGTTATTTGATAGTTATCCGTTCACTGTTACATGCCATATCAACATGGTATATTGATATCGGAACACTTGTTTCGATGTAAAATCTACTAGAAGCAGGGATATAGCTTTTCTGACGTCAGCGCAAGTGCACATACATTCGGACTTCAAGTGTATTTCATTTACCCGGGCATCCAGCAGTCTCGATCTGTGCAGTACAAGGCAGATCAGATGCAACTGCGAAGATCATGGAGGAATGATCTCCTACGTAACTATTGATGATGGCTCTTGTATCAGGTTTGACTTAGGGGCTAAATCGATGGCACTCGTCTAAATATACAGGATACATTGCGTATGTATATATATTCCTACAATTAGTATGCTCGATCTTTTGAATGGTCACTTTCAATTACACCTGAGATTACATACAAAAACTTGAATACTTGACCGCTGTTGAGATTTATCAAAAAGGTCCGCTAGTGGTATCTCTCACTGTGCTTAGTTCTAGCTAACCGGCCGGTAGTATGAATTTATATCTACTTAGCGTCTATGTGTTGGCAGCAATTGTTGATACAGTTGTTGCTAACCCCTTTCCTCAGGAAAGACCAAGTGAAACTCTCAGTAAGAATAGAATCAAAATTTCATAACTGTAAAAGCTTACTTGAGCAGATGTCTACATCGTAGGCTGTGGTACGTACCCAATGTGCAGTTACTCGATACATCCCTCTAAAGGGTGACAGGACCTATTCCTAGTCGCACTATCAATGGGAGGAGTGAAGTTGTCGAGAAAGCTGCTTGTCTCCATTGAGCTTGTTCAAGATGGAGAATGTTGTGTTAATAGAAGTGCTGCCCTAGTAGCTTACATAGGCTAAATTATGTTTCCAAATGTCTTGCAAAAACCTTTTGTGCAATTAGACGTTCGTTCTGATGGGAGTGTAACGAGATATGTCCCGCCAACATCCTACATTACTAAGCCTACCAACGTGCCATTCCTACTCTGATAGATCAATCGCCTGTCTTCAACCCAACGCAACTCTGGATCCCGAAGCTCTACCGCCGAAAATCTCCTGATCAGACTGGCTGCAATATACTGAGACTCAATGTAAACTAGTCTAAGGGCGGGGCAAATCCGCGGGCCTCCCGAGAATGGCGTGAATTCCCAGCTTGGCCGAATAAATCTCCATCTATCGGGACGAAAATTCTCTGCGTCTTTCCCAAAAACCTCCTCATCGCGCTGCATAGCACGGAAGTTCGTTTCGATGACGGTTCCTTTTTCTACCAGCAAAGGGCGTTGCCCATCGATGCCACCTCCTATAGGAAGAATACACGTTTGAATGCATTCTCGCTGACTTGCCTGGGCAATTGGTGTGAGCCGATGAGCTATGATTAGTGTTAGTTTGATTCTTTTCACCAATGAACCTGCACCTACTTTCTCGCAATGCCCAGTTTAGATATTTATAGGATGTAAGCAGCTTGTAGGTTAATTCTTGAGACTTGGTAGGCAAGATCTCCTTGCGCAACTCCTCCCACGCAGATTGATTGCGTGCCAGATGGAAGAAGAGATTTCCAAGTGTTACCGCAACCGAATCATGTGCCGGGCTGAAGACACTGAGGACTTGGTACCGAAGCACTTTCCTGTCTTTCGTTGTCTTTGCAAGCTCATCACTCAACCGAAGATATCTTGACTCTTCTTTCAGACCCTTGTCACAAGAATAGACACGACTGATGGCTTCTTCGACTCGGGCATCGACATAATTGTGCACAAGCTCGCACGAGGCTTTCCAATCCTTATCACGAGTAGCTGGATTCATGACAACCCCGCTTTGAGCTGTTGAAAACGCCTTAAGAAATTTACTAGATGCGTTGGGAGTAGAGAGTGCATTCATTGATTTGCCAAATATGAACTCTGTAGAAAGGTCGAGAGTCTGCCGTTCAATATAAGTATTTGGATAAAACCTATCATTGGTACGCTTTACTCACCAGACGTTTGAAAATAGGTAATAAATCTATAGTGCTGCCATCATCCGGAATAAGCTCCATAAACCTTTTTACGTGCCGGTGAAGTCGTTCAAAATTCGCGATATGAGCAATCTCAAAAGCAGGCCGAATTAGTGCACGGCTTTGTTTCCAATGATCTCCATCGGTAACAAGTATACCATCTCCGAAGAATCCATCCACCTCATAACGAATTGGTGCCAAGCCGAAGTTGTTGAAAAAGGTGGAATATATTGCCTTCGATAATCTCGGATCCTTAGTCTTGATCCAGACCTTTCCACCAGTAATAGTCCTGAAGGTTGGCCCGTAAGTCTGGAAAAGCTCTGTATTAAAATCGAGGAATCGCCTTTCTTTGTATGCCTCTGTACTCAGGTCCCCCAAATCTTTTCCGTGTAGATCTTTGTGTGGATAAGAGGGGGGATCTTGACAGCCATGGTGCCACTTGGCCTTCCATCGCGCGATGCTAAATTTCGCCTTGGTAGCAAATAGGTGAAGCGATATGCAAATTGCCAAAACAAATGATACACCTGCAATAAAGGCCATAGTAATAGGTAAAGATGTAAACGGAGTTTCTAGATGTAGAAAGTATCTGTTTCAATCCTCAATTGCAAGTAGGTTTATGAACAAACGACTATGCTAGACAAGATGGGTAGGTTTTGGCATACTATGAACATGAAACTATTACGCAGATAATTTACCTCTACGAAAAGAGCAACAGGGTCTGTGCATTCCTGCACTTTATATTACACACTTAGTCCCTCATGGCATGGTTTCATTGCATCAAGTAAACATGCATGATGTTGGAGGACTATGCATTTTGTCTGCTGAACGGCGATCCCTCAGAGTAAATGCTTCGGACTTCCGGCAAAAGTACCATTCATCGGGTTTAAGCGGGCTCAGGTGTATTGGATTCTGTTGCAGCGATTTGTCGCTGCCGAGGGAATGCCGTGTAGGGTTGTGGCACGGCGATACTGCACCTCGCCTCAAGGACTTTTGTGCCCAGCTTTCAGGCAACGACATCTGCATTGTTGAAAGTCTAAACGCTTGAACCTTGAATGAGCACTTGGCAATGGGTGATCTATCGCCTTATTGGTTTCCATCTACAGCTTATCATTTTAGCACTCAGCGGTCATGATGCAAATGTGCCATGCTGTGAGGGACCACCTTTGAGTTTGATTAACCGACAGATCAATTAGCTGGCGCAACGAAACCTTTATATCAAAGACTAACCCCCACAATGGAGGGCTATGGCGCCTATCCAAATGGAGCCGGAAACTGGGGCAACAGAACAACAGCATAGTACCAGCCCTGCGTAGGTCTGCCGAAGACCCAAAAGAGAGCACGGACGAAGGCCGGGCGGCGATCCTGGGAGAGAAGTTTTTCCCAGCCAACCGTCAAGCCGACCTGTCGGACATCAGGGACGACTATAACCCCCCAAGATTTGAAATGGACCCCGTGGTCACAGCCCAGGAGGTGGAAGACGTGATTAGGAAGCTCCCGAACAACAAAGCTCCCGGCCCAGACGGGATACAGAATGAGGTGTGGAAAGCCCTATGCGAGGAC